CAGAATCGGGAGGAGGGTGGCAGGAACCTTTGGGAGACCCATCCCCAGACTGGGAAACTGGTAAATCCTGGATTCTAGGATATGACAAGAGAGACCCGTCGCTACGCAAAGTTCAATAAACATTTTGTCAAAGAGAAGAAAAAAGCATTCCTTTTATCACTGTTCCGCGTAATTATTCTAGTCTTTCCACTTTGGAGGTACTGCAGGCTTATTCTGAGGGCAATTTGACTGGTTAATCTTGAAACCAAGACCAGCTTCCTGCATGTTGTTCAAACGTCTGCCTATGAGGAGCCAGCTGGCTTCCAGACCCTGAAACCTCAGAGCCGCCCTAGGTACAGTTAGCTCCCAAACTCACACAGCACACTTTGTCTTTTTAAAGACAGTTAAGCTAAGTTACTATCTCCTGAGCAGCCACCGTGTCCTGTGCGCCAGTGGGCAAAGTGAGTGCTGTGCCTTATTGCATTTAATCCACAGTGGACAGGCTTCATGGCATCATCTCCACGTTACAGACGGCAAACCGAGGCACAATGGGCTGACTTCTCCAAGGCTTTGCTGATAAGGGGTAGCATCAGGGCTGCATTTAGGAAACTTGTGAGTCACCATTAATGAGGGCCTCAGCCCTGAATCCAGCTGTTGGCCAAACAGACTGCGTCACTGCATACCCCCAGGTCTTTAGCTGAAAGGCCCATTATTTCTTCTCTCCTTCCCACATCCTCCTGGTAAACACATGACGTTATTTAAAGCCCACCTTAAACATCACCTCCATCATAAAACATCCTCCTTTCTGCGATTAGAAACTGTAAATAAGAAAAAACAGAAATAAGGGGCAAGGGAATGTGCTCGTGATACGGCCTGGTAATAATCTTCCAGAAAGAACCACTGACAGCAAGGGCAAGAAGGTATCTGATAAGGAGGCAGAAAGGAAGGATAAACAGACATCACCTGACCACTTTCAGAGACCTTTGTTTCTCTAGAATGCAGGGTGGGGGAGAACAGGGGCACCGAGGAGGAGAACACATGACTCTGGACCAACTCCCTGGGCGGCCAGTCTGTGCTGCACCACAGGTCCCAAAAGCCGGAGATGAACCTCCCCGGTAAAAAGCCATCAGCAGCAGCCTGCACCCGCCTGATCAAGGGTTCAGGCTGGGGCCAGACCCAGCCCTGGAAAAGATAAGGCACAGACTGACAAAGATACCACCAAGAGGTCCTCCCTGGTGGTGCAAGGGGTTAAGTCTCAGCACTAGGAAGCTGTCCGCAGCCACTGCAGCATGCGTTCGATCCCCGGCCAGGGAGCTACCCACATGGCGCAGCAGACCTCTCCAGTCTCGCCCGCTGCTCCCCTCAGCAGTGTATTTCAGTGGATCTGCCTGTTCTGCTCCCCACTCTGTCTCTGGTAAATCCTCTCATCCACCCCCAGACCCGCACCTCTGGCCTGCACCCCAGTTCTTGTATGCACAAATAAATAAAAATTAATCTTTGAGAAAAAAAAAAAGACACCATCAAGGCTGGACGGAGGGAGCCCAGGAAAGGAAAGGGGTGGCGGGCTCATAACCAGCCGAGAGAGAGGATGTCTGGGGAGGCGAACAAAAGAAACTCATTTCCACGAGCCTCATTTAATTTATATTTAGCCTTCTCTTTCTCAGTAATTGAATGCATTATTTATTTTGGCCAGCAATTGCTGCATGTGGCTTTCAGAACAACAGTAATAGGCTTTTAAGGTTAGCACCGCAGCATTTAGAGACCCGAGTAACAATCATCAGATCAATTATTAAACAAGAAGCGGACACCACATCCCTGCTCCACTGCAGGAGCTTGAAGTGGGGGTCGAGGCAGGTGAGGAGCCCCGCACGCTACTCTGAAGGGAGTCGATGACTGGCGTGAGGGGACCAGGCGGTCCTCTCGCTGCTGTCCCTTGTGTGGGCGAGGGCGTCCCGGGGCAGCAGGACAGGGGAAAAGCCACTCCCCCCTCTCCTTTGAGAGGCCTTTATTGAGCTTGGGAATTTTTTTTAACAGCATGAAAGGGCATCTGGTCCTAAGAAACCTGCCTGGGATCTCCTACATCAAGGCCGCGGTCCTGAGTTTATACAGCAGGGAGAAGCAAGACGTGGCTTTGCCACAGCTCCCCCTGCAGCTCCGAGCTCTGGCGTCTACAGCTCCCCCCTGCTCCCAGCGCTGCTGGCAAAGCCAAATTCGTATTCCCATTGGGTCCTCTGCTCCTTTATAGGACGAGCAAGTTTACAGGAGGTTTAAATGCCTAACGTGCCATCTAATCTTCATGTCACACACCCTCGGGTTTTTGGCAGGCGCTGGCAGCCGTGCATGAGATAGCTGTTCATTTTTGCTTGATTTGGTCTCTGGCTAACCCATCATTCCTCGCCAGGCAGGCACTAGGAGAAGCTCCCTGTTTATGACACACGAGGACAGGCACCTGCTCTTCTGGGACCTGCAGTCCCTGTGGGGAGAGGGGGGCATTCAGACAATAAGCACACACAGCAAGAAGTGCAGGGTAAGTGCAGCGACAAGAGTGAGGAAACTGGTGGGGAGCGGGCATACAGGGAGGTGCAGCCCAGTGGACAGGGAAAAGAGGCCTGAGTCTCATCTCTAGCCTGCTAAAAATTAAGGAAAACAGGGCCTCTCCGGTGGTGCAGGGGTTAAGTCTCAGCACGATGAAGCTATCTGCAGCCACCGCACGAGTTCAATCCCTCACCCAGGAGCTACCCACACGGCGCAGCAGACCTCCTGTCTCGCCTGCTGCTCCCCTCAGCAGTGGATTAAAGTAGATCTGCCTGTCCTGCTCCCCACTCAGTGTCTGGTGAATCCTCTCACCCCCGCACCTGTGGACTGTACCTCAGTTCTTGTATGCATAAATAAATAAATCTTTAAAAAAGAAGAAGAAGAAGAAGAAAAGCAGCAAGTGCCTGGGGGAAAGAGAGCTCCAGAAAAGGGGAACAGTGAACGCAATTGGAGGACAGCTGGGTATGTTCAAAGAACAGAAAAAGCCAGTGTGGCTACAGAGTGGTCTGAGATGAGGACAGGGGCAAATGGCTCGGGGTCACGTGTGGGCTCGCAGGCAAGGTGCTTGGCTTAATTCCAAATGCTCTGGGAAGCTGCTGGGTAGCAGGAGTCTGGAGCAAAGTCAGGCAGAGTTTGAAAAGGTTTTTGGACAGTGATCATGTCGGAAGACGTCAACACCCGGAGCTGTGCCAGGGGATGGAGATACAGATGAAGAGAACAGAGCTGCCACCCTGAAGGGACAGGGGAGGCCGCCCAACCCAATGGGCCGGGGCTGAGCCGCTATCCCAGGCGCAGCTGTGATGTCGGGGGAGATGGCTGGGGAGGACACAATCATTCCCACAGCATACGGAAACCCCCAAACTATTCGCTGGACCTTCCTGACTGTTTGCACTGCACAAATGGTGAGTCCTCACAGCATGTTAGTAGGTTCTTGGAAACTGGGACTTTAAGCAAAATGACATAGAACAAAACCAATTTGACCCTTGGCTGACTGACAGAGACAAGAGGTAAGTAGAGCAGATTTCTGGTCACAAAAACATCTCCAAACTTCTAAAGACTCAAAACACAGCTGATGTGAAACCACCACCTGTCTTCCTTACTCGTTTTCCAACCTGCTTATTCTAGTTCAGAGTGGTGGAAGGCTGGGGTATCCCTGCAGCTCAAAGTCCAGGTATCACCTGGACAGGACGCCTTTCCACAGCAGGGCCATTCACCCACACCTGCCTCACCTCAAACGGGGCACCAAGACACTGGTGAGCCTCACCTGCACAGCAGCTGATGTGGGAGGAGAGCAGAGGAAACACACAGACAGGGGAGAAGGTGCCAGCTGCCCACAGGGACCTGGGCCACATCTACTTCTCCCTCATCAGTATTCCAACAAAACAATGCTGAACTAACCAGTGTCGTTCAAAACCTGCTGTGCTCTCGGAGTGGGGAAAGGTCATGGTCTGGAGTGAGATGGGTCAGGGGCTCAGTGGCCCAGGCAGACTTCTTAGCAACTCCTGCCTCAGTTTCCTCACCTGGGAAGCCAGGACCCAACCACAGGAGTGGCCCCATTGGCTGCTGGGAGGATGCAATGAGACAGTACTTGCAAAGGGCTCACCACATAACAAATGCTCCCGGAACTGCTGAGCTGCCGGGGCCCTGCCTTCCTGCCAGCCTTGACAGGCATTCCCCAAGGACCGGCACCCTGTGGCCATGCTACCTCCACAGGAGGGTTTTCACTCTGGGCTCAGCAGGCCAAGTGCCAGGGTGTTGATGGCGCAGAAGCAGCCCTCTGTCAAGGACAGATGGAGCCAAGGGTGAAGAGCCCTCTTCTCGCCCCGTGGGTGCGGTAACACTGAGGCTGCTGACAGCGCCCCCACCCCCAGGTGGGAATGCATCTCAGCTGCCCCAGCAGCAGCCTGCCCCCTGGGGCTCCCTTTGTGGCTTCTTTCCCCTCCTCATCTCGCCTCCCTATCACCCCCAAATCCCTCTCACCACATCCCTTCTCCCCAACGGCTTCTGTACTCAGTGCAGAAAGGGGCCTTAAGCAGAACCTCCCTGCCAACAGCAAGCTGGAGGGTACTTACTGCTGATTAGACTCCACTTGTGTGTCTCTGGGGCTTAAACACACATAACCTCAGCAAGAGTGAGGATGCAGTCCTGACTTCTAGAATTTTCTCAGCACGCTGAGCCTCAGACATCTGAGCTACCTGCCCTTCCTCACAGGAAGGTCATAAACATGTGTGTGTCCAAGGTGTTTCTACTAAAGAAACAGATTTAAAACTCACCATTTAGTGATCACTTTAAATTTTCTTTTCTCTACACAGTCACACTCACACACAGTCACAAAACATGCAGTCACTCACACACAGACACAGTCACACTCACACATACAATCACACTCACACACACAATCACACTCACACACATACACACACAGAGCGCTGAGTCAGCTTCCCTGAGCAGCCAGGGAGGGAGGGAGGGGAGGGAGACGGGCTTACCTTGGGAGAGGCACTGGTTGGCCAAGGCCACCTGACCGGAATGCAGGTAGAGGTTGAGGCGGGTGAAGATGCCCACCAGGGAGGGGATGGTAATGAAGCAGTAGGCGACGCAGGCCTGGAAGAAAGGGGGAGCGAAGCAGGTGACGTGGGCAACGCCACACAGCAGACTGGCACTTGTGTTGCTCACCCACCATGTGCTTTCAAGTAAAAATGATTAAAATGATTCCTCTTCTCATTTTAAACCCCAATTTTTCCCTCTTGCTCTGCTGTAAGTGACTCTTGGAGGTGGGGGGGAGTAAGGACAGCAGCGATATAGGGAAAATAAATCCTCATCTGGCATTCTAGGAAGTAGAGATGACACCCAAACCAATGACTTCAAGATACGGTGGTTGCTCAACAAGGCAGGAGGGGAGTTTGAGGTGGTTTCCTCTGAAGAGAAAGGTAAGAGGTGAGGAAGGGCAGGGCTGGGATACTTATTTTTCACTGTCTGTTTTTGGTCTGATTTCTAGTTTAAAAGCAGGGATATGTTTTGCTTTGATAAAATTTTGAGCCGCATACAAGAAGCTGAATTTTGTTTTTCAAAGTTGAGAACTTATCACGAGGGAAAATGGCACCAGGCCTTGTAGTTACTGGCACAGCAGAGAGATCATTCAGCTGGCACACAAAACTGCAAATCCATCTCTCCACCACCACCCTGTAACATGTATCACGACTCAGACTCTTTTGATCCTTTCTTTTGAGAACATTAAGAAAATTAGTCCACAGATATACAAGGAAAAGAGAATCTGGAAAATCAATACCAAACCACCCATATCGTGTCTTTTTCTGGGAAGAGCAATTTAGAAACTTGCAAACAAAATGACTCACTGGAGTTCAAAGTCCGCGAGCCTTATCTTTAGAACATACCCGAACAAATGCAGCCGTCTTTCTGGAATGATTTCCTTTCATTACTTTCCTTGTTTCCATTGCCAACCGGTTTACACTCTGGATTAATTAATAAATAAAACAGAAAAGGTAATAAAAAGGGTAGCTGGTTAATGTCATCCATAGAGATTGGGACATTAACTGCATACAAGTCAGTAAGAATAAACTGACTGAGACGAAGACTGGTTAGCACTGAACCTGAAATGCGAAGGGGTCATCAGACCTGATTCAATCTCAGCTTGAGCAAACATCTCCAAGAGGGTAAGAACAAAGGCACTCAGTGAGCTAGTCATGCCTATCAACCGGCAGTCTAAATGATCATTTTCTGGTTTAATGAATAGCCAAGGGTTCACTCACTCTATTTCTACAAATCCCACACATGAAGCTTACGAATCCAGAGGACTTAAGAGAAACGTCCCAGTCTGAAAGCAGATCATACCATGTAGCTGTGTGATACTCACTATAACCATAAGAACAGTAATACTAGCAGCCATGGTGTGACTTACAGCAAACTAACTGCTGTTCTAAGAGCGGTTCCTTAGCTCATTTAATCCCCAAATTCCTACAAGGTGGGTCTATTTCCGCCCCATCTTACAGATGAAGTCTCTATGGTCAAGTCTTAGTATAGTAATACTGCAGGGCTGATAACCAACAAGCTCACTCTCCTTGATTTTTCATGAAGCAATTAAAGAGTCTTAGGAAACCTTTCCACAAATATGCAAAGTTTGAACCTATGGCTCCCAAAATGTATACCATGATACCCCACGGTGTCATCAGAGCAAACTCACAGAGACACTACATTTCTTTAGGAAAATACAGCAACACTCAGTTGGCTGAACACTGCAAAGCACTGGTGTGAGGTAGTTCACAGATTCAACAGCTTTGAATCACAATACGTTGAACACATTACACTTCTTGCAGTGCCGGCATATCTTTGTGAAACTGAGTTTTCGGCAGCTGCTGTGATAAAATACAAGTACTGTGCAAAAATCGATAGGGGAAAAAAATGACCTTGGAACAGGAAATAAAGGTAGTGGTGTCCAACATGATTCCGAGGTGGGATACAGGGCGTGCCCAAGAGGTAATGCACACTTCACCAGTAATTACAGCTATTTAAGACTAAAATTAAAAAAAAAAAATTGTTTCTCTCAATTTACGGACATTGTTGTTTCCAAGGGCTACAGTGTAACTATGGCATAAACACTCCAGTCCTTTGACATTGACTTCTTAACAAACAGAATTGTTACTTATGCCTCTTGGCCTGCAGGTAACTTGAAGTTACAGAAAGGCGCTGTGACCCATGAAGTCTGGACTCCATCATACCACAGGGCTCTGGATTAGTATTTCTGTAACTAAATAATCAGTGCAACTCTATTAGCTTTTTCCTGTTGGCATGCAGGAAGGGGAATATGCAAATTCAGAGGGGGAAAAAGGTCAATAAAACCACTAAAGACTTAGGCAAAGCAGTCAGTTTGCTTGATCTTTGAGAAACCACCTTCTACATTTCTGGCAACAGAAGCAGTAAGGGGCCAGAGGAAAGCCAGATTAAAACTGATGCTGATATAGGTGGTCAATAAATATTTACTCAGAGAAGAAAGGGCTGAATAAAAATCCTTACGTGAATCAGTTGTACAAGTACAGGCTCCAGATTGCAGAACATGGACCTGGCCTCGACATAGAAACTCAGCTGTTGTTCAAAGTCACGGCCAAAGGAAACCTAGAATCCAGGAGAGAGATCCTGACAATGTCATCTCTGTGTGGCTGGGAGGGTGTTATGATGACAAGTCACCAAAAGTCCCACAAACACAAATAGGTAGAAATGTAAAGGGTACATAGACAGACAGACAGACAGATACACACACACAAATATACTCTAACTAGGTTTTACATCCAGCTATCATTTAAATATAACTATTACCACTTCATCTTTATGACATGGGCATTGGAGTAGAACATAAAGACCAAAGGGTAAAAAACAGAATCTCAAGCTGGAAACAGGAATTCCCAAGACTAGAAGGAAACCACTGGACAGGAAATAATGGAATGCTGTGAGTCCGCTGTGGCCTTTTCACAGAACATAAATTGCGTTATTGGGGGCCACTGGGTAGGGAGAGGGTTTCTCTAGTTAGAGTCACACCTTTCTGCTTCCTGGTGGGAATTCCAACCCTCGCACCTCTCGAGGGGCTGCTAAGCCATAGATGGAAGTTTCTCCACTGTTCAAAATCCCCTCTTTTGCTATTTCTTCAAATTTCTGAACAGCTTGTTAGCAGGACAAACTTTACTGCTACAGCAACCGTTTTTGTCCAGAAGAGGCTTAACATTGCTACTTGCATTATAGCTATCAAGTTTCACATCTTGTTTTCCATTATAATTTGGTGGCTTGCAGACCAAGTCACAGAAGGTTAAGTGCCACATGATCAGCATAAACCCAGGGCACAGGAGAGACACCTGGTAAAAGCCACTTTGTAACATGGAAAGGGAAAGGTTCATCCTGAATTTTCTTCAAAACTGCCGTGTTGCCCACAGTCAGGTGGATAGCTAAATCGACCGCCATCATTGAATTGAGTCACATTTTCAAGATTATTTCCAAAGTGATCTATTAATTCTATCTTGGTCAGCTTTTGTCCTGACATTTCTATTAAAACAGAGGATGCTGGTGGCAGCTGCTGTTTCAGCCCTGAGCAGCAAAGATGGGGGCCAGGGTTGTTCTGGCTGGGATGCCCTTGTGGGTGGCTTCCAAAGAGGGCGGCAGCGATCCCACCCACGCTGCTGTGCTTCCACAGTGTCCCTCTGTATGCGTCCCATCTGGTGGCAGCGGCTGCCTCCCCTGCCCTCGGGGGGCTGGCCCTGTGACTTGTGACAGACGCAGTGTGGTGGGACACAGCCCTGCTCACCATGCGCTTTCTAAATTGCCTTTCAGAGGTCCTGCAGCTTCTATTTGGACCCTCACCACCTAAGAGCTTGGCTGAGACACAGCATGATGAGAGAACCGTGGAAACAGAGGTCACGTGGACAAGAAAGGAGTCACCCCAGACACATAAGCAAGGCTGTCCTGGGCCCCCAGCCCCATCCTTGCCACAGGAGCAGCCTGGTTACATTCTTAAAGGAATGTAAGAATGAATAAAATCCTGGCATTTAAGGCCACGGAGTTTGGGGGTGAGTTGATAGGCAGCTGTGGGTAGCAAAAACAGACAAGAATGGACACTTGGCATTCTGCACCCCAGCATCATTTCACCATCATCTGATGAGATGTACATCAGGGGCTTCAGAAAGGCCCCCTTCTCCCCGTTCTGGCGGCCCAGGTGCGCATGTGTGCAGAGCATGGCTAGTCAAGCATTCCTTCCCTTTACAAGAGCAATTTGGGCGGATGATCCAAATCAACCCAAAGACACCCAAGCCCAGGACTTCTGCTGTAGGCCTTCCCTGGGGCAGCAGAGCTGGAAGGAATGGAAGCCTAGAGCCTGCCAGAGGGACGAGAGACCAAGGACACGCAGGCAACACCAGGACCCCAGCCCAGCTGCTCCTTCCAGGAGCCCCACCCTGGACTCTTTGTCATGTGAGCCAATTAAGTCCCCTCCCACCCTGTTTTATTTTTCCCTTCAGCCAGTTTGTCTTGGCTCCCTGTCCCCCCGCGCACCCCCCCCCCCCCCCGGGAGAGTGCTGGCTAATATCAGATGTTTTCTAATTTCATCTCATCTCAGTAAAAATGAAAGCACCAGGGAACCAAATGCTAACTATTTTTACCAGCATCAGGATAAACAGTTATATCGCATTGCCAAGCGCACAGCAACTTCTTCCCCAATACTTACCATTTTGATAAATCCATTAATCAAATATGCCAGCATTCTTTTCTCATCCTCAAGAGTGAGCGCACTAAAGTCAATAATTGTACATAATTAACATTGAGAAAATAAATGAGTTTCTAAAGAAAAAAAAAAAAGACATTAACAAGCAATGTTTAACAGGTAAGAAGAACATTCTGCATTTTCTAGACTTAAAAAACTCCCAACGGTCTATATTTGTGCCTTTTGCTGGAAATACGTAATCTACATTAACAATTTAAGTGAGTTTCTCACCCCTTTCTAAGATGTTGTTCTTAAGATGTATTTAAGAGAAGGTAGCTTTCTCTTGTTTGGAATTTGGACAGCAAAGGCCAACTGCAAATACCGTATACTTCAGAGAAATGTGAACTCAACACTTTCAAAAATTTCAAATATGTAGCAGAGTTGGAAGAGTTTATAGTTGAGTACCCACATACCCACCATCAAGATCCTATCATTATCATTTTACAATATTTGCTTTATTATATTACCATCCAATTCCCTCTCCATCTATCAATCCATTTATTTGGGGGATGTATCCTAAAGGCAATCACACATCTCAGTTGCTTCAATTTAATTAGTAATTGAACACAAATATAAATGAGAAAATCTCAAGTCCTTAGAGTTTCCATGATACATCTGAAAGTCTATAAATAGTTTCCCAGGTTTATTTTTGAACAATTTTATGAGTCCAGAAAAAATAGGAATGAAGCTTTTTGTTTGTTGTTTTGTTCTAAATGAAAATAGGTATTAGCAAAGACTGCATGCCCTCCCCTCTAAAAACCAACAGTCCCTGCATTCTTTAAGACTACATTTCCCAGCACCCTTTGCAGGAGGGTCTGGCTATATGACAGTGCTGGCCTAAGGGATGTGGATGCAGGTGATGCAGACACGTGAGCATTGCACATTGCGTCCCTGAAGGAAAACCACTGCCCTCCAGTGCCCACAGGCTACAAATGGGCATGGTCCAGGTAGGCCACCTTCCCCAAGGACGACACCCATTGGGATTTCAGAGCATCAAGCCAGAAGGAAGCTGGGTCGCTGGATGATGTGCTAAGGCAGAGCGTCCCTTCCCCACCTGCCGGTCTCACACTTTCCACAAGATACAAATAAACCTCCTATTTTACATAAGCCAAAACCAGTATCTTACTACAGGATGCTTTTTGTGCCTTTATTTCTATTTTTGTCCAACAAAAGTCTATTGGTTGCATTTATTATGAAAAGTCTCAGTATTTCAATATTTACAACTAACCATGAAGGTGAAAGCATGAAGTCATGAAAAGAAAGATTGTAAAATTCAGAGGAAGAAAAGAGAAAAAACATACAATTCATCTGGTTGATGGTTAAGTTTCAAAACAATTTTCTCAATTCTTGTAACATCTTCCAATAAATCAAGCTGCTTACGCTTTGGGGACTAAAATTTTAGCCACAAATAAGCAGGAATTGCTTTAAGCACAGTCAGATGGAAACATTATATAACAAAACAAAACAACTAGAAAACAGAGGAGTGATAATTTGGCCTCTGACCCAAAGGTAAGGTTAATGGGTAGGTCGGAGTCTCACATCTACTGAGCAAATAAAGTCCTCATGCAAGGAATATAAGCAATTTCATTTGAATTTCAAATAATTTGGCTAATAATGAGAAGAAAATGTAAAGATTGTGTAACTGGGTTGGGGAAATCATTATTATAGTATCTGTTACTCTCAAAAATCTCCAGGAGACGTGGAGTTCAAGTCCATTAAATGAAACCAGCCTTGTTCTCCAACAGCAATTTCTTTGTAAAAACATCTGTCATCTCATTTTCTCAGCCTCTCTCCTCTCCTGCACTGGAATGTCTCGTTACCGAGAATCTTAATAGATCCCATAAAACAGTATTATTCCCAGTGGTAACTTAAAGCAGTAACCCCGTGATGCAGAATTACATGGTTTTAGATTCCACCCATTAAAAAAAAAAAAAAAGATTCCACCCATGTTACAGTTCAGTCTTAAGGCATGGCTTACTTCACGGAGTCGTGCATGGTCTTGCAAACATGCAAAAGGGCGTTCAGAATGACGGGGTCCTTGGTGGGCTCTTGCTGATGCCTAGGAGACATTTAAAGGTAATGATAAAAGCCACATCCACTGAGAGTGGCGAAAGTGTGGACTCCCCTATGGTACACAGTTGAGAAGCAGCAATTTATCTGGTTGGCATTTAACACAGCCCAGCCACCACAGGCCATGTTCTGGTTCTCTCTTAATTCTTCTTTAAATAAGAAGTTCACTCTCCTACACATTGCAACCTGACTTCACTGCAAAATCTTGGCAAAACTACATTTCCTAAGCCAGGTAAAGGGCAAGACTGTTTACTTAATTACGTTTCTGGAACTTTCTGAAGCTGTCCACAACCTGTCTACAACTATGTTAGGTGGCAGGTAAAATTATTAATTTGGTTTTTCAAATAATATAAAAGGACAAACTCTTATAATAATATAAGGAAAGCAGGCATATTTGTTCAAGCATATGGAATTAACCGTTTGGAAAGATAACACAAGGAATATAAAACATATATTCCAGCAACATCTAACTCAATTTTCCAAATCATGTTTTTGACCATATCCACATATTTAATATTTAAAGTGACTTTAACTTTTAATTTAACCTTGTCCTAAAATATATGATATCACCAATTAAATTCATTACACATTATCTAGCTTACTTGAAAATAAATGTACAGCTTTTAAAATAAAAAATCAATCCTCCCTGTTCCACCTGAAATTATTTTATTCACTACCTCCAGTGGACAGTTTAGAGAAACACAGATTTGACCAATAAAATGGAAGAAAATAGATCTGAAAACTGGTGGTCACAATCTAAATATTAACGATGACCTCTCCTGTCTCGCCCACTGCTTCCCTCAGCAGTGTGTTTCGGTCCTTCACCTATTCTGCTCCCTGCTCTGTCTCTGGTGAATCCTCTCATCCTCCCGTGCCTCTGGCCTGCACCCCAGCTCTTGTATAAATAAATAAAATATTTTTTAAAAAAAGAAGAAAAAAAAAGAAAACCTTTCTGACTCTGGTACCTTGATTAAGTATGATTTTATTTTTATCTTTTAAATTGTTAGTAGTAGTAGTTTATCATTAGAGCAACTCCTTCCAAAAACACCTTGCAATAAAAATACAGGTGTGAAGGTCCATAAGGTCCATGCTGCTTTCCTTACTCTGTCATTTTAAATGCTAATTACAAACCTTTATTGTAACTGCTCCTTTTAATGTGGTTTTCCTTTCAATGTTATTTTAGGGATGAACGGCATACATGCCACTAAGCCAAAGCACATAAACGGATTTCCTATCAACAGGTTTCATTCACAAGGGTGGTAGAAATCAAAGTTTTCTGTTAATGTGTTACACTTACTTGATGAAAACTTCCATGATGCATTTGCAAACCTCCACCCGCACACTCTCTTTTTGGAACATGTCCAGAAATGGCAGAAATTTTTCCTAAAAATAAAAAAGCACTCTACATGCAATTTACAGAAGTTACTGGAAGGAATAGTAAAGATAGTGTTTTTCTTCCAGTCTACGTGAGTTATTTTTCCAAATGCTGTTTAACTCGTAATGACATAAATACTTAAGTTGTTTAAACCTAAACTACTTTATAAAAGAAGCTGTTAAAGTATTTATTTTGGCCTGGGGCACCATGAAAAATTACCGAGACATTAAGGGAATCTGTGACTCAGATACAAATTTCCAAAATAATTAAGACATGTTACTTACCACTGAGAAAAGCACCGAGAAGTCATGAAAGTGGGCAACCACTTTCTTAATTATGGACTGAAGCTGCAAAACAAAACAACACACACATCTTATTCAGTAAAACTTGGATATTTTTAAAAAGGAAATTCTTTCATAATTTGCAATTGTAATTACAGTCAAGAAAACCTGGATGCTCACAGAACAGGGAACAATGGGTTAGGCGAAGCTGGTCTCAGTCTGAGTTTGCCCCCCTCACTCTAGTCTTGGGGGAAAGCACCTTCTCAGCCTCACATGTCACATGGAAGCAGAGCAGCTTCTGCTCATCATGAGGATTAACTAGAACGATTTCTGGAAAACGTGTCGAGTAGTACCTGCCCGTTAACACATTTATGCACATGAATGAATATTTAGCGGGGGAACCTCTTCTATGCAGCAGTCATCACGGTGACTTAGCTCTGCCACAATGGCTTGAAAGCAGCCATAGGCAACATGGAAACGAATGGGCGTTGCCGGGCTCTAATAAAAAAACTTCATTCATAAACTGTGGGTGTGTAGGGGGGAGGGGGTGACACACAATGGTCATGAGGGAGTGAACAAGGCAAACGTTAACAACCGGTAAATCGGGGTAAAGAATAATGGGCATTCTCTGTGCTATTCTTTCCACTATCCATTAAGTTTTATTTCCAAAGAAACTGAAAAAACATAAGCACCTGCTTACTGATGTAAGTCACATCTCACGCAGCCTCACAACCACTGTGGCAAGGGGTGGTGGTGGGGGAGGGATGCCCCTCTCAGTCCCATTTCACAGGTGAGAAAACTGAGGCCCAGCAAAGATTAAGTGACTGACTAAAGAGCACACAGCTGAGACATGGCGGAGCGTGGATTCAAGCCCGGGATCAACCAACCTCACAGCCTGACCCGTGCAATGCGCCCATTTAATCCGCCAGGTAAAATGCCCCAAAGTGCAGAAGTGAGAGAAACAAACCTATTACCTGCGGGTAGGAGTCTTCAAAGGCGCGATCTGGAGTCATGTGCTTGATGACATCTGCCAACACCGTATTCACCTCTCGCTTCTACGTGGGGAAAGTAAGTCACACCTGTATCACACACTGCACGGCAGACACTTTTTTCTGGCACAAAGGACTAACATTTTTAGGAGACATCACACACCTTCCAGGGAGAAATCACACCTGTATCCTAGCGTTAAAGATGGTCTATGACGGTTGTGTCCACACAAAGACCAGACTAAGACACAGTTCGAGAAGGTTCCCAGGTGTTAGCTTGCCCCTGCTTTCCCTGAGTGCTGGTAAAGTAGGCCATGCCGCAGGCCCCTCACCAGGGAGAACAGTGAGGCATCGAGGCTTCCTGGCAGAGCAGAGTTGCCCCCCGACAAGCGGGGCAACCCAGAGCCTGTTCCACCTTGTCATTTGTGTTCTCAGGCTGCCAGCCACAGCCCAAGTCCAGCCCAGTGCCTGCTTTATATGGCCTGTGACTTTGAGAATGATTCACACTCAAGTTAAAAAGAATAGCATCTCATGATAGCAAAAACTGTATGCGACTCACATTTCAGTGTGCATAAAGTGCACTGGAACACAGCTGTACTCACTCACGCATTGTCTCTGGCTGTTTCCAACCACCACGGCATTGCTGGACGCTTGTGCCAGAGATCACACAGACCAACAAAATCACAGATACTTACTATCTGGCCTTCTAAGGAAAAAGTCTACATGCCGGGCACAGCGAAGCCTCCCAGCACACAGCACCTGTCCACTACACAGCCGCCATGAGGTGTAGGCTCTCGCCTATGCTCGCAAGACTCCCCAGCATGGGCATCATTATCCACATTGTACAGATGAGGGGACAGAGGCTCAGAGAAGTTAAATGACTTAACTAGGGTGACATGTTTTTTTTTTGTTTTTTAAGTCTGTCAGTAGCACTAAAAGAGTCAATGCTCCTTGCAGAAATAGCTGATTCTGAATCTGGGGAAGAAATAGGTAAAGTGGCTGGAACACTTGACAGCAGGCAGCAAGGAAAGCATCAAAGACCCTTAGGAGGCTCGGAAGCCAACCTGAAAAACATATGCGGGACGCTAGGCACTGAGCATCAGTGGGTTAAAACACATCAGAGGTATCTGAACCCATGAGTCTCTAAAGACACAAACAGTCAGTACTATTCACGGATCACCTTTGGGGATGCTGGGGAATCAAATCCTTAGTGTAAGAACTAGTAAATAACAGGGACAAGATGAACATTAGTACTACGCTTTCTATACAAACTGTACTTCGGGGTAACCAAGTACCTGACAAGAGGAGTTTCCCTTTATGCAGGTATCACAGCTAACAATAAAGAAGAAATGATAATAACTGCAAACCTCACCACTGGGCAACCTCTTACAAACCGTGAGATGCAATGAGCTTCAGTGGCTGCTCCCAGAGAGACAACGAGATTCCACGAACCCACAGCCCATCGAATCTCTAGAAATAAAGTCTCTGCTCTTTGACAAGCCTGGTCTTTCCCAAGTTGGGTTCCAGTCTGGGTCAGTGTCTTTGTTTGCTTGGAAAAAAATTACATGCAGGTCAAATATGTTTGGGAAAGTCTGCTTCCAAATGCCTATGGAAAGTTACATGGTAAAGTCCATCAGCTAAATGGACTTCAGCATGTGAGCATCGAAACATACTATGGTAAAAAAATCTTCTCCACTCTGTATGATGCAGCATTTCCCAAGTTAAATATGAACTGTTATCTATAGTGCACATATTAATGCTCCATCATGCCGTATCATAAAGGAAGCTATTTTTTTAACTCAAGGTCAATTCCCATTGTAAAATGCCTACAAGCTGAAGCTAGCCCTGTTCACTCTCATAAACACAGGAAAATGTATATATATTCTTTTCAAAAACGATTCTAGTCATACGTACCGTGAAATGCCTGCAGGTGTATTCTACCCACACTTCAGCACAATTAACATACTCCTACAAAGAAAAGGTAAAAATACCTTTACAATAAGACACAGGGTTGATCTCAGGGCAAAAGCTGAACAGTTGCCAATCCTTTCAAGAGTTCTGACACTGAAGAGCGATAGGAATTTCAAGAGTGGTTCATCTACACAAAAATCTGGCCCACTGATATATCTAATGCTGAGGGTGAGTTATAAAGACACTAAGTGGCTTCAATGAATTACTTTAATTCCAGAATTGCTACACGGGTGGAGACAGAAATCTGGGCATCTCTGCCATGCCTGGACCGTGGACAGGACGCTGGGGAAGCCTCACTCCACCTCAGCAGAGAAGTTGACATAGAGCTGGCAGAAGCTCCAGCTTTGCCTAAAATGTAACATTCGCATGTTCTGGAAAAAAAAAAAACCAACCAGCTTCCTGTCCTAAAAAAAAAAAAAACAACTTTGTCCTACAGAGAAGTGAAGTATATGTGCTGTGAAAAAGTTAGCAAGCACAAAGGTTTTAGATGAGAAATTGTATGTCTGATTCAAGTCCAGGAAAAACAAAGAGATGGTGTGGAATTGATAGTGACTTAGGGCTGAGGAAAAACTGGCCAGGGAAAATGGAGTCTGCAAGTATGCCTCTTCTGTTCTGACACTGGAAAAGAAAGATAGGAAGGGAAGAAAACAGTAATTTCATTCACACAAGAAAAGCCAGGAACATTCTTAGGGCAAACTGGAATGCTAAGAAGGTAAACTGAGGAAAGTGAGTGTGAAGTTAACGACTGGAAAAGACTGTTTACATAGGCTTTTGATGCAAGGTTGCTTTTAACCACTGCTGTACTGGACCTCACAGCCCCAGGCTTTTGCGTTAAATAGCCTAAACAAGCTGTTTCAGTTAGCCAATCTGCGTTAATTAAGTAGAGAATTTCAACAGCTGAAGTTGAGTGGGGAATTTGCTAAATGTAAGCTAGGTGCATAATTCTGTAAATAAGTTTTCTAGTTTTTTTCTAAAGTGTACCATTGTCCTAAAGGTATTATTAAAAAATGTGGTGACTAGCAAGGGTTTATCATTGATCGCATTTTAATAGCCCCTTCTTGATAATAAATGATTGTATCGAATGCTACTTATCCATATTCAGATATTTGCTGTGTTAGCATGGAATGTTTGTGTCCCCCCAAAATACATAAGCTGAAATCCCAGTTCCCAACATGATGGTATTAGGGGGTGGGGCCTCTGGGAGGTGATTAGGTCATAAGGATGAAGGCCTCATGAATGAGATTAGCGCCCTTAGAAAAGGGACACCATTCAGCTCTCTTGTTCTTCCCTCCATGGCAGAAGTTGGCAGTCCGCAACACAGAAGGGGGCCCTCGTCAGAATTTGACCATGCTGGTTCCCTGATATTGGACCTCCAGACTCCAGAACTGCAACTAATAAACATCTGTTGTTTAAAAGCCACCCAATGTGTGTATTGTTACAGCCACCTGAACTAAGACACCTTTTAAAGTTTCAAATACTTGTCATGGCCTCAAGATAAGACATATTTCAGTATGAACATTTTAAAATGCACATTTAATCGGTTCTTCATTATAAGTTAATATAGAATTTTAAAAAGTAGAACTCTTCAAAAAAAAAGGTATGATTGGTTGAGAGATTTTTTTTTTTTAAAGATTTATTTATTTATTTATACAAGCACTGGGTACAGTCAGAAGCACAGGAGGGTGAGAGAATTCACCAGAGCCAGAGTGGAGAGCAGAGCAGGCAGAAGGACCGAAGTACACTGCTGAGGGGAGCAGCGGGCGGCAGGAGAGGTCTGCGCGCCATGTGGGACCCTCCTCCGGTGGCCGGGGAGCAGCCAGGGATCAAACCAGCGCTGCAGAGGCTGCGGGCAGCTTGGCAACCCAGCGCTCAACCGCTGCGCCACCAGGGAGGCCCGAGAGATTTTTTTTTAAAGAAAGAACATACAGGGGCCTCCCCGGGGGCGCAGCGGTTGAGCGCTGGGTTGCCAAGCTGCCCGCACCCGGCCACCGGAGGGTCCCACATGGCGTGCAGACCTCTCCTGCCGCCTGCTGCTCCCCTCAGCAGTGTACTTCTGTCCTTCTGCCTGCTCTGCTCCCTGCTCTGGCTCTGGTGAATTCTCTCACCCTCCCGCGCTTCTGACTGTACCCAGTGCTTGTATGTATGTATGTATAAATCAATAAATCAATCAATCAACAAATAAATAAATCTTTTTAAAAAAAAATAAAGAAAGAACATCCAGGAAAGCTTGTACAAAAGACAGTTGATCTAAGGTCCAAATGTCACCGACCTGTGGGTTCTTCAATTTCGTGATAACTTTCCAAGCTTCATTGAGAATCTGAAGTCGGTCCCCCTCGGGAGGGTCAGCCAAGGCCAACTTCAACCCCAGTGAGCGAAAAAGAAGATGCTAAAGGAGACATCAACCAGTTATCACACTGGAGACTTGACAGAGTAATATGAGGCTTAAAGAAAAACATCACAACATTTAGTTCACCTCAGTCAGGGTTGAATTCCCAACCGCCTCTTTCTAAAGTTCTACCACAGACTTATGCTGGCCAGACTGAGACACTCAAGACCCAGCTGTTTTGTGTATTGGCCTAATTTGTGAGCCACAGCTTTCCATAATGAGTGCAGACACATTTGTCAAGACGTAAGAGCAAAGTCTTTCCCAGACACTGCCCAGTGAGCACTCATGGCCTTGTCCGTGTCTGACAGTGCCCATCGCCAACCCATCGTCCACTGAGTTCTGCAGAGACAGGGCCTTTGCTCGTTCTCTGCTGTCCCAAGCAACCCCAGCACTGGACTCTGTCCCTTGAGAGTGACCAGCAGAAATGCTGCCTGTTTGCTCCCCCTCAGCTTTATGGCCAGAGCCTACCTTAGGGAAACCGGACTCATCACACTCCTTAATCATGGCGATGAAACCCATGGACCTTGCGGCAATGAACTCGGCCTGGAAAGCTGACATCACGGAGTTCAACAGCAACGCACTACAAGATACACACACCACATCAGCAGGGCCTCCCCTGCTTTATTTTAGAGTTGCTTTATTTTAGGATGCGAGTTGCCAGGAAGGATGACTGACAGCCCTTTAATGGTAAAGCTGGGGAAAATTTTTTTAAACAGACAACCTCTAGACACTAATATTTTGTGCATATCTAGAACTTAATAAATGTTGAACTGACTGGATGAGCAGATGGATGGATGGATGGATGGATGGATGACACGTAAATAAGCAAGTGATCAAATCCACTTAAAAAGAGGTAGAGCAGGCCTTCAAAAGGCTGGTGCACTGATGAAATGAAACATCAAGCAATGATATTGATCCAAGTCACAGATATACATCCACATGAATTACAAAAAGCACCATTCTAAGGTATGGAACATAACAATACTGGGGCACAACAAACCCCAGCCGAGGCTGCTCACCCCTCTACCATGGGAAGGAGAGCAATGGATAAGCTCATGTGTCTGGGAGTCAGGAAGATCAGGCTCATCCTGGTCCTATAACTTATCACCGCCCCATAGGAGAGGGGACTATTTCTGTATCCATTTTATAGAAGAGAAGACTGAGGCACACAGAGGTCAGATTAGTGACCCAACATCCCAAAGCTAAGTAAGAGTGGAACCAAGGTCTGAAGCCACACCCTCCCGCCTTCCTGTTGGCCTGCTGGCCCGCTCGCCCACTCCGCTCGCCCACTCCGCTTGCCCACTCCACTCGCCCACTCAGCTCGCCCAGCGGAAACAAAGCAGCCAACTCCATCTCCAGACTCCTGTTTGATGAACTTGAAAAATACTTACTTGTTTCCTAGTTTCTTGCATCTCTCCATCATCTCAGTTAGCAGGGCCTAATCAAGTTGAAAAGTATAATAAAAACCATCAGGTTGGAGAACCTAAAGCAACATTTCTAAAGCAACAAAGAAATTTCTCAAATAACACTTTAAAATAAATGTAGCCACACCCATTTACACAACTCTCAGTGCCTGGCATGGGAGGGGAGACTGGGGGAGGGAAAAACTCACTTTCAAGGCACTTAGTATATTGGATGGGGCTCTGGGTTCAAATCCATTCTCACCAACCACAACACTGAAACCCTGGGCCAGTCCCCCAGCCTGTGAGACCTGGTTTCCTCACCCTTCAGCAGATGATCCAGGCAGCACCACTAGCAGGTGGGCCCTGGTGTACCACGGTCACTATGGTCTCACGGCCACCAGAGGCAGCCTCTCTCCTCCCATTCCAGAGGAGAACACAAGTCCCAGGACAATGGCGTGCTGTGACAAGGTGACACAGCTGGCTGCATTGTGCCAGGTGTGACAGGGAGTCTGGTATCAAAGGCTATGCTCTTCACCACATTTCCTCTCCTTTTATTTTAAAGCACATTTTCTCCCCCAAAAGGAAGTAAGCATTTCACTCCTGGAATACTGTTAATGGCTTTAGAACTGTCTTAAAACAATTATCTTGAAAAGAGCTCCTGTTTAAAAAAAATCAATGAAAGAAGTATCCTTCAGGCAGCGGTCTGGAGAAGGTTCTGCACAGCACAAAGTCAACCCGAATACTAAAGGCCACCAAGAGCAGCCTGGACCCCAAGTGCTCCCCATGCCCCAAGTTAGGCTATACAGCTTCCTCACTGACTCTTCACAACAGCCTGGGACACCCTGGGAAATGATCCCTGCTTTACAGAGGTCAGAAAGGTCAAGCTACTTCCAATGAGAGGGCAGAGGGGAAAGGAGACTGGTATCCAAGTGGGTCCTGAGGCCAAAAATAAAGGAATCCTCTTTAACATAAGTACACCCTTCTGTTGTGGCCCTCTGGATCCGGGGAATGGCCTGAATAATTAAGGTGACCGCTGGCTGTGGAACTATTATCAGGGCCCTCAGCCCCAGAACCCTGACTTGATTCAGATTTTTGTCTCTTCCCCACTATATCAGGTGGTATCCTGTTACAGACTGAATCAGGTCCCCCTAAAATTCATATACTGAAGCTGTAACCCTCAACGTGACTAAGTATGGAGACAGGACTTTAAGGGAAGTGAGGTGATAAGGTGAGGCTCTCATCCAACAGCACCGGTATGCACACACACACACACACACCAGGTGCACACAGGAAAGACCACGTGGGGACACAGCGAGAAGTCACTGGTCCTCAAGCCAAAGAAAAGGCCCAACAGAAACCAACTCTGCTGACACCTTGATCTTGGATTTCCAGCCTTCAGTGAAAAAATACATCTTTGTTGGGTAAGCCCCAAGACCATGGTACTTTGTATGAGAATGTGAAGTCCATCCCTCTAATATGGTCTAAAGTTTGAATGCCACACAAAATTCCCATGTTGAAACCGAACTCCCAAAGTGATGGTAGCAGGAGGTGGTGCCTTTGGGAAGTGATGAGAGCCTGAGGGTGGAGCCCTGGGGAAGGGGATTAGTGCCCTTATAAAAATGGTCCAAGAAAGCTCCCTTGTCCCTGCTGCCATATAAAAGCTTGTAGATCATCTACAAGCCAGGATGTGGGCCCTTACCAGATGCCAGATGTGCCCAGAAAGTGAAAATTCATTATCTATTGTTCAGAAGTCACCCAGTTTGTGGTCTTTTGTTCCAGCAGTCCAAACAGACTCAGGCTAATGGAGGCTGAGCAAACTAATATAGGTCCAAGCTCATCATCCTTCCTGTGGGGTGAGTGGTGGGTTAGATGTGGGGATATGGTGCATCTCTAGCAGCTGAGATGGGAGCTTTGACGAAAGGTTTCCTGTTCTTAACCAGGAACCCAAGGACCTGAAGATGAAGACCCCATACTTCTGCCCCTGGATGCTGTCACTTCTGGAAGTGATGCTGCTATCTGGGGCCAGCACAGCAGAGACAGATGGACAAACCTGTCTGCCTGGACCCCCACACATGCCAGAGACAGAACACACTAATTAGTTTTGGGAGTTGGTTAGGTGTTTGTTCCTGGCCATCAGAAGCATCCCAGCTGGTAGTAAAATTGATGATGTCACAAATGGCTTCCCCAACCCAGACCTGAGGAGTTTATATTTGAAGTCATTCTTGAAGACCAATATCAAAGCGATTTGTGGGAAAGGCTAAGAAAGGCCATTTGCCCCCAACACACACCATCCAGCACCTACCCATGGAGCAGCTTGGGTGTGCCAGCCACTGTTCTGGGCATGGGGAACATGGTGGAAGACATCAGACAGAAACCCTGCCCTGATGTGCTCAGTCTTTCTCGTACACAGGCCGGATGCACACGCACCCAAGGGAAACCTCTCAGCCCGCCACTCCTGCAGAGAGGAACTAGGGCAAATGGCAACATATGGACAAAACATTCTGGTCATTAAGACAAATGTTCTCTTAAAGTTCTCTTTTTCACAAGAGATGAATGCATTAAAAAGGCATCCAAGGATATGACTTTTTTAAAAAGGCCTTCTTGCAATTAGAACTGTAGGAATACCCATGCATGTCTCGGGAGCCAAATGTTACGGATCCCAGGCAGGACCGTTAGAGGCTATTAATTTTTTTTTCCCTGAGAAGTGACAGGATTGATTATTTTTGGCAAGAACAAGAACAACAACAGTTCACACCAGGTTGAGATCGAAACAAGCCTGTTGGCCAAGAGAGACCACTGAAAACTTGCAGCTCAGCAAGTTTGCAGACACAAGTCGGAACTTGAAGATTCGTAGGACCCCAACATTTCACTTATTTATATAATTTTTTAGTAAAAATTATAAGAAACGTTTATAGACAACACTTCTGTGCATTAAAAGTGTCACTATCCTCCTTCCTAACTCCAGCTTCCTACAAGGGCTCCCCAGGGCCAATATACTCATGTTTATCTTTTTAGACCTTTGTGCCTTGTGAATAGACAGATTCTGTCACAGATCTTATTTGACAGTGTTACAAAAATGGACAGTGTGATTCGCACAGGCTTGCCTTTTTTTATTTAAGAAATCTAGCAGGGGCCCCCCCTCCCCCCAAGCCAGCACACACACATCCACCTCATTCTTTTCACTGCAGAAGAACCTACAGGCTGGAACCTACAGGCTGGACACAGCATTACCGTTATTATGAACATTATTGTTCAAACTACCCCGAAGTGATGAAGTTTTAAAAATGTTTTATCTTGAGCCAATTATAGACTCCTAAGAAAGTACATAAATAGATGTCCTGGTACCCATCACCCAGCTTCCCCCAAGGGGAACATCTGAAACTTACATAATGTTATAATGCAGTGTGACTTCAAGAAGAAAGTCATTAATTAAAAAAATGCAATTCACTGGAGAGAATTTGAAAATGAAAAGTTAAAAGGAGACAAACAGTCCCCTAAAATCCTGCCATCCACCAATGGCCAGTGTTGGAATTTTGTTACATCCCCTTTTTTATATCTCTGTCTCTGTTTTCACTCTTACTCTGTAATTTGGTTTTGAGCCTCTTCCCCTGTATGATTTTATGGTGCTCTCCCTTGCTGAACACTGTAATCAGGGCCTCCCCTGGTGGCACAGTGGTTGAGCGCTGGGCTGTGAGGCTGCCCGCAGCCTCTGCAGCGCCGGTTCGATCCCCAGCCACCGGCAAGGGTCCCACATGGCGCGCAGACCTCTCCTGCCACCCGCTGCTCCCCTCAGCAGTGTACTTCGTCAGTCTGCCTGTTCTACTCCCCGCTCTGGCTCTGGTGAATTCTCTCACCCTCCCGTGCTTCTGACTATACCCAGTGCTTGTATAAATAAATAAATAAATATTAAAGAAAATTAAAAAACACTGTAATCAATACCTGTTAAGAAAGTTCGGTGACCCTGAGCCATTCCAGGAAGAAACCGGTTTGGAAGGCAGGGTGGGTCTCTGGGGGTCAGGGGGTGTCAAAGATGCTGCTAAGCTTTTGAGACCCAATTACCTTCCTGAGGCTCCTTCTGTGCCAACCTCTGTCGGTTCCTTTACATGGGCTATCTTAATCCCCTCTCAGAGCTCCCTAGGCTGGCTGTCACTATCATTCCCATTTTACAGATGAAGCACCTGAGGCTTCCAACTTGCTCAGGTCACACAACTAAAAAGAGGCAAGCCATGGAGCTACAGTAGCATAAACTCTGAAGCCAGCAGTTTTAGTCTTTCAACTCCTGAAGTCTTTCTAGATCTTTCCTGCAATTGCTACACTTGAGGTGGGACTTAGACATGACAAACTGACTCATGGGACTGTTGCTCCAATAGTCACACTATAAATTGCACTTTAAACAGCCTAAAATACGATGAGGTTAATGTTGCTTACCAAAGACTTGCCTTGGCCCTGATAAGGCCCCCTTAGGCAAACAGGTGTATTATTTTCAGTCTTTCAAATTAGGAAAACTCCCCAGTGAAATAGAAATAATGTTGAGAAATTAAAAATTTCTTCTTCTAATGCCTGAGGTAAAAAATTTCTTTTTATTGAATATTTGAAATACTGAAATATTTCTTTGAGATTTGAGCATATTAACTTTGGACTGAGGGTAAGTGGTATTAGTGTCTAAGATTAGTTTATGACTTTGCCTGTCCTTTACATTTCTGCTTCATTTAGAAAAATAACAAGGGAAATCCGATATGCACTCATGTAATTCTCATTTCAATGGGACATTTGTAATATGTGTAAATTATGACAATATTCATAAACACTGATTGGAAGTTTGTTTGGTATGGTGCTCTTTGGTAAAAGCAGAAGTATAACCTTGGTTTAGAAAACACAGCTCCTTCCTCTTTTTCCTACACTTCTGAAGTAGGTAGATAATCCTAACCTGGAGATAACCTTGAAAAACCACAGTTAAATAAATATATTTAAAAAATGAGTAAACCAAACATAACAATGGCTGTACAAATCCATATTTTAATGAAATGCCACAGACAAGTGTTTCCCCTTTAAGAAAGAGCACTGTGAAATAGCCTAATTGTATTACACTAATGTTAATTTCTGGCTAATACATCATATTAAAAGAAAACGTACCAAAAGTCACACTGGCCAGTTACAGATGGCAGGAGTTTAGGGGGTTATTTTTCTCCTTTTAACCTGCCCACCTTAGCAACATGTGTACACACTACATACAGTTAACTACTAAAAGTCCAAATCTGTTCTTCACCATACTAATGAATATGCATTTTTATTAATAAATGTTTTCTGATTACAAAATCCTCTCCTATCCATTCTGTCTCTTGTTTTTCCACAGCTACCAACTGGTCTGCCTCTCGCTAATCCATCTGCTATGCTCTGTCAATTGGATTTTCAAGCACTGCCTTTTTCAAACCATTTCCCTGATCGAAAATCTTCAAGCGTTGTGTGATTGCTCCATTATGCATGTTCAACTAGCACTGCAGCCTGGCCCCCCACGTCCTGCCCCCCACTCCTACCCAGCCCAATGTCTCACTCTTCTCCAGCAACCCTTGTCTCCTTATAATGCATCTTACCTACCTCTGTTGGTATCTACCTAGCAGCTTCTCCCCTGGGCCTTTCCTCTATTGCCTCTCTCCCCTGATCTGTCTCCTGGCCTTCAAGTCAGTCCAGACCCCTCCACTTTAATGAATGGTTTAATGAGTAAGACCAAATATAGCGATGGCAGCCATCCTGATCTATCTGGTGCCAGCCACGCACCGGCCCTCAGCCAGTTACTGATGTGCATGGTCACGGTCTATTACCTGTCTTCTTTTACAGCTGCTAGACGGGGGGCACACAGAGGCCAGGCAGCCCAAGCAATAGCTCCGGTCCCAGGCCCCACCGAGGCACTGTCTCCATCACCAGCTACAACCCGTGTCGTACCACTTAGCAAGAGAGCGCAAGGAATCCCACACCAGACCAGACTCTGGCTGATGTTGGAGACAGGCCTTTTTGCTTCTTTACCTCGCATGCCACCCCCAACAAAAAGCCACTGAAAACAAAGAGAAGTTTATCAGAGAGTTTCTGTTCACCACCCCCAAGCAGGTTTTGCAAAAATGGTTGCTTTTTTCCTATGCAGAATGGGCCTGAAAAAAGGGGTATAAATCTGTTTTTAACTTACTATAATTTTAACTAAATTCTGTTTTCAAACAAAGAGCCCTTCTGAATAATCAGTCCCTGATTTGGGAGTTGGGCAGTGGGGGAATTTTGGCTTTCAATTTTGACTTGAAATTTCCTATGTCAGATGCACCCAGCTGAAGGCATTTGTCCTTTCCCTGCTCTTTCTCCTTTCTCCATCACGCTCACCTGCCCGTGGTTTACCAGCTGGCACAACTAAGCAAGTCAATCCCCTACCTTAGAGGCTCTCCAAGACACACACAGCTCTAACGCCACAACTGACCCACCCCGGCCACTGTCATAGAGCTTTCGGGTATCATTACCATCACATGCATTAACACCCCCTTCCACACTAACATCAATTCTTCTGCATTTTAAAAATGATTTTTTTTAACAAGATACTGTGAGCTCCTTATTTAAGTGCCCTAAGAATAATCAGAGTTTATTATTATTCAGGTGACCTAAATTTTTTTAATCAATCCTGCTAGCACAATAACGATTTCCTAGAGTTTTACTCCCCAGGAAAGCTCTATTCCCAGCTTCTGCCATCCTTTGAGATTACTAGTGCTTAAAATAAAAAGAAGAATGATTTATGACATGGACCTTTTGTTTAGAATCCAATTTTGCTTTTCATTAAAATAAGGATTAAAAAAAATAAGTGTGCTTATTTTCGAGCAGCTCAGTCCTGCCCAGCTATTTCAGCCACTCAGCTGACGAGGCAGGAGGGCAGCCCAGTCCCCAGTCCCTTTCCCGGGAGCCTGCGCCAGCCCACGTAGCTGAGATTGTGCTGAAGATCACAGAGAGTGGCCAGCAAACTTCCCAACAAACTTCCATTATAACTAGCCTGATTTAAAATCTATTTGCTTAGTGCTAAGAAATGTACCTGAAATACAAGATGCCCCTATTTTTCTCCTCTTGCTTTAGGATTTGGAAAAATAAAAAAATAAGCAATGTGTTACACTTGCTGAAAAAATAGAAAAACAGGCTAAATAATACGATCTCAATGTTGCTCTAGTAATTATGCTGTCACATCTCCTTCCCAGTGCTCTCATGCAACCATGAAATCACGTCCGAAAACATCCCAGCAACGGGTGGGGTGCTTGGCTACGCACTGCACAGTCACAGTGTTTGACCTATGGGATAGGCTGGCAAACTGGAATTATTGCTCCTGTTGCCTAGATGAGGAAGGAAGGTTGCCAGGGGTTAGGGACGCTGCCCTCTGCTGTATCCTGACAGCTTCAAGCAACAGAAATTCAGATGCAACATCCTGACTCCAGAACCCACACCTGAACTCAGGGCCACACAACCACTTGGGACATACACACATAGCAAAGTGTGTAACCTCCTCATTTCCCTCAGTAACATCCTGAGGTACCCTGGGTCAGGATATCCAGACCTTCCTGGGTTCCTTCCTTCTAATGGCCCTATAATACCCCCCTGACTTCACACATCATCATGCAGCCAATCCCCTTCTGCTGGTCAACTCCAACTTTGCACTAGCACGAGCAAACCTACACACGTGGATGTATGAAAATGTGTGTGTGTGTATATGTGTGTGTGTTCATGCATTTGTCTTAAAAGCTGGGCTGCTTGGGCAAATTGCGTCCTTCTTTTCAGAAGAAGGCAGGTGTATCTGAGTTTTGCTTTGGTCTGTGTCTCTCGTTTTTTAGCAAGGCACCTTTTGCTCTTCCCCATAGAACAAATCCTCCACAATCTGTAAGAAGACAAGAGAAGCTTCACTGATCAAAGTTATTATGACAATTTGAGCAGGTGTTTCCACCGAAACTGCTTCTCAGTCTTGGGGAAGGGGAAAAAAAGTATTTCTGCTTTGATTCTGACTTCACTTTAATTCCTAACAACATTTCTATTGCAGACAAAGAAAAGGAATCTCATAAAAGCATTACACAGCTTCGTCTCACTTTTCCTTCTGCAAGATGGGGGAAACGTGACATGCTCTACTGACTTTATGAGAGCATTACGATGCATACAAGGGGCAAGTGAAGGTTAATGAAGATGCAATGAAATCCACGGGCCCTGGAGTGAGAGTCCACATATCCAGTCACTGTCACTTTCTAGCTGTGTGACCTACGCAGGTATTTGCCCTCTCTGAGCCTCCACATACTCCTCCCGGAGATGTTAAACAAGACAATCTAGGAAATGTGCAGTGCACAGAACCAAACTTGATGGAGCCTGTTACAAAGGCTGGCTGGCAGAAGCTGCTAGGTCGCTGGGCTAGAGGCATTACCTTAAGATAAGATCCCACACTATACAGTGCAATGTCACCACCCCAGTGGCGAACATCACACTGAAGCCACCTGGCAGTTACCTCGGGGGCATGGTAAGAGATGCATTGGAAGATCCAGTCCATGGCAGGCGAGTACAAGGGGAGATAAGATGGAAGTTCTACTCCCTGGACCACCAGCTGGTTCTGGACCGTATCCCCATGAATCTACAGGAGACCAAATAAACACTTAGAAGAGGAGGGAGAAGTAACATAACAAAGAGCATGTCACTCACGCACCGTGCAGACGTGTAAGCATTTGGATGGTCCCAAGAGACGGAGCCTCGTTTCTCGGGTTTTTTTACACTAGAAAAAACACGCCGAGAAAGTTTCCCATGTCGCCATGCTGAGCTGTTTGGGGAATGTGAGCAGTGGAAGGAAGGAACCTGATAAAAATGGAGCCAGCAGATGCCAAGAAGAAAGGCGGATCAACTGGAGACATTTCCTGTTAACACATGCATATTAATTCTCCAGGCTTGTTCAGTACAATCAACACATTTTAATTATCTGCAACAGACGCTGGTGCAATTTTCTAGGGTTTACACATCTTAAGAGCTTTAAGGCAAATCTCAACTTGGAAAATCAACTGGTTTTGTCAATTTGTGAACCTGTAACTGTTCTACCAGTTAGCTGTTCTGCTCATGTTCTCTTACCTGTTTGAGTGTAAGAAGGAAATCGAAGAAGTTCTTGTTGAGGCTCTCCTTGAGATGTGGGGCCACTTCCATTCCCACCTGCAGCAGAACCCAGAGACATTACTTTGACCGCGGGCAAGCAGGAGACAGATAATAGACCTCCACGGTGCCATGTTTGTAAATTAAGATCTAGCCACAGAGGAGGAGTCCAGAAAGTTCATTTGTATTCTTTTAGCTTATCTCTGTTCTCATTCAATAAGCATATATTGCTTTTATAAGGAAAACCACAGAAGCTATTTTTAATAAAAAAAAGAACAGCATTTTCAGTAATCATCTTTGCAATTTCCCAAAGGTAATAAATGTATTTCTGAACAGATGACCAAGAGAACAAATCAATACAGCACTCGGGGGGAACGTCCTTTCAAGACAGTATGTACTACATTCCCTTCCTCTCTAAAAAATGATACACACACACGGGGCTGGACTTATTAAGTGAAGCGAGAAGACTCTGGTACGTAAGAGTCAGCGGGGACCTCGCTGATGCATTGTTCAAATACACAGATTCCTTCTGTGCTGGGCTGTCAGGAAAGCACATAAATTTTCATATATTTTAAGTAATTTTATAGAAGACGAGTGGACAGTGTAACAAAGCTATAATCCAATGGCTGCATTCGTGATTTAAAAAGCAGAATGCAACATTTCCAGATGAAAAAAAGTGTTCATCAGAGAGGAGGCCAGAGCCCCGAGGTTGGATAGAAAAATGAAGGTATGAGCTATGGAGGGGAGCTCGTATGTTGAAAACAGAGCATGAGAATCGCCTGAAACCCCGGTCCTCAGACACACAGCAACGCCTGACCACGCACACCAGCACAGAAACAACTTTGTAAGGGAAGTGGCTTTTCTGGACCTGTTTTCTTCAGATGGGGACAAAGTTTAGCCACATACCTCCTCCCCACCCAGGGGTCACAAAGATTAATGATAATGTTTTTTAGATGGCTGTGAAGAATTCCTTTGGGAAGAATTATGTGAGGTCCATCAGGGCATTAAATTCCAGGGCAGCGCTATGGCTGTTGGGGCTGTTTCCGGGGACAAGCAAGTAGATTAAAACAATACGAACAATACTAACCACGAACATCAGCTCCAGTTCTACTGCGTATGGATTCTATTGTCTCCCCTTCCACTTAATCATATCGTGGAAAAGGCATTAATTATCTGGTAGGCGACAGGAAAGACATGCCCAGTGGACAAGCAGTAGAGATGAGTTGAGGGGGCTTGACTTAGAAGAGAAGTTAATCATACTTTTCTTTAACAAACAGCTTTGAGATTCCCCCCACGCCCTGCCCACTCACCACTTTGTGTTTTGTTTATCTCTTCCCATCAAGCCAAATGAGCAGCTTGGAAGTCTGCTTGGGTCAAAAGTATTCTACCCAGAGTAGCAAAGAGAGTTGCTTGTGATTTCTCTCTGCTGTTTCTGTCTGGCTGGCACACATTCCCTATTCTTGTTATCAGCAAACGATTTGATTTTGGAAACTCAAACCTCCCTCTTGGACCATGAGGACTGACTGTCATGGAGTTGGACGTACCCCACAACAGGGCCCACGGTGGGGGGCATGTGGCCCTGGCTCCATCAGAGGGGCATACCCTATCCCAGGGCCACAGTCCTGTAGATGGACAAGTGACGCAAGGTGGTCCATTGAGAATCAGCCCTGAGACTGGCTGGAACTACAGAGGAAGGCCCTCTCTTTCCCCCGGAGTTCCCAAGTTGGGAGAATGGGGGCCTGGAGTAGCTGTGGGCTGCCATTTTGGAAAAAGCAAGTCACAGAATGAAGCAGCTGGTTAAGAAAGGCAGAGTTGAGTGAGGAGGGAGAGAATGATTCCCGACAACACATCCAGAGCATTTGCTGTGCTCTTCAAGGGGAAGGGAGGCAGCAAACATGCAAAGGACACTGCAGCCAACACCAACAGGGCAGGAGGAGCAATCTTCCACACAGTCAACAGGTGGCGCTCGAGAGAACACGCCCGATTCCTGCAGGAAAAATCCACCGCAAGTTTGAAGCAGATGGCAAGGCGCAAACACTCTGGCGTCTGCTGTGAAGGGGGAGCAGGCTGATGGTAAACAGTATCAAGAAGCCAACCTATACGTGTCATCACGGGGTGTCTGCGAGGCACTCTGAGGGCAGTGACGGCTTGGTGTCTTTGGGACACACTGAGCGAGACATATTTGCTGAATGTCAAATAAAAAAAGCAAATCAAAGGCTGCCAGTCCTGGCCTTCTGGTTTAATATATGAACAATCACCAGCAGAGGAGGGGAAAACTTGACACCGTAGCTCTGTCCTCAAGGAAGTCAGCAGAACAATCCTCCCTCTCTGAAGGTAAGCGTGCTGATGGACCAACCAGGAGGACGCCCACTGAGAGCTGGCCAAGGTGAAGCCTTTTTGTGAGTCTAAGATGACCACAAATCCTCCATGGGCGTATTTTTCATAAACAAGAAACTTAATCATTATAAGTGGAAGCTTCTCATTGCTTTTAAGGAGAAAAAGTTTTAGGACGGCCTCGCCCCTCAGAACAAGCTCAAAGTCAGGCCTGCGCCCTCCACAGCCCCTGACGCATCTCCCGGCCAGACAGCCTTGACCAGCACACACTAAGCCAACTCTTTAACAAAAGGACAGGAAAATAACCAAACTATCAATTCAAGATAAAAGAAAAACATGTTTTAAATCAATGAAAATCAGCCTATCAGTCAAAAGGCCTGGGAGGCCTCCTTCCTGGCAAGAAAAGGAGAAACAATTAATTCTGAAAACCAGTTCATTTGTAAGATGACCTTAAACGTCCCTAATTTAGAGTCACGGTAAGTGGGTCTACTTTAAAATTAATTTTTAGAAATCCTACAGCTCTGCTTTCTGTCAAAGAGCTGGGCTCTAAAATTAGCAGTTTGATAAAGACCCTCTTTCAGAGACTGGTGCACTGGGGGGCAGGCGGGGCCCCCTGAAGGAGACAGAAGGTCAGAGCGAGCTCACCCGGCACAGGTAGGCCCTGGCGTACACTGACACCAGCGGGTCGCCGATGCCGCGGATCATGCAGGTCAAGCGGGGCAGACATTCTGAAATCCCCCTGTCCGAGACAAAAAGAGGGCAGTGTTACAACCGTGTGAGCGCTCTGTTCTTTTACTTTTCAATAAAGACAGAGCTGGACTCCCTACACGGCGGGAGAAGCAGGGCGGGGCCAAGTGTCAGTCCCCCAAGGCCCTGTAACATGTCTCTCCTGAGGCTTCCCTGTGGCACAGCGGTTGAGCGCTGGGCTGCGAAGCTGCCCGCAGCCTCCGCAGCGCCGGTTCAATCCCCGGCCACTGGTAAGGGTCCCACATGGCGCGCAGACCTCTCCTGCCGTGCCTGCTGCTCCCCTCAGCAGTGTACTTCGTCACTCTGCTGTTCTGTTCCCCGCTCTGGCTCTGGTGAATTCTCTCACCCTCCCGCGCTTCTGACTGTAACCAGTGCGTGCATAAATAAATAAATAAATAAATCTTTAAAAACAAACAAACAAAAAAAAACAAGTCTCTCCTGAAGACCACACTCACTGCCTGGCTTTTTCCCCATCCCCACCGTTTGTCAAGTACTGGAATCCAACCTCCACGTTTTTTCCTCTTAGAGGTCACGTTATTTATTTTATAGATTTAACAGTTTTTGTCCCAGAGTTGTTTTCCATTGAACCATCAGCCCTTGATTTTCCCAATATTCTCGCCACGTCGCTGTTCCTCAGTCACTGACTTACTGTCCTGTGCCCGCCCCCCAGCAGCCGACGCCTGGCACATCGGGCTGGCATTGCGACCCCCATGCCCCAAAATATATTGTGAATCTTTTCTCTGATGACATGGGGCTTCACTTTGCCTAAGGCATTAGCCGCCCCCACCTGGTGAGGCAAAGTAACTGTTTAGCACTAATGCGGACACGCCCCCCACCCTGCCCCAAACCACCCCAGGCATCCCTAGATCCATATTACCTACATTTGTTCCCTAAGCTCTGTCCACTACTCAAAAAAAAAAAATCCCAGGTGAGCCAGGGAGGTGTGAGGCTCAGGGGCAGAGGCTGTGCTTCTTACATCATCTCCATCGCCATGAACCAGCAGCCACTGCATGTGAGCGAGCCCACTGTGTGCCAGGGGCATTCTCAGTGCGTGTGTGCGCGTGTGCATGTATGTAGCCTAATAGGCCTCACCGTCCCCTGCTAAGGGTCTTGCTCACAGAGGAGCTCAAGGGTTAGAGAGGCTGAGTTGCTTGCTCCAGACCAGGCAGCTAACAATAGCAGAACCGGGATTCTCCTATGAGCTACTCAACTTCTAGCCTGTGTTTATTGCTCTGTAAACCGGAAATTAAAATGGTATCTCTACTTCATCGAGTTTTCATTTGGACTAAATGAGAAAGCATCTAACAAATGCTTAGCTTCAGATTTGCTACACACTTAAGTACCCGATGAATGATCACTACTATCACACCATCATTAGTGTGTGTATGTGTGTGAGAGACAGAAAGAGAATTTTTTGGACATTGGTTCTGGACATTTAAAAAGCATCTTACATTTGGGGGGCCTCCCTGTTGGTGCAAGGGGTTACACATCAGCACTATGAAGCAATCCACAGCCACTGCAGCATGAGTTCAATCCCCGGCCAGGGAGCTACCCACATGGCGCAGCAGACCTCTCCTGACTCGCCCGCTGCTCCCCTCAGTAGTGGATTTTTCTGTCAATCTGCCTGTTCTGTTCCCCACCCTGTCTCTGGTGAATCCTCTCACCTCCCACACCTCTGGCCTACACCCCAGCTCTTGCATGCATAAATAAATCTTTTTTTAAAAAAAAGCATCTTACGTTTTGGAGAGGAACTTGTTACACTTCAGGATAGAAGCTTCCACATAACTGCAAAAACATTCTGTTAAGGAAGACATTTTCCAGACGGCCCGTTCCTGTGGGGAAAGGACTAAACTATTCATGTACAGAACTAGGTATGTCTTGAGGGGTTGGGGGAGCCCAATGGGTCTCAACAAGCCAGACAATGAAGTCAGCTTAGTGGCTTGTGGATTCTAGCTTTGGTTTTTAGGTTTCATACTTAATTTGAGTAAAATGTGAGAAAATGCTGCATCCTGGTTCCTGGTTGTGCAGTTAAATTCCAACTGGGCTGAGCTTTTTTCAAACCTGGCTTTCTGGGGAAAGAGTGACTCTGGATCACGAAGATTTCCATGTGTATAAGATGAATTCTCTGTTCTCCAATACCGGCATTTGTGGAAAATGGCTTGACCCTGCTCTTTTGAAGTTCTTGGAACCAGAGAAAACACAAGAATAGAGCATTGTAATTGAGAGAATTAATGTGGAGATGTTCCTCAAGAAAACAGGAAGCCTGTTTTCAAGCCTGGGATATGGTATCATTTTCAGAGTGAAAAAGAGAAGGGAAAGTTCTTAGGGACGGCAGGCATGAGAGGGCGCCGTGGCCAGCCCAGTATTTTCAGATGAACAACCGTAACGGGACCAAATTTCAACAGGAATTTGAGGGCATCCCATCACATGGCTTCGATTAACAGTGCAACTCTTTTAGCCTATCTTTATAAACATCAGACTAAAAATCAAAAAAAAAAAAAAAAAAAAAGGATACAATCTTGGAATGAGTTCCCTGATGGAAGCGATCTTGAAAAACCAATTTAAGCATGTCTCTTTGGCTGTGTCATTGACATTCTCTGGAGAGAAGTGATCTGGAATACAAGCACAGCACCAATCAGTCTTCCCGATCCTCAGGCTTTGCAATGGCTATGGAGATCCAGGGACGGGAGCACATTACCAAGGCGAGGGAGGAGCGCAGCCACCCAGGACACCTCTGTCTTCCTGCCAGATGTCACCATCGTGATGAGGACACGGGTGAAGAGAACGAGAGCACGCACACAGGCGAAGTGCCAGGGGTGGTTCAGCCCCACAGCACCTGCCGAGTTAGGTACCTTTATCCTCCTCTTTACTGCTGTGGACACCGAGGCCCAGAGAAGTCTCGTAACCCACCCAGGGCACACAGCAAGTGCGCGTAAGTCCCAGGAGAGAAACAAGAGCACAACTTCTGGGAAACAGCTTTCAGGGAAGGGGCCTGGCCTCCCTCCCTCCTGCCTTGTGCCGGCTGGAATGCACATATGATGCTGGATGTCAACTGGGCATCCTACATGCTTGGCCACTGCTTCTGATATAACTCAAGGTTCAGTGTACTTACCAGTAACTATGATGATATTACTAAGAACTCTACATGCTTTTTAAGGAAGCTACCCTGCAATATGAAATGTGAGGGAAGCTTTTGCTATAAATATCACAGTGGCCAGACTTGAGGGTAAACCCAGGTCCTGAGTTAGGCCACCAGCTGAACACAGACTTCAGTCAGTTTCCCCCGTTTTCTGTTCTCTTCCTCTAACAACAAAACTCTCCTTTTTCTGCTGGACGTCTGGCTGTCTTTGTGGCTAGGTGTGGCCATGCCACCAAAGGCCGGTCCCAGGAGAGAAACAAGAGCACAACTTCTGGGAAACAGCTTTCAGGGAAGGGGCCTGCCCTCCCTCCCGCCCGCCTTGTGCCGGCTGGAATGCACATATGATGGCTGGCGCCTCCATAACCATCTTGAACCAGGGAGGCAACAAGACAGAAGTCAGATTGCTGTTCCCATGTCTGGCTGCCCCAGCCATGTTATTTGGAGGATTCTGGCACCCCAACCTAATCTTAGCCTACACCTCAATAAGGAAGAGGTTATAGAAAATTTTGAAAGAATGAAAAAAATAAACCACCAAGCTCATCAACACCAACAAGCCCACAGCTGAACTCTTGGAGAAAGGCCTTCTCCAGGATTTCTACACAGAGGGAGGCCATCCCGCCCATGGACATGCTTATGCTTTTAGGATCCAAACACAAAGGAAAAGTGAATTACTTGAAAATACAGCAAACGAATGCTGGCTCAGGGGCTCTCATCCTGCTTTACAGGGAAGTCATTTTTCCTTCCTGATTCTGCTCCTTGGTGATACATGATAAAGGTGATCAAAATTCTGATGGGCTCAGCAAAAAGATAAATTTCTAGGTACTTCACTGGCTGAGAAGAGTCACTAATCACAGCTGCAGACCCTGGCATTGCCATCTCCAGTATTTATCTACTGGGGAATGTTCTGGCTTGCATCCTGCATTCAAGCCCCATTTGCATTCTTTTTTTTTTTTAAGTGTATTATTTCACTTGCCATTTTCAAAGGGAAGGGGATTGCCATGTTCCCCTTCCTGGCCTGCAAGCGTCCACATAAAATAGCATGGTATTTTCAAGTTCCAAGAAATCCAAAGAGGAAAAGATAAGGATTATTCTTGAATTCATTTGTCAATCTTGCTTTTTGGTAGAGGGAAGAGAAGAGTTCATTTCCCGTCATATGACTGAATCGTAAGATTTGAAACCCAAAAGCAAAAATAAGCCTCTGAGGTCATCCAGGAAATCCCTCACTTCATAGCTGAGGGGACAGATATTCAGCAACAGGTGGGACCACAGAGATTCAAGTGCCAGAGAGCCCAAAATCACAGGAGGCTCAGCAGAGACATCTCGAGGCTCAGCAGAGACACCTCGAGGGCAAGCGACACAGTCTGCACATCCCAAGGCTTCAGACTTGCCTTCCAGCCCAGTAGGTAACTTAGGATAAGGGTGATGTTATGTGGCAGTTTGAAGTCCTACAGCAAATTAAGTAATACAGTAACATTACAGATGATTTCTGCTACTCAACCCAAGTGTTTTAAGAACTAACTAAAGATAATATTCTAGACTATGGGAAGGTAACAGTACCCAAAACAGACTCTATCCTCATGAAGTTTACATTCCAGTGGGGAAACAAACATAATAAACAGGAAAAAAAAATAAGCAAGCAGACAAATAAGATCACATGTGACAGCAGTCAACACTATAAAAGACATACATCTAGGTGCTGGAGTAGGCAGTGATGTAAGGGGATGAGGTGGGGCGCTGTCACCAGAGAGTGGCCAGAGAAGGGTCCTGGAGAGGTGGCACTGGAGCTGAGACTTGAATGACAAAAAAAGGAACCAGTCATTCTTAGATGTGGGGGAAATGTATTCCAGGAAGAGGAAGCGGCAGGTGGAAAGGCCCTGAGGTAGGTCTGGCATGCTCAAAGAATAGGAAAGCAAACCAACTTGAGCAGGAAGAGGCATGAGAGTGAGGGGAGCAGCCTCAGGGAGGGCCCTGAGAGCTTTTCTAAGTGCTACAGAACCGCCTTAAGGGTTCCAAGCAGAAGAGGCACATGGCCTGGCAAGATTTATGCTTTAGCACGTGGGGTGTTTTGCAGAGAACGAATTCAGAATTGGGCAAGTAATTCAGCAGCATCTCTAAAGTAGACAAGAGCGGGACTTTTCCTTCTACTTCCCACTTATTTTTCTTATGGTGCAATTTTTGACCCTGAGTATCTAACATCTGTGGATATTTTAGGAGGAGGGAGGAGACCAAGGAGTCCAATTGTCTTTAATTTGCCAAGTCTCTACCCCAGCAGTGAGCAGACTCTTTACATAACTGCTTATAGGGCGGCCACGTCATCTTAGGGTATGCCTGAAAGGCCAGGTCAGTTAAGGACACTGCTGACCCAGAGGTAGCGTACGTCAGCCTCAGGGCAAGACAGGAGGTGGGAATGCCCACAGTAGATGAAGAGATACTCATCACAACCCAAACTATTACTCCCAATAGAAATAAAACTATTGTATCACTGAGATGGTCTCGTCACACATGACAGGTTAAAAAATATCAGGAGAAAATGACCAAATCTAGTAGGGTGTCCTTCTGTGAACCCAAAGGACACTGGTACCTTTCCACACTCCTAAGAGCCAGGCTTTAGGCAAGACTCCTAAAGGTGAAGGCCTCAAAAATTCAATCTACCACTTCAACTTGATTCAGATGGAGAGAAGGAACACACAGGCCAGCAGATTTCTTTCTACACACAATTTCTCTAAGCAGAATCCTGAAGAGTAGATTTCAAAGCTCTCTCTTTAATTATTAAGAGTCATCCCCCAAATCACTGACTTTTTTGAAGAAAATCTGCCCTTTCCCCTTTCAGGTTCCTGGAGCCAGAGATGAGGTTTGCAGATGAAGATTTTCACTGAGGAGGAGGGAGGGGAGAGTAATTTTAAGGAAGCAAAATCCTGATTTGCACAATTTAAGGTGAAAGAAAAATACGCGTCTGGGGAGAAAAGAATTTTTAGTGATGAAAGTGCCAATTAATGTAGTTAGAACTGGATATGAAAGGTCATGAAAATGATCTTTCATTTTGAAATTTTATAGTTTAGGTAGGAAGTTATTGTAGTTTTTCCTTATGTGACCCAAAGATGGATGTACAGTCAGTGCTTGTTGGGAGGTAGGAAAATCACTACAAGACACACACTCAGATCTCTGGGGCCAGGCAGATAACAAAAGGAAGGAGAACCTCTACCAAAAAGCATTTTAAAAAATTCTGCTGCAGGGCCTCCCTGGTGGCTCAGCGGTTGAGCACTGGACTGCAGTAGCCTCTGCAGCACCGGTTCAATCCAAGGCTGCCGGCGAGGGTCCCACATGGCACGACAGATCTCTCCTGCCGCGCCCGCTGCTCCCCTCAGCAGGGTATTTCATCTGTCTGCCTGTTCTGCTCCCTACTCTGGCTCTGGTGAATCCTCCCACCCTCCTGTGCTTCTTACTATACCCAGTGCTTGTATAAATAAATAAATAAATCTTTAGGGGAAAAAAAAAATTCTGCCGCAAAGAAAGAAAACATCTGAGTTTAGTTCTGCCGGTGGGCTGAGAGCTTACGCTGCTGGTGGAACCTGAAGCAGCTGGCTCAGGCTCCCTAGCCCTTAGGCCCCAGGCCTACCCCTCTACCCTACCGGCTCGCTGCCTCCCAACTGGAGGAGCCTTGAAAGTGGGAGGGGCATCAAAAAATATCACCGGTGTGATGTGGGGGGTGGGAGGGGAAGGTCTAGAGCATCAAAATATGGATGTGAACCATGTTCAAAAGATAAACAGCTAAAATTTTAATAGTACTTATACCCAATCTATCCAAATGTTCCAACACGTAACCAATACAAAAAAATTACTAGTGAGGTTACTTTATGGCTTATTAGTATTAAGTCTCTAGACTCCAGAGTGTGCTTATACACCCAGGGCAGGCCTCAGCTTGGCTGGGCTGCGTGGCCAGTGCTCCAGAGCCACCTGCAGCTGGGGACGCCATATTGAACAGTGTTGACCCCGCGCGAAGGGCAAGGTGCCCAGCAAGGGCCGAGAAAGCCCCTGATCCTTCCCCACTGGGTCTGCTCATCTACATTAAGGAAATGACTCTGAAGAGCTCTTCTATCCCTGAAAGTCGGAAAAGTTCTGTCTTTTCTGACAAGTGTGGCTTTTGAGTAGCTTTCTTTAACAATACAGATGGATGATGGAACAAAGAATAGAAATAGAGTAAGAAAGGTTAAGGAAGGGTAGGTCAAATTATGAGTTACTGAGGCAGATGCCATATCCTTGTCCCCCTGGGTCGTGCCACTGCTGGGGCAGAGGAGGTGAAGGAAGAGGGAGCAACACACTTGTCATTCTAGCTTCAGTGCAGGGACATCGTCTTAGAGCAGTGCTAGAAACCTGAGGGGGAAAGGAAGCTGTTGCAAGAAATCCACGTTGACAGCACATCCCCATCATTCATACAAGAGACTCTATAATCTAGTTGTCCCCTTATAGCCACCTGCGCAGTAAAAATGGATTGGCAATACATTTAATGCAAATATCACTTGGGCACAGTATAGATTCACAGCATCTGCTGTCATTGATTTATTTGACTTTGTTCGTCAACACATGTAAAGTTGATTTTTTTAAAACCAATTTGTGTCTTAGAAAGACATGTAGGAAAAATGTTAAAATGTCAAGCAGCAGAGAAATTAAGCTGGCATGAAAGTTCAGTGCAATCCATCTATGGATGCATTTTCTTCCTTCTGAATCCAAATTATCTGTGCAAATTCTCAGCCAGACTGAAAATGTGATGTTTTTTAAAAAAACTAGCATGATCAGAAATCTACACAAGTGCTCCTTTTACCTTTAACACACTAAAAGCTAAAAAACACACACTACTTCTGGTCTTCATAAACCTGGACTTGTTATAAATCTAATCCCAACTCCAGGGTGGAACGACACAGGAGTGACATGGGGGCAGTGAAGACATTACCTGGTAAGACGCTGCGGTTATCCACACACATAGAAAAGATGCGCTCATACACAAGCTTTCCTGGAGAGAAAAGGACATACCATGTTAGCCTCACACTCTTCAGGAGCAAACACAAGGTAAATGTTTGTTAATTAATTAGGGACACAGGCAGGGCATCAGCCCAATGCCTTTAACTTGTGATAGTATGCTGCCACCAAGTGGACACATTTTAAGTCACTTTCCTTTTCATTAAAAGATGTTTATTCTTTGTTAGAAGCAGGAAAGTGATGGTTCTTAACTGAAACTTAGAGCCAAAGAACCTCAGGCACCTCCATTCTCTCAAAGAAAGACACTCCACTTCATAATCCAGGCCAGAGGCTGCACATCGGCAGTGACCCGTTTTATTTGGCACACAGCAGGCTGGTCCACAAAGTATTTTAACATTTTCTAATTAAATGCCAAGAGGCAACAACTGGGAGAATTCACATGAAAAACCAGGTCTCCTACTTCTTCACATATGATGTGGCAAAAATGGGCCCATATCCCTATAAGATAAAAGTAAATTAGAACAGATTGGTAACTGGTGGTCCCTTGAAATGACATTTTTAACCCAGTTAGCCACAATCTCCACCATTTCCTATTGTCTCATCAACAGCCTGCTTCACTCATGTATGTGGTCTGCCTGGTGTCTGGAAGCATCAGAACTTCAGACTCAACTAGAATGCAAGATCTGCAAGGGAAGAGGCCTGTGTCTGGTTCACTGACACCCCCAGTACATAGATCAGTGCCTGCACATTCTTTGTTCAAAATATAGAAGAACGTATTAGGTTGTGGGACTCAGAGGTCACTGTCACAACTACTTCACTTTGCTAGTATAGCACAAAAGCTGCCGGAGACAGTATGTAAACAAATGGCTGACTTAAAACTATTTAGAAAAACAGGGCCTCCCCAGTGGCACAGCGGTTGAGCGCTGGGCTGCGAAGCTGCCTGCAGCTCTGCAGCGCTGATTCAATCCCCGCCTGCTGGCAAGGGTTCCACATGGCATGCAGACCTCTCCTGCTGCACCTGCTGCTCCCCTCAGCAGTATATTTTGTCAGTCTGCCTGCTGTGCTCCCCACTCTGGTTCTGGTGAATTCTCTCACCCTCCCGCACTTCTGACTGTACCCAGTGCTTGTATAAACAAATAAATCTTATTAAAAAAAAAAAAGAAAAACAAGTGGGCAGTCTAGACATGGTTTACAAGCCAACCCATAACCTAGTACAAAAAAATAAAGCATTTGGAAAATGCTATCAATATTCAAGAGATAAAGAAGTATAGTTCTGTTCATTTTCTGTTCCCTTCCATATCAAATTTCACATCAAAAGTACCTCCTGTGCTTCAAGGCACAGGGAACCCCATTGCTCGAGGCAGTAGGAACCACATTCCTTGTCTAGACATGGAAAATGAGACAGAAAGTTGTAAGGCCCATTGCTGGTCCTCAGAGAACGTGGGATGCAATGCCTCACTGGGAGGGTTCAGGAAGCCCAAGGAGCCGTGCTGACACCTCTCCAGCGTGGACTGGGCCATGACAATCACCGAGGCATGTGCTAGAAATGCTCACTCCTGGGCCCACACCTCAGCGCGAGTAACCTGCTGGGAATTCCCTCATACGCTCAAGTATGAGAGGCACCAGGGTCTCCGAGCTAACAGCTGGATGGAGTGTGACAACCTGCACGCAGCAGCGAGACTTCCTCACCCCTGAAACCAGAGGGTCTCGATCCGGCTGACCCTGTAGAGCACCTGGGGTGCCTGGAAATGTGCTGGAGCCCGTGTCCATCCTCCGAGGCCCTGAGATAAATGGTCTAGAGTGCCACCTGATGTCAGGGTGCTTTGAAAGCTCCCAGGAGGGCAGGCAAAGTTGAGAAGCACCATTCCAAGCCACTGCTTCAGTTTAGAGCACCCAGAAAACCTCAGAGATCGAGCCCTGTTTCTCCAAACTGTCTGTGCCCTCCGGGCAGCTGTGCTTTGGTTACCTGTGGGCACGGGCCCCACAGCAGCCACACTTGGTGCAAGAGAGGCCTCCTCCATGATGGCCACGGTCCTGTGCTGACCCTGCATGCAGCTTCTCCCCGGGCCATCGCCCAGCCAGCCTCGCTGGGAGGCCAGGTGACTTCTCACCTGTGTGCACCAGTTGTAAGAAGCACCTGCACTTCCTCCACAAAAGCCGCCATCTCGCTAAAACTACTTTAAAAAAAATTTTTTTTAATATTCTACTTCCCATTCTAAGGGGACTTTAACTACAAAATCATTTTTGACCAACTGAATCTGGTGAATAGTCTTTTCCTCCTTTTGTTAAGTGAGTAGATTGTTGTTTTGAGAAATAATACTCAATCCTAAATTTATTTCCTCTCTTGGTTCACTTTCTTCTCCATCAAGGGCACTAAAATGGACTCATAACGACAATGATAACAGAGAATACTTCCTGAGCACGTTGTGCCGGGCTTGGGGCAAAGTCGTGTGCACCGTCCCCGCCAGCCAGCTCGCAGAGGGGGACAGACGTCACAGGCTCCCTCGCAGTCTCTCGTCTAACTCTTGCCAGCAATCCCTGAAGGCAGGCTCAGCTATGCCCATTTTACATGTCAGGTTGAGCGCTGGGTTGCGAAGCTGCCCGCAGCCTCTGCGGCGCCCGTTCGATCCCCGGCTGCTCCCCGGCCACCGGAGGAGGGTCCCACATGGCGCGCAGACCTCTCCTGCCGCCCGCTGCTCCCCTCAGCAGTGTACTTCGGTCCTTCTGCCTGCTCTGCTCCCCGCTTTGGCTCTGGTGAATTCTCTCACCCTCCCGCGCTTCTGACTGTACCCAGTGCATGTATAAACAAACAAACAAACAAACAAACAAACAAATAAATAAATAAAACATGCCTCTATTTAAAAAAAAAAAAAAAAAGAAAGAAACTGAGGTTCAAGTTCATAACATAAGCTCAAGAACATAAACGCCCAAGGGCAGGGCGTGGAGCACAGCAGACACCAGAATTCAGGTCCAGCCTCACTGCTTCTACTACAAGCCCCCTGCCAGCCCAGCACTGCTCACTGTTCACTGCAGGTGCCTGGAGGACCCACATCTCTGCCCGGCAAGGTGCCCAATCCCATCAGTCATGTCAACAATCACCAACAACTGCCCTCCCGTCAGATGCTTCTGTGGGGCAAAGACGAAGGCAAGAGCTTGCACTCAGGCAGGCCGAGTCCCACTCCTTTTAAAGAGGCACTAACACTCAGCACGGGGACCCCAAGCACCACAGAGCCTCCCTGAGACCGCCCCCAGGCCTGAGCAACACTATTCACAGCAGATCCAGACAGCGGTCCCGCTGGCAGCGTCATGGAGAGAAGACTGAGAGAAGCATGGAAAGCAGGTGCCGGGTTTGTGTGTCTGGTTTCAAACAGGTAAAACGTTCCCATGGCCCCAAATTCCACTAAACCACTGAAGACACAAAGAGAGTCCCTGACAGCCTCTCCTCGCTGCCTATACCCCCACACCACAGTGGCCACTTTCCCTCCAGAGGTTCCTTAGACAAATACAAGTGGACACAAGCAAGCAGCCCGATGGTGCGTCTCTCCTGCAAAGTAGGACACAGTCCAAGGCTGCTCTGTATCGTGACCTGTTCCTGGGGGTTCCCGGATCAGACAAAGACTAAGCTCCTGACCCTTCTCTCCTCACAGGCGGCTCTGGGGCCTCCACATACAGACACCCCACCATGCATTTAATGGCCCCCGCTAAGGGCTACTTGGGTTGTTTCCAACATTTGCTATCTCAAGTGGGATGGATTCTCAGAGATGGAACTGCTGGGTCAAAGGGATCAGCAATTGTCATTTTCATGGGGAGCAGACCCCTTTCCTACCCCCACCCCCGACTGCTCCCACCCCAGTCAAGAACAAGAGGAAGAAAGCAGGTGCTTTGACCATAGAGAGAACTCAGTTTGAGCCCCGGTTCTGCCACTCACGACTGTGACCTTGACCCTTATTCTCAACTCCCAGCCCATTTAGTTTCTAGATGCAGCACAGGCGGCAGCACCCACACTATGCCCCGTCTTGCCAAGGGAGGGATGTGGCAGGGACGCCACCAGCAGAGGCTGGCAGGGGAGCTGCCCAAAAGTCTTGCAAAGTTGATGTCTGGACCTGGCTGGGCTTGCAGGTTAGAAACTGGATCTCACGAGCATCCCCAGCTAGTCTTGCTCCAGGATGCTGACTCATGCACAGAAACTGGCAGCGGCTGGTGAGGGAATTAAAAAACCTGGGTGCTGACTCATGGGGAGAAATGGCGCTGTTGAGAGAAACAGACAGCCACCAGCCAGCCCCCATTAGTGTCCCCACTCCATGGGGGCAAGCTGTGTATGGCAAGTCAAGCCCAAAGAGTGTATGGCCTGATATCTGTTCTGACAGTCTAACACACCCTTCTGGCCCAGATCACTTCTCCCCATTCTCCACCGTCTTCTGGGGTCCAAAACACCCTCATTTTTCACCTGAGGAGCTGCAATAGCCGCCTTACAGGACTCTCCACCCCACCTGTGCCCCAACATTCTAGTCTGCACATAATGGCCAGAGGGAGCCCATTAAAACCCAAATCAGATCATGTCCCTTCTGTTTCCCCCCCCAGGGGTTCCTCATGCTCCCAGAGACAAAACCCAAGTCCTTCCAATGGTCCACAAGGCTCGCAGGATCTGTGGTCATGACAGTTTCTCTCCCCATTTCACCCCCAACCTCACTCACCCCACACAAGTCACCTTGGTCTCTCAGTTCCACAAACCTGCCAGCCATGCTTCTGCCCCAGGGCCTTAGCACTGGCTGTTCCTCAGCCTAACATGGTCCCACCCTCCAGCCACCATCATCATCTCTCCCCCTCTTCAAGTACTTGCTCACGTACCAACTTCTCAGCAAGGCCTTCTCTGACCACACCCTTAGATCCCCTAACCTGGCTGTTTGTTTTTTCTCCATGCACTGATGATTGCCTAACACAAACAATCAGGTTCGTGTATTTATTCTACAACCCTCTACCTCTTACTGGAACATTAAACCCCGTCCCCCAAAGGTAGGGATTTTTGTCTCTTTGCTGACCTGTCAGCAGTGCCTAGCAGAGTCCCCAAGGCCACCTCTCCAGGCCATCTCAACCTGACAGGTCTTATCTTTAACTGGGACATAACTTCTCTTGGCCAAGTCAGTTCCCATTCTCCATTCCTCTTCTGGGATGACCCAGGCCTGGATAATCTGTCATTTTCATGCTCCGAAAACCATAACCAGCTCAGGGACCAACACGTGATACAAGCCAGACCAATGAGGTGGAACTCCATGACTTTTGTTGGAACACTTGGGGGAAAAAGAAGCTCCTTCCTTGTTCTGGAACTGCAAGCAGTAAAGATGGGAGCAACTGAGGACATCCTGGGGAGCTGAAGAATGAAACCAACCCAAGGGAAAGTTCTAGTAAAAGACAAGTGAGACACTGAGTTCTGGAAATCAGTCATACCTGAAGCTAGAAACAATACCCGGACTTCCCAACATTAAGCCAATAAATCCTCCCTTTTCTTAAGACTAATATGAGTTAGGTTTTCTGTTACTGGCTCCAGGTGACACACTCAGGTCCCCCATCTCGTGGGAATTAAGTGGGTGTCTGATGAATATTCTGGCTCCAGCCCAGAAGGTCTTTCTGTGGGCCATAGACCAGAGTTGCTGGATTGCGAGGCCCTCCAGCGCTCCTTGGTAAGATAGCAAGTGTGTGTTCTGACCCCCACAGGTTCAGTTCCCAGAAGGCAACTGCTTGTTGTTCCTGTGGGGTACCACATGGCTGAACTCAGTGCACAGCACAGAGGGCTGACCGTGAGCACCAACAGCAGGGGGACTACGTTCTGGCCACTGACCCCCCCACCAAGGTGCAGAGGCCCCCTGTCCTCCAGGGGGTTCCTGGGTACTGCCCTCAGTCTCAAACTCTCTGCTGGGCCCCCTGAGATCATTCCTCCAGGGTAGGGTTAGGGGGGGCAGCATGATGCAGGAGGATCTCGGAGGAGCCTGAGTGGACATCCAGGCGAGAGAGGGCTGTGGGTTGGATTAACTAAGGGGAATGGTGAAGACAGACAGATGGACACTCTGGGGAGAGATCTAGGAGGCTGAAATGAAGAACGTGGTGGCAGGCTGGACACGGGGCCTGGGGAGAGGACCCTCACATTTCTGGCTTGGTCAGTGGGGTGCACAGTGCTGCCTTTCTGAGCCAGAAACCCCTGGGGAAAGGGCTGGGGAGAGGCACCGAGTTCAGCGTGAAACAAAGCGAGTTCCAGATGCCGGGACATGGTGATGACGGGAGCTGGGAAGATGGGGTGGTGCGCCCCACTCTCATTTCCAGGCCTTCAGCTGGTGAGCAAAAGAGAATTTCAGCGCCTTTCAAAATAGCACCCTTGGGGAGAGGATGGCCTCCCTGGTGATATGCTTAATTTTAGTCTAAAACACAACAGAACCTAATTTCAAGCAACCCTATGAGCCAACTTCTGCCAAAGTTCCTAGATCTAGCAACAGTTCCTAGATCCGAAGATGGCCGGTACTCACCGAATGTATCAAGAATGTCGGTGATCAGGACAAATTTGCTTGGGTAGAACTGAATCACGCTCGTGTCCGACAGCAGCTTTGAACACTAGAGAGAGAAGAGACAAGCACAGTCACGCTGATGTGTCTGACAGGGTTGCTTCAGGTCTGGAATACCAGTGCCACTGCCCCACCCACTGCCCAGAAGCTCAGGTTGTTCTACTACATTTTAGGGGCTGTGCTGGGCACCGGCAACAGGATAATGAACAAAAGCACTCAGCTTTTGACAAAGGGAGGCAGACTGAAGGCTCTTAAGGAAAGACGCCACCACCTCTCGCCACAGGCCCGAGGATTCTTATGTAGAAGGGCCTTGGTTTTGTGCAGAGTCAACCGCAGGGTCTCCGAGGGAAGTCAAGGAAGCTCGCCCACCACTATCCCGGCAATCATTGTTCCCAAGGCCTTTCTGCCCAGCTTCCCTGGTTTATGTCAGGATGGTCTCGATTCGGACACATTATTTCAATGAAATGGCCCTTAGGAAGCCTCCGGGTTTCCTAGTTACCATCTACATAGTGTATTTACACTTGCTCCCAGATTCCTCCTCTAAGGGGAATATGACAAGCTTCAAAGGGTCACGTTTCCCTGAGAGTAGGATCTTCGAGCTGGAGACACACCAGCTTTGCAGGGACTTGCTGGGTCCCTACACTCTTCACTCACACCAGAGGGCCACTGACATCTTCTGGATTGTTCGTGAAGACCGCAGCCACACAGCGTGGCCCCAAATACTTATAGTAAGTCATCTTTTATCATCAGCAGCAAAAAAGCCTATTTTTACTTTCAAGAAACAAATGTAATACTACCTCCCCCCAGTCTTTACAAATTCAAAATTCAGCAGCAGAGACTAAATCACCTTATCATATTTTATTATTCCAACATTGGCCCTCAGAGAGGAAAAAGTCACTGAAGAAAAATATTTGGACAATTAAAAAAGGTTCTTAAAGGTGCATTTTAAATTTCCAGCATGCAGAGAAGGATGCTCATGTGGCCACAGGCCTCATGTGGCCACAGGCTGCTGACAAGTGTTTCCAGTTTGGCGTTGTTACCCAATATCTAAATGGTTAGATTCACCGGGTTTCTCTTTAGCTATACAGGCCTGAAAGTAAACAACGAGTCTGATTTGTGAAACATCCTCTTACAGCCCAAATGTTCAAGGGCGGGAGGTCAGGGGAGGGGAACTTAAGCTGTTAAAACAATGGTGTTGACCACAAATGTGCCATGTGGATGTTGCTGGAACTCCGTTTCCTGACCCTCTGCTTCATGGTTTTCATGTGCCCTTTATGAGCACTCCAACTTAAACAGTTACCCCATGAGATTGCAGGGCTCGGGGGAAAAAAACAAACAACTCTGAGTCCTAGAGACTGTTTACAATCCACAGCTCTGGGCTCCGAGGGCTGGGCCCTCTCGAGCTCCTACCCAGAAAGAAGATACTGCCCGCTGGCAAGGGGGAGAGAGAGAAGTCAAATAGACTCAGATTACACACAGCTGGGGCTCCCCAACATCTGTGCACTCGTGTTTCTACCAAGCTGGTGTCCCAGTACATGTGTTTATAAAGGGTAACAGGAACCAGAATTTTATTTCTAATGCAACGTTAAAGTCATAATAATGTTATGCATTTAAGTTAACTTTTCAATCACTGGTTTGAAATCCTGCAGTTTTTTAAAGCTTCGATGCAATTTCCTAAATTTGTCCAAGTGTGTTAAAAACACAGATTCACAGCCAAGAGACACCAGGGAATCAGTATCCTAACAAGGGCTGCAGTTGACCGCTATGCTGGGACACACTGGGTTTGTGAGCACCCCATCCATGGCACATGCTGCCCCAGATGAGCACCTACAAACCAAGTGTCCAACTTCAGAATCATTGGGGAACCTTTAAAAATGAATGGTGTCTGGGTCCCACCCCCAGAGAAGCAGATTCAGCTGATCTGGGGTGCAGTTTAGACACTGGGTTTTTTTAAAGCTCCCAAGAGAGTCTCATGTGCAGTTGAGAGTGGAGTGATTGTTATAAACATTTCCTGAGTGACTGATAAATTACTCTGCTTGCAATACTTGCTGGCAGAGCAAGTATTAACACTGTTGGAAAAATACTAAAAGGGTGTTTTTCATCTGTTTCCAGTGAACAATATTCTAGAAGGACACTATAGCCATTTCTAAGATAAGGCTAGGGTTTTTAAAAATATATGAGTAACCAAAGCAAATGTTTAAATTAAAAGACAACTTATGGCTGAGTACTAAGGATGGACAGATAGAAGGAAGGGAGGAAGCAGATGAATTAATCCGAAGACAATTACAAAACAGAATATCTGAAAAAATTCTGAAAATCAATAAGAAGAATGCAAATAACACAATGGGAAGTGAACAAAGGGAATTAACAAAAGGCATGTTATGGAAAAGGAAACACCAAAGGTCAATAAATGTGTGGAGAGAGGCTCAATCTGATTATAATCAGGAAACTGCAAAGACAAATCACAATAAAATAGGCCTTTTTACCTCCCTATACTGGAAAAGTGAGAATAGAAAAATGTGCTCATCCCGATGTGGGTAATGCTGAGGGGCAAGGAGCAGGTTCCCACTGCTGCTGCGGGCGTCTGCTGGCTGTGAGCACAGCTACTGTGGAAAAGGACCTGGCACTATCAGGCAAAGCCCAAAAGGCTCAAGCCCAAACCTGAGCAATTCCACTCCCAAGCACAGGCTTTGTCTAGTGGACCCTTTATGTGGGCAACTTCAGACATATCTGAGGATGTTCGAAACATCATTCATGATAATGAAAGAAAAAAAGGAAAGAATCAGGGGCCTTCCTGGTGGCCTATGGGTTAAGTCTCAGTGCTACAACTGTGACCGACTGAGTTCGATCCCCAGCCAGGGAGTTGACCCACATGGAGCAGCAGACCGCTCCTGTCTCACCCGCAGCTCCCCTCAGCAGTATATTTCTGTAGATCTGCCTGTTCTGTTCCCCACTCTGTCTCTGGTGAATCCTTTTATCCCTACCCCACACCTCTGATCTACACCCCTGTTCTTCTACACAAAAATAAATTAAAATCTAAAAAAAAAAAAAAAAAAGAAAAAAGGAAGAATCAGATGCTCATTGCCAGAATGAATGGAAATAATTTCTGATTCAGCAGACTCACTGTTGATAAACTGGCAAATTTCTCCAACTAATCTATAAGGTCAACATAATCTCTATCCCACCTGGGTTTTTTTAAAAATATATATAGAAATTGACTGACCCTAAAATTCATATGGAAATGCAAAGGACCCAGAATAGCCAAAATAAAGTAAAAAAAGAACAAAATTCAAAGACTTACACTACCCAGCTTTAAAACTTACGGTCAAGCTACAGTATCCAAGACAGTGTAGTAGTGGTGTAAGAACAGACTTACAGAGCCCTAGAGTAGAACTGAGAGCTCAGAAACACTCTTACATTGTAGTTAACAGACTTTGGATAAAGGTTCCAAGATCATTCAATAGGGAAAAGGTGGCTTTTTCAACAGATGGTATGGAAATAATTGATAATGCAAATGGGAAATAAAAATAAACATATAAACCATATGCAAAAATTAATTCAAAATGAACCACAGACCTAAATTTAAAAGCTACAACTATAAAAACTCTTGAAAGCATAGCAAAAAAAAAAAAAACAAACACCTCACAACCTTGGGTTATGCAGCATTCCAGAAACAACACCAAAAGCACGAACCAAAAAAAGAGAAGACCACTAAACTGGACTTCATTAAAATTAAGAACTTCTGTATTTCTAAAGGCACCAGTGTGAAAATGAAAAGCCAAGCCACAGACCAGGAGAAAACACTTGTGGACTAAGCACCTGATTAATTAAAAAAACAAACAAACAAACAAACAAAAAAAACCCCTAGTATGAAGGATATATAAAGAATTGTTACAACTCAACAAGAAAATAAATTATCTGATTTTCTAAATGAGTAAGTCTTGAATAAATATATTTCCCAAAGCAGATACAAACAAACAGTCAAAAGCATAAGAAAAAATGTTCACCCGCATGAGTGATTTAGGAGATGCAATGAGACACCACTTCAAACCTTCAAAGGATGGCTATAAGCAAAAGACAATAACAAGTGTTGGAAGATACAGATGAACTAGAATCCTCAATCCCAGCGGGTAGTAATACCAATGACGCTGCCATTTTGGAAAGCAGTCAGCCATTTCTCGAAAAGTTAAACTTAGCATGTGACCCAGCCAATTCCATTGCTAGAAATCCACCCAAGAGAAATGAAAAGATATTCATGCACAGTCTTGCCTGCAAATGTTCACAAGAGCATTATTCACAATAGCCAGAGAGTGGGGACAGCCAAAATGTCCATCAACTTGTTCACAGAGAAGTAAAATGTGGTTATCCACACAATGGAATACTGTTCAGCAGTTGAAAGGTACAACGTACAGATAGTACAACATGGATAAACCTCAAAAACATTATGCTAACTGAAAAAAGACACAGAAGATTAACAGCAAATGATCCCGTGTTAACAAAATGTCCAGGAAAGACACATCTATAGAGTCATCAAACAGAACTGTGGTTTTCTGAAGCTGGCAGTGGTGGTATTTGATTGCAAACAGCTTTGAGGGAACTTTGGGTGATTATGAATATATTCTAAAATTGGATTGTGCAATAGCTGCGCCACTCTATAAACTGAAAACCACAATTGTACACGTACAGTATGGAGATTTTATGATAAGTTAAATATATCTCAATAAAGGCAAGAAAAACAAAACCCTGGATGGGCTGAGCAAATAAACTGAACTGAGCTCACTTCTCCATACGCCGCACTTTATCATTTTTGGATAAAGAAGGCAGTCTTTAACATATTGAAAGCAAAATAGTTGTTATTAACCAGATGTGGAGTTAATTAAACACTCTCGTGGTTATTTATTTTTTTTTTTTGCAAAGACACGAATTTAAATCTCCTCCAGATGTAGAACGCTTAGAAGTTACAGTTCTATACTACAATACTCTATGGACAGATGATGCCAATAAAAATATTTTGAAGATGAAGCTGTTAGATTAGATATTTTCTCACTTGAGCCACTCAGCAAGCGACCCCCATCACATGCACCCAAGAGAGACGCCTTCTCCAGGAATATTTACTCTGTAAACCAACAACAGTGATAGAAGGGAAATGGGCTGTCACGAATCACCAAAAAAAGCCAGCACCCACCGTACAGAGTCATCTTAAAAGATTTCAAATTCCAGGGTGAAGACTCCCAGGATTTCCCACGCCTGGAGCCACACAGAAACAGGTGAGAAAACAAATGTCTCATTACCATGCCACTGAACAAGAATGGGATCGGTCCTTTTGAATACTGCTGTTCAGAAACTCTTTGTTAACTCTGCCCTGAAAATCACAGCACATCAATTATTCTTTTCATGGTGTTCTTGTGAGCATGTTTTGCCAGGATAGGATAAGGGTCAAGAAGCAGAAAAAGCTATTCTCCTTCTAGAACTTGTTTTTGTGAGCCAAGAGTTGTCACTGGATCAACAAATTCATCAACAAAGAGGATATGACAAATGCACTCTCATTAACACTGTAAACATGTTTTGTCACACAATCACGCAAAATAAATATAGCCCCAAAATGCACATGTCAGGGACATATAATATTAGTCCCAAAGATACAAATCTGGTTGGTCCATCTTTAGTCTGTACAAATTATTAATGTTGTGTAGGCGGTATCACTAGTTAGTAATCTAAGAAGAATTTCCTTCAATTTTGCAGTACACATCCTGTGCAACTGTTCATGTTGGCCCTGGGATTCCCATTTCATAAGAAAACAGATTTATAATCACGGACTTTCACAGAAAATATGTGAAAATAGAACAGTTGAAAAAAGTAGGATAAGACCCAGAAGGCAGGCCTCTGAAAACCTTAATTATCCACAAAGGAGTAATACGCGTGAAATTCTGAAAGAAAAAAATAAATCACTAGATCTGACCTGGATGACTATTTTTAGAGCTTTCACTTTCTGGTCTGAGGCCCAGGCATCTTTCAGTGACTGGTTGAGCTCCTCTATGCGGTTCACATAGTCTTGTTGAGTCAAATTCAACAGCTCCTTCTGGGATCCCTGCAGGCAGAAAGCAGAAGGGTAGGCACAGAAGAAAAACACTGCTTGACCACCATCCCCGTGAGCAATCCGGAGTACTGGCTGAGCTGCAGTCTCTAAGCTTTCCACACCAGGATGGACAATTTTTGACTTGTGATCAAAGAGATTCTTGGAGTTTTCTGCAAAGATGGGTAGAGGACAGTGAGTGAGAGACTAGTCCTGGAGACAAGGCAGACCTAAGCCAGCTCCCAGCTTGGATACAAACTAGCTGTGTGATTCTGCATGAGCTGCTATCCTGCCAGAGCCTCCTCTTTGAACAGGAATAACAGGACTTAGCTTATACAACAGTTACTGGGTCTACCATGTGCAAGCATGGCATTCCAAATGTTTAAGATACAAAGGTAAGCAAAAAAAAAAAAAAGTTCTGCATAAAGGAGTTTAAAGTACAGAGAATGAGGTGGGTGTAACACGAAGTGGGTAAGTGCTTGAAAAAAGAATTCTAAGACACGTCAGAATTCACTGAATCGGAAGGACCCCACTATAAGAAGCCCAACTGTTTCATGTACCACTAAGGAAAAAAATTGCTGATCACTGACATGTACCCATCCAGAGGCACACCCCAATTTCAGGAATATTCAAATGCTGAGGAAAGGGTTCATCTTAGAATGGAATAAGGACTCTAGACTGATGGTCAAGAATGGCTTCCTGGAGGAAGTAATGTTTGAGACAACCCTCAGTGCTGTACAGATTTTAACTAGACCAGGGAGAGAGTGTTCAGGACAGAGGGCAGACCCCAGAGAATTGTGGCCAAAGAGAGCACAATCAACACCTGGAGGAATAATAGAGTGCAGCCCCACACACGGCACCTGCACGTTCATCCCTGGCTCTTGTTAAGATGCTAATCTGCAAAGCTCACAGGACTAAGGGTCGTGCCAACTCACAACAGGAGACCAGGAACCAAAATTTTTTTATAGGAACGTTCCCTGGAATCCAAAGTGAAGAACTCTTTATTAGAGAAATTGAGTAGCAGGCTCAGGGAATCTGGACTGTCCCAACTGGTTGAGGGACAGAACCCTGCCCGCTGCAGAAGGAAGAATCGCGTAACTAGATGGGGACGTGGGCCCTGGGCAGAACGGCACGTGTCCCTTCCAGGCTGATGCAGTGAGATGTGACCCTCCTGTCAGCTCTGCTGAGACTGCCCTGGAAGCTAGCTATTGAAATGGCCGCAGCATGAGGTGGAGGTGAGTCTGTCCCGCACTGGAGGAGTATATGGGAGAGACATAATCCTTTGTGATACGAAGTCCTTGAGATATGGGAGCTTATTTAGTGCCACAGCACAACCTAGCTTTACTCCAACGAACAGGCTCTGGGAAGCTGAGCTGGGGGGCGTTTGCTGCTGTGAGTAGGGAGAAGCAAGGAAAGCAGCATGCAGAAGAAATGGGGAGCTGGACAGAGGATCTGTGACTGGAGGCTATACAGAACCAAGAGACACAGAGAGGGGAGATGTCAGGTTTCTGGGCTCCAGAAACTTCACTCTGGTTCCAGGCCACTGAGCCTGGGATTCTGTGTCGCATCTCTGTATCCTCTGGTACAAGCTACACCAACACAGGACAAGCTCAGGGTACACTGGTCTAGACTAGCTACCCTTCATTTCAACATAAGCCAGCCCGAGTGACTTTCAGATACTCACAGCCTGGAGAGCTTCAATTAAAAACCTGAGCAACTCCCTTCCTACCAGCCAAGGTTAAAGTGCAGACTGAGGCTCTTGGGTGCCCTAGCTCAAAATTGAGGAAAGAAGACTCTGCGGAGCACCCAGCAGCTTGGGTCTCAGAGCTGGGGGATTCTCAGGGACAGAGCATCAGTGCTTCCGTTCTACAACCTTTGTGGTTCACACAGCATCTGCATTCACTCCACACAACTCTATTTTTATCCCCATTGTAGACGAGGAATTGGGCATAGGAAAGGTGAAAGTTAACAAGAGTACCGTTAATCAGCAGGACTATAGATAAGTAAACTGAGGCACACAGCTGTTAAGCACCTTGCCTCCAAACAGGCAGAGCTGGGATTCAAACGCAGGCAGTCTGGCTCCCCAGTTTGTCCTGTTACACATCATGCTCTGCTGCTTCTTTAAGTGGAGTTCCAGAGGATGCAAACTCACCGGCCCCAGGAGGCAGGCTAGTCATGGTGACCAGGGACTCAAGACAGGCAAGGCGACCGCCCTGAGAAATCCAAGAAGGGGGCCACTGTCTTGGACATTGTGGATTGACGGCAGGATTCAAGGAAGTCAGAAATCTAGCCTGACTGTTAAACTCACTGGTTTTTAAAGTTGCCCAATGAGTCACTTTTTACTGAAAGCCCCTGCTGGCCAATTGTGATGGAATCTTTGCAGGTTCCCAAGGGCCACGTCCAGCTGCAGAGCAGTCGTGGGCGCCTCTGCAGCCAGGAGGGAGCACTTCAGCGCTGCAGGCTGCTTCCCAGGGAGGGGATTCTGCTGGCGTTCACCGTTAGATCCTGTCCCCAGACGACCCAGGTTTGCTCAGCCGTCACAGTGAGGAGAAGCTCCTTCAGAAAGCCAGCCCCAGGCAGGCACCTGCGAACTTGGCCAGCTGCATGGCTGGCACCATTCCCAGAGCGGGGAGGGGAGACTCAGGAGGACAGAGCACAATGTGAGCTGGAAAATTAATCAAAGAGCAGCCACCGAGGCTGATGACACTGGGCAGAAGACACAAGGGCAGCGCTCACCTCCTCAAAGTCATCCAACTCCTCCAGCCTGGTCCGAACCTTCTCGGACATCGCAGATGTGGCTGCCCCGGCTCGGCCTAAACAGAACACAGAGAGTCACCTAGCAGGTCTTCCTTGGCCCCCACCCGCATGGGCAGATAGCACCTTGTGCTTTACACTTCACCCCAAATCAAGAGGCCAGGGAACAGTTTCACTACAGAAGGCACCGAGATTCTGAAAGCCACGTCCCTACGTAACCAAAGCTCCGCTGCGAGCATTTCTGCTAAGCTGGCGCCCCTGGGCAAGTCACCCACTACATCTGATATTTACACACTCTTCACTGGATCACTTGTTTGTTCCTAAAGAAAGGCAGTCCAGATAAGGATGCCAAAAACCCATCATTTAATTGTTTTCCACCAACAGAAGGGCCTCTCAGGCTCCTACTCACAGTGCAGAATTGTACCCTTAGACGAACAAAACAACCATCTCACTGTCTGCCCGGAGGTGGGAACACAAGGGCTTCAAAGCCCGCTCTCTGAGCAAACAGGACTAAGCTGTGTCTCCTGCCATCATTCTGTCTCAGCGGGACCGGCAGTAGAGACCAAGGACTGGGGTGTGGGGCCAGCCACAGGCAAGGCGCCCGCTGCCAGGGCTGGCCTTCTCCAGCGCCTCCTACTGCAGAGCCCTGACCCCAGGGGCCCCTACTCTAGATCTGAGATCCCCTCGTTCCTGCTGACCAAACCCGTTAGCAGGAACTGAGGTTTATACCTGTTAAGGCCCTGGTTTCTCAGCCAGCCCTGGCCTGGATCAGCTGAGGGTCTTGGGCAATGATTTTATCACTAAATACTGGTCCCTGAACACTATAGATCCCAGCACACACACCTCACCAGTGTGTCTGCGTTTGCACTAGGGGTAAAGACCTCAGGCATAGGAGCTCCAAAAAGGAAAGTTCAAGCACTCCCCAGAAGGTGAGAGGCACTTGGGGGTGACTCGCTCTGTAACTCCAAAATCAGGCTGTGACCTGGTTTAGTCCTAGTAACCTCCTGGCCTTGTGTTTTGCCTTTTTCCCCTCATTCATCAAATAAATAGGTATTTCAATTCTATTAAGTCTATACAAAATAAGCAAATAATAGCTTCAACTGAATTAAACATCAAAAGTGAATACTATGGGTTTTTTCCTTTGAAAAATTATATTAAAAGTGATGGGAGAATCCCCTATTAAAACAGCAATAATAACAAACACTTACCTTTTTCTGATCCCATAAATAGATTCTGCAGAAGGAAAAAAAAATTTTTAATAGATTTTAAAAATTACTGGATTCTACAATAAAAAATAAACCTACTGATATACTTAAATTATCATTCAACTAACACAAGACAATATGACCCATCATTTTCAAACACAGCTATTTAATTATCCAAATGAAAAACAAAAATGTTTACTCAAAGATAGAAAACACACCTCACATAAAATTATGGTAGATTCCAATTTTGACACAATCCAGACTCTCGAAGTGAGACAACAGTTTGATGACAATGGAGTCCAGCGATATTATTCAGCTTATTCTAAATTCGGGTTTCACAAGCTGGGTGCTAGGAACAGTGACAGCTGGAACATTCTCCTGTGGGGCTGTCCTGTGCGTTGCAGCCAGTGTGGCAGCACCCCTGGTCTCTCCCGACTGGATGCAAGTTGCACCTCACACCCAAAATGTCTCCAGACATGGTCATATGGCCCCTGGAGTGCGATTACACCTGGGTGAGAATCACTGCTTTACGTTAACTCAACATATTCAGGAAAAGTTTAAATAGCATGGTAATTCACCATGCCCTTCTGCTCCACAGTGTGTGCCCAGGAAAGTGGGAGAGGAGAGGCAGGAGTAGCAGACCTCCTTAGCTGCCTACAGTCCACTCCGTCATCCCCAATCACACCTCAATTTTTGATGGACTCCCTGTCACATTTCCCAGCTTCCTGTCACACCCTGTGACGATCTTGGAGACAGGCAGGTGGGGGCTGCCTGGCCAGCCCTAGCCCACCCACCCCAAGACTTCTGTGTTGAGAGAGAAACATCGTTCTTGTCCTGTCATTAGGAAAACTTCAGTTACAAGCACCCAACACAAAATTAACCCACTTTCTCTGGCTGGTCTAACCTTCCTAGGCCTTCTACTAAGTCAGCAACTTAAAGTACAGTCAGCTGTGCCCTAATGACCTCTTGGTCAACAACGGACCACATACAACACATACAGGAAGGTGCTCCCAAAAGGCTGCACCACAGAGCCTAGGTAAGGAGAGGGCTGTGCCACCTCAATACACGCTATGACATTCCCACAACGATGAAATCGCCTAGGATACATTTCCCAGGAGGCATCCCGCTTAAGTGGCAGTAACTGTAAGAGGTTAAGTCTCTGGGCCTTCCTGGTGGTGCAAGGGGTTAAGATGCAACCTACAAAGCTGTCCGCAGCCACTGCAGCATGAGTTCGATCTCCGGCCAGGGAGCTATCCACATGGCACAGCAGACCTCTCCTGCCTCGCCCATTGCTCCCCTCAGCAGTGTATTTCAGTCAATCTGCCTGTCCTGCTCCCCACCCTCTCTCTGGTGAATCCTCTCACCCCGCCCCATGCCTCTGGCATGTACCCCAGTTCTTGTATGCACAAATAAATAAATCTTTAAAAAAAAAAGTTAAGTCTCTTAGCTCGTCTGTCCTCAGCACGGGCCAACAGTGCCACCCAGTGGCCACATGAAGAAATGATGAATCTCAACCAGGAAGGAAACCCACCTGGGACTCTGGGTGGGGCTCGCCCAGCAAAAGCAAGAAGTAAAATTGCTCCCCTCATTTCCTAAGTCAAACCTCCCCCAGGGACTCTGCTGCTTCAACTCCTTCTCTGAACTGTGCCATATCCCTGATCCTAAGTGAAATCCACAGATCCCAGGATTTGGGGCAACATGACCAAAAAAATAAAACCACTACTAAATCGGAAGCAGGTGCCGGGAGAAGAGCACACTGGCACTCACGATGGAGAGCTTCTCGGTGGTGGTGTACCGGGCAAGGATTTCTCCTCGTCTGTTGGCCCATGGCTCAAAATCCGATCCTACGATGGAGCAGTCATCTCTATCCCGTTTCTTTCTGGAGCTGTCCTAAGGAAAGGCAAGACAACCTCTTCAGCAGCAGTATCACCTGAATCTTTTTTAAAAAATGTATAAGCAAAGATGGTAAGCACAGCTGATAACACTGTATGATATACTGAAAGGTGCGGAGACTAGAACTCTCTGTTCAGCCCTCCCCCCGTGAGGGTAAACATGAGAGGTGATGGACATGTTCATTAGCTCAACAGGGAAATCCTTTCACAATGTAAATGTATGTCAAAGCATCTTACAAATTGCTTGCAATTTTATTTGTCAAGTAGACATCAATAAAACTGAAGAAAAAGTATAAGCAGAGACAATCCTGCACTGCAGAACAAGCAGAACTCCCCAAGGTCTGCTATGATAAGGCTTGCAGGCCGCTCCACCACAATGGGCCCATAAACACACCAAGAGCCGCTGAAGCTCAGGAAGAATCAAGCAAAGGCAAATTGACTGAAAGATAATTTTCAATGATCAGCATGAGAAAAGGTTAAAACTGACAGTGTTCAGCTTGCAAGGCTGCAGGGAGGGGGCACTCTCAAACATCAATGGTTGACATACAAATGGTAAAGCCTTTTTGGAGAACAAGTTGGTGGTCATCCTGAAAGCCTTAAGTACACATTGCCTGAAGCCAGTAATGACTTCTCAGGAAGCTACAGAAATTTCCTACAGAAATCCTGGGGTGTCTGCACCCAGAGACATGTGTGTTCAAGGATCTAGGCACCACTGTCTACACTAGCAAACACCAGAAACAATCTATTATGTGTACATCGGTGGAGGACTGGCGAGTTAAAGCATGTAATACCCATTCTTTAGAACATGACACAGTCGCTCAAGATAACAAGATTATCCTGTAAGTACTAACATGGGAAATTCCCCAAGATATATTGCCAAGCTTGAAAAAAAAAAGTTGCAAAAGTATAAAGATTTTTAAAAGTAAGTAAATGTCTGCAACAGCTGCACAGGATGACTGAGTGTGGATTCTGAAGTCACACTGGCTTCGAATTCCAACTTGGATCTTACTCAACACTCATCTTCCACGGCGGCCTCTCTTAATGAGGCCCCTAATTCCTCTCTGGCAAGATAGCACGAGAACTAAAATTGGAATGCACTTCAAAAATGCTACTGTGGCTACAGCCAACACAGTAGGCCGATACTGTTATTGTTGATATATATATTGCGCATGTATGTAAATGCTCATGTATGTAAATGAGTATGCATGACATAAATGAAACCTATGAACAAAGGACAAGGCAATGGAAGAATCCAGATTACACTGACAACATGGAAGACTTTCAGGGAGGAGAACAGAATAAAGGGAAAAGCTCAAAGGGACATCATCTGGGCCTCCCCTCGTGGCGCAGGCGGTTGAGCGCAGAGCTGTGAAGCTGTCCGCAGCCTCTGCAGAGTCGGTTCAATCCCGGCTGGCTGGCAAGGCTCCCACATGGCGCGGCAGACCTTTCCTGACTCACCCACTGCTCCCCTCAGCAGTGTATTTCGTCAGTCTGCCTGTTCTGTTCCCCACTATGTCTCTGGTGAATCTTCTCACCCTCCCGCGCATCTGGCCTATACCCTGGTTCTTGTATAAATAAATAAATAAATAGATAAATAAATAAATCTTCAAAAAAAAAAAGACTTCATCTGTAGCACGTGTCTCTTTTACAGGAAGCGTTAGTGAATTACTTGGACAATGACATAAAAGTAAACCAAAAGAAGGAATTCTAACAAGTGAAATTAAAATGAAGAATCCATTCTTAGATGCTTTGCAAGAAACTTCCAGGCTCTACACCAGCCTCTCATGGGCAGCATCCTCCTCTTTAAGCTGGACCCTATGAACATCTGGATTACCTGAATTGTTACCACCAGACTGGCCCTGTGTATTCTGCTGCAACTTAAAAACAAAAAGACAGATTCCTGCTCCCCTGGGATCGACCCCCCACCCCCCACCCCCTCTGGACCGCCAGGGGTGCGTTACCATGGCGGCTGCTGTGGTTGCAGGGTCCGCGGTGGCTGCGAACATGGAGAGGGGGTCGGTCCCATCCAGGACGCTGCTCAGTGGGTCCACTACAGAGCTGGAGGAGGAGGAGGATGTGGAGGAAGTGCTTCCTTTCCGACTCACTTTCTTTGTCTTTGACTCAGTGACCTGTGCGGGGGATAAATAAAGGGGAAATGAAAGGTTCCAGGGCCTTTCCCGGTGAAACACTCCAGGGTTTTTCCCTTGTTCAGTTGGCTGCATTGTCCACTCCTTTGCAGCAGAGACACTTATTTTTTGTGAAAAATAGCCAGGATTCAGGATCCCAGCTATTACAGAGGCGAAGGTAGGAAGTGAGGGTCAGGATGAAAGAGATAAGGCCACAGTGATTTAGAAGACACTGAAAGGACTGCATTCTTGCAGGGGCTTCTCAAAGTGTGGTTCCAAGACAAGCAGCATCCACACTGCCTGGTGGCTTATAAAAAACATACAATCTCATGCCTCAACCCCGGTTGTCACTCTCGAAGCCTACGCAAGGCCATCTCATCACAGCAAAGCAATGAATGCCCAGCTCCTTCCTTTCTGGAGAACTTCACCCAAGACCACATGTTGAAGGGTGGGTGGGGTGTTGGGAGTGAAGCATGTCTTTGTTCCAATGGCTCCCTCATCCCTCCCTGACTTCAGATGACCAGATCAGGGGTGAACCTCCGAGCCAAGAGGATCCAACCACAGTGCTGAAATGTAGGACCATGTGCAGAAGAGGAGGTTAGCCTCTGCTCCTCTGTAAGGGAGGAAGCTCTGCACACGGGCAGGCATCCATGGGGAGCAAAGAACACCCACTCACCTTCAGAGAGGCAGAGACAAGGATGGATGGAACAGAATGAAGGGGAGTCAGTAATGGATAAGAGAGAATGCCACTGGTTCCTGGAAAGGTGACGCAAAGGAATGGCTGTCATTCAGGAGTCCCTCCCTGATCACACCTGAGTTGGTGACAAGAGATGAAAGGGCTCTGAGCCAAGTGTTATCAGCCTGACCTCAGGGGTGAGGATGGAGGCTGGAGTTCAGTTTTATTGGGGCCAGGGAATCCATCCATCATGCCTATCCAGTTGGTGAATACATGAAGAGGAGGGAGGTGATGCCCCAATTCCCCACGCCATGATTCAGGACCCTCCCAGACCTATGGGTCTCTTCATCTGGCTATTCCTCATTTGCATCCTTTATTACAAAATCATAGTCTTAAGTCTGATTACTGTGAGGTGTCCTAACAAATTATTAAACTTGAAGGGTAGGGAAAGAAGGGTTTGGGAAACTTGGATGTGTACTGTGGGTGGCCTGAGGCCCCCCCCAAATTTGCAGCTGGTGTCTGAAGTGAGGACAGTCTTATTGAAGACCTTGTCCTGAACCTGCAGGGTCTGACTCAGGGAGACTGGGTGAAGCACCTCCATTGGTGCATTTGTCCCGGATGTCTGCCAGGCTCGATATTCCACACTTCCTTTGGGAAAGTAGCCCTTCCTGACTTAGCTCCTACATGCATGCTGGGGTGGATTCTGCTCCCAGTTTCCAGGGTGGGCACAAGCCCCACCCAATCAATCAACAAATTCTCAACCCACCAGGGTGGGTTCAGGGATGGACAGGTCACCTACTTGGTTAAAAAAAAAAAAATGCTGCTGAGTAAGAGAATCTCCCTGGTAGGGTTTTGCTGAGTCAAAAGGAAATACCCTCCGAGAGCGAGTCTATTAGTATATGGGAGGGGGCGGGGGTGTGAGCTGCTGAGAAGGGACCAGCTTGCTGGGGGGTCAGCCACAAAAGTCCATGCAGGTATGAGGGCCACTGCTTGGTCTTGTGACTTGCTTTCTGTGACTACCTCCATGGTTCTCACTGTCACTGAGAAACTTTACATCGTTGGTGTCCACTGGCACCTGTCAATTTCATCAGCAGCCATGGTGACAACCACGTAACTTCTGTTATTTGCTCATGAAAGTGCGCTAAGCCCAGAAGACTTCTAAAATAAAGTCACAGAGAGATCAGAAGACTCTTCAGGCAGAGCGATTCTTAACATTCCAAAGAGACAAATCAAAAGGCAAGGGAGATTTTGTTTACACCTTCAAATCAGGAACAAAGGCATCCCACACCCTGACAAGCTCACTAACAGAAAAAAGTGGGAGGGAAGATGATGGTGGGGAAGGCCAACATTGGTGAAAACAGGGTGAGGAACAAGCTGGGGGATTTCAGTATGCCAAAGCAGCCACCAAGGGCAAGACAGGTATCACCCAGGAATTTTAGGGGAAAAGAATCTCACTAGAGATGCCCTTGACAAAACTTACAGTTATGGGCTTCAGGGGGTGATAGTCTCCAAACTCCAAGGGAACAGCCTCCAACCGGCATGAAGCAAATTCCGCCTTGTAGTTCCTGTTTCTGGAATGCCTGGGGAACAGCAAGACATCAGTTCGCTCACGAGATACTATCACATGTGACTTCCTCGTTGACCAGGTTGTTTATAACTGAACGATATTTCTACCAAAACCAAGGGGAAAAAATGCTAAATAAAAGGAATGTTTTAAATCAGTTTCTGAGATGTAGGGGAGAGTTCATTCGCACCCCAAATAATTCCACTATCACCATCACAAGGCACCCGTGTGACAGGAAGCCTGAGGCTCCCATCCCTCCTCAGCACTCCCACCAGAGAGCCCTGACAGGCCTGTGAGCCTTGGCAGGCGCATCCCCTCCTGCGTGAGGAGCTCCTATTCACCCTCCAAAACCCTACTTAAGATTCTTCTCTGGTGCCTTCTCTGAGTACCACAGTGGGGCTGATATTCCTCACTGCCTCCTTCCTGACTTCCACATGCCTCCCCTGAGCAGCCTCCTGATCTGCGGGCCTGCTCCACCGAGCTGTCAGCTCCCTGAGGCCAGAGCACGTCCGGGGCTCGGGATCGGGGCCGGCGCGGCGCAGGCCCAGGGCGGCCATGTTACAGATGAGGAAAAGCAGGGAAGTGAGGCGCTCTGAGACAGCCAGTCTCCGGAACCGTCCGGACTCAAGGCTCAGTCCCCCATTCTCTGCACCAGCGCCCCCAGAACCCGCGCCAACTTCCCCCGGGAAAGCGGACCCGGGGAACACGAGTTTTATTTAGGAATGGATGGGGAGGGGGCGTGGAAGGCGCCGGGGAGAGAGCGACGCGCCCCCCTGCCAGGGGTCGGGCCCAGCTGGCCCGGACAGCGGCGCGGGGTCCTGCGGTCACCCCCTCGGGGTGAGGGAGTGCGTGGGGGCCGGCCAGACCCCCAGAGGGGCGCGCGCACGCCACGCTTCCGCTCCCGGAGCCCGAGCCCCCGGGGCGACCGAGCACTGCCCCTGCCCAGGGCCGCCCGCCGCCGGGGCCTTACCAGGGAAAGGCGGCCATCTTCGCGGTCACGTGACCGCGGCCCGGGGCCGCCCGCCGCGCCCACCCCCAGGCCCCGCCCCGCCGCCATGACCGTGCGGGGCGCCGCCCGCCGCGGGCCCGGGGAGGCTCCGCCGGCGCCGTGGCGGTGCGGGGCGCGGGCCGGGAGGCGAGCCCGGCGCTCGCGGGCTCCTGGACGGGGTGGGGCGGCCGACCCGGGCCCCCCCGGCCTCCCGGGCTCGTGCCCGGCCGGGTGAAGCCTCGCGCGCCCCTTTCCCCCCCCCCCCCCCCGGGTCCCGGCTGTCCTGTCGCGGCGTCGGGCACGAGCCGCGTCCCCCTCCCAGGACTAGCAGCCTGGGGTGCGAGCGCCCCCAGACCCGAGCCTCGCGCCTTTTACCGGAACTAAACCAAACGGGGAGCCTGGGGGTGGCCTGTCACCCCCTGCGCACAGCCGGGGTGTCTGGAAGGGCGGTCTCCGCCAGGACTGCAGAGTGCCGGCCGGTGTTCGCTCCTGCAACGCAAGAACCACAGCGTATTTCCCTAACAGCCAGCTGCCAGCCCGCAGCTTACGGCAGGACTGCAAGGGTTGTGGGTGGTGGAGGGGCCCACAAAGCTCAGGAGGGAGTAGAGCCCCAAGGGTGCTCCTGAGCATATCCAGCCATAGTCACTGGACCCCACGGACTTGTCAGGCCTCAGCAGCTGGTGACTGAATCCTGAGGCAGGACACTGGAACTTAAGCAAGTGTGGGCTGGGGGTGTTTTCGCATCACAGGAGGAGAAGCAAAGCCAGTACAAATGGGTACGCAGATGCTCAAAAGTATTGTCTCCTCCTCAAGAGGTGAAATGAAGAGCCTTTTACTCAACTCCCAGGAGGTGATCAGGCAGTCACAAAAGCTCACGCAAGTGAGCAGCTTCGATGTATCACCCTTAGCATTCTCTCCCACCCGCGCCTCAGCACGCTTCCAGCTGTTGTTGATAGCTAAGACATTGCCAGCTCTAGCAAGCTTCTGCCCTCTGGAAAGTCCAGGCCATGATGCTGGGCTCAGTCCTGGCAGAGGTTACATATTAAAATAGTAGGGTATACATTTCATGGGAGTCTTAATGTTTCCTGCTTTGGCCAAGTACTTTTCCAGATCTATCCCTTAGCCATCCTTTCCTTGGGAAGTACAAAAGATGAAACCAGATTTTCTTTAAGATGAAAAGTTTATTTTTCCTTCTATCTAGAAGCAAAACTAGTGAAAATTAAAGTATAAAAATAAATACAATTTACATTAATGGACATACCACTCAAAAATAACAAAAATAATGTATATAAATAAAAATCCACTGAAAGCACAAAACAATGTCTGGCACTTATAAGAAAAGGCTGTGAACATTAAAAATATGTTGAAAACACACAAACTATGTTATCTTTAAATTTAAAAAAACACTCAAGTTTCTCATTCTTAATCTGAAACTAGGTCCAACTTTATCCAAAACATACTATTTGTTTTAGCTAATCGGCTTTAGTGTACACAAAACTTCTATTTTTCTTACTAGAAAAACCCACAATGACATGAGTAAGTTGTATCCTGAGTTTTCAGAATGATAAAGCACAACTTGTCATATTAAAAAGATAACTGAGATACTTTTCCTACAAATAAAAAACTGGTAACTCAGATATTTTTCACCATCTTCTCATTTTCTGGTTCATTCATTCAGTAATTGATAGTTCTCAACAAAGAAAATCAAGTTTATACCCAGAGTAGATTATTATTTTCTGTCTACAGCTGGATGTAAAAGTTAAATTTTAAATGAACCAAAAATCAGATAAAATGATCTATACCTAAAATCATAAAAGGATATTAAGATTTGCATTTTCAAAACACCAGTATTTTTTTTAAATTCAAGTTAGAAAGAGTAAATGCACACAGTCCCAATTTTATGTGAGAAGCACAAAGCCCTTTTTGGAAATGCTGTGCTAAATTAATAGTGACATTCTCTTTCATAAAATCATATTCCCTTGGTAACCTTTTTTTTAAAAATAAACATGTCAGTGATAACTTCAGTGCCTCTTAAGTAATGCTGAATTTTAACAAGACAATATTATCCCAATTTGGAAATCTGAATTTATATTATATAGCCCTTTATCTTCTCCTAAATCAAGCATGCTAGAAAAAGCAGACTATGATGAAATAAAATTATACAGACAAAATATAACAGCATGCAACATGTTACTCCTATTTTACAGCAATGGATGTAATAATGCATTCCTAGGTGCTATTAATTTCAAGGAGATTGTGCTGTCTTCCCCAATTTGCTACTCCCCAATCTAGCAGAAATATTTCTAAGAGTCCCATGGTAACTTTTATTTCTGTAAACCAACAAGTTGTTAAGAGGAATGTACACTTGCAATCATAATGGTGACCCCCAGATACTTCTGTGGTAAATTATAGGTGGACCACAGTCAGCAGAAAGTGTCTTATCCTGTGTGGTCATACTGTTAAATCCGAGAATATGAAGACTGAGAGACTAATCAGTTTTTCAAGTTATCAAATGAAGGGAAAACATTCTTCAGCAGTAATTTCCCCTTGAGTAGAATAGTATCTGTTTCTCAAATTCACCAGAGATTGAAATTTCTATTTCAGAATTTATTTATAATTTAACATAGCTTTTCAATGTTTTATAGAACTAATGCCAAATGTCCCTCAGATTTACAAAAAGCTTCTCTGCAGATATCTGGGTACATAAAACAAACTTATTTTTGTATAGGTTAAGCACAGAGATGAGTCAATGACTAATACTAGTTTGTCTTTGCCCAAACCGAGTATTATGAGGAGAAAAGGGATGCGCAGAAGGAATCAACCACACTGAGCAAAATATCCAGACAACTGCTCAGTCCTCTGAGGTCACTTTGCCTGTGTAAACAGCCCACGGTTAAAGTCTTAGGCAGGACAAATATGGATGAAACACCCCCTCCCTCCTTTTACCCTAATGAATGTTGTCTTCTTAAATTGTCGCAACATTTGGCCGCTTTCTTTGGGTTTTTCCTGCATATACTCCTAAAAATAAAGCACAATTAATATTATTTTTATTGTTAGTTTTCCTATGACACCATTTAATAAGTGCTTAACTATGTAACCAGGCACTGAAGTAAGCAATATACATGACCGTATTTAATCCTTAGATAAACTAGTCCTGAGGTAGATACTGTTATAACTATTTTAAGAATAATCAAATTGAGACACAACAAAGTTAGTCACCTCCCTAAGGTTAAGACAGCAAGAAGCAGAGACTCTGGGAAGCCAATTCCACCTCAGTTTTACTTAACTATTTCACTGGTGAAGTTACTGCCTCCTACTTTGCTTTAATTAGTGGTTTCTAAATTTCACTATAATTTCTTGAGTCGAGAACAAAATATCAAAGGGGCAAGTACGTTTTAAAACATATGAGATCCAACTGCAATGCAGTTTATAAAACTATAAACAACTTTAAATGCTCTGTAAATGTTAATACCTTAGAATTTTACTTCAGTCTAAGAGTATGATATTCTATCATAATAAAAATGAGTTTTCTGTACATTGTTTATTGAAGGGTTGTTCCCTATGTATATCAAATCAAAGCACAATTTTCAAATTTTTTGAAACATAATCCAGACCATTAAAAATCTAAGCAGGAAAGAGGTATCTTTTCAAGAGCAACTATGGATCCCTCCCTGTGTTGAGAGTCACAGAATTTTAATCAGTCACATCCAATGTTTCAGCTCATGTAAAAGCATAAAATTCTTTAATTTTTTCTTTAATTGTCTAGATATGCACTCATGTACTGTAAATCTTTAGGGGAAAAATAGGAAAATTTTGTTGTACTCATGTAAGATATATACTGATTGTATGTATTATTTCAAGGGTTCAGTTCATTTGTATTAGTAATTATGTTCCAATGCGATTAAACTGCAACAGTTCTAAATAAATACTTTACAGTCATGAATTTCATTGTACATTAACTGCAATGATTTCTTGTTCATCCTTTATACTGTTGAGTATTATTACTGAATAGAAACAGTAGTTGCTATTTTGCTTATAAGTTCACAAGTGACAAATAGTGAAGATGAAATGTATGAGAAAAGAACATGGAAAGTAGTCACTACAGCAAATAGGTAAATGTGTGGCAGAACAACACTAATTCCTCAATAATATGCCAACTGGCTAGATTTTGTCACAATATATAACACTAATGTGGAAAAAATTTAAATGTATTAAAGTCCCACATAACCTAGCAAGCAACTGATGGGGCATTTGGTCTGAGTTCTCCCTAACAGTTATTTTTCAATCCAGCAGATCTGACCACCTCTGAAAAAAGCAGGATCCTCAACTATATAGTTCCCTTGAAGGCAACTCCTCTGGCTGTCACTCACAGTGGCTTCCAATAGATGACCTTTTGTGTGATCCTCCATGTATGCGATGTTTTTGTGGATACACGCAAAGGGTCAGCAAACATTTCAAAGTTATGATCAATATCTCCTCCCCTCTTTCAACTTAGGTGATCAAATGGTGATAATATCAAGAGAGTTCCCATGTTGCTTGTTCCCTTCTAAGTTGGAGGAAATCACTTAGTAATAAAGCTCTAAAATATTAATAGGAAGATTAGAATTGATTAAAGATTTAATCACCATCTGGTGATTAATTTAGTATGTTTTAAATGTTTAGAGACTATAGTTAAAGCAAAGCATTTTGAAAGTAATTAATGGATCACATAATTTTTGGCAAGCTGATCAGTGTCATCAAAATTATCTAAAAAATATTAATACATTAGCTTAAGAGTTTTGCATTAGCTCAACATTGAATTTGTCTTCTTGCCACCATAAATAGAATTTGAAAACACATTTTTCAGTTTAGCCCTGAAATAATCCTCAAATGATGAACATAAAGAAGGAGTTAGCTCAAGTTTCTTATTGAGCAAAAGCTTAATACAGAAAAAACAAAACAAAACTTACCCCCTCCCACCTGGCATATTCACATGTGATCTTGTGGTCAGAGGGGAAAATTTTTCATCCTTTTATGTGCGGATAAAATTATTGCTGGATGATACACTTCCCCAAAGCTGAACAGATATGCAGATTTAGGCATCTGATCATTATTGTATTTTACTCACTTACAAAAAGGTTTTGTGAACTGAGCACATGTAACTCTACACGTTTTTCAGATTAGAAAATACACAGTGTTCCTGTGGAATTAGTACAGAAATCGAGAGTGGAACCACAGCTTTCCTAAGATCTCCTGACTGCCACAAAGTACCAACACAAATGACCACTAGTAGGAAGGACTGTGAATATGCCAAAATTATGGTGGCAAGGAAAGACAACAGATCCACTGTGGTCTCAGTTATGGGGCAGCTCGTGCAATTCTTTCTGCTGAACGGGCTTCAGGGACTGATGGCTACACACCTGAAACAGGCGCTCTGTTAGGCACTCTGCTCTGTGAAGACTTCTGTCTATTTTGCACAACCCCCTTCACTGATGTCTTAGGGGTTCTAATTGAATATAAAAAAATTAATAAGTCACTTGCATGAAGGTCTAAATATTCAACATTCAAAGAAAGCAACCATTGGCATCAACTGTTCAAAGCGCAAGTAAGCTTGAAAAGAATTTCAGTCCCATGCAAGCTGTGCTTTTCCTTCCAGGGGAGACTATACCCACAGCTTACAGTGTGTTGGAGAGTCACTTGGGTAATGCTGAATTTACTATATATGGATGTTTACAATATTTAATGAGCAAAATGGTATGAAATGAAAAGTAAAAACAAGCCAACATAAGATGATATTTAAAATATAATAGACAACAGTACAGCAAAGGGTTATCTTTGAACAAAAAACATCAAAGAATCTTGCTAGTGCCATAAAATATCACATTTGAAAAAGATACCCTTTAAGTAAAAGAGCACTAAATTATTTTTCCCTCAAGCTAATCTTGGCTTCAGCATTTTTAAATACCCAGTGTGTGGCATTCTTCTTACCCTTGTCTACTAAGTAGCCTATGCACAGGTGCATTCTGTCCTTGGTTCGGCTGAAGGACTCTGTTGGCAAAGCAAATAAAAAATTAATCCAAATGAGTGAATTCCATTTTCCCCCATTTTCTTGCATTAGATGAAAGGTGACAACAGCAAGCCACACGCCAGCAATGCAATGACACAGCCAATAGCCACAAGCAAAGCAAAATGATGGAGGCATGTTAACATGGCATTTATATTTTGCTCACCACAAACCCAAATCTTAGGAATTTAGCAGGAAAGAGATGTCCAACATAAGTATTAACCCTTGTGCTTTTAAATAATTTCTTTATATACTTTACAAAAGCCAACATTTCAAACATCTGAGAAGAGAAACTTCGCTCTTGTAAGGGCAGAAAACAGGTCAGAAACATTGAGCTAGTTTCTAAGGTTTTTAAATAAGTATCAAGAATCCCTGGACTGTCAACTGAACTCTGGGCACAGGGGACCCAAGTTTCTGCCAGAGACAGGACATCCTACAGGAAGATCCAAGAACACCTGGTCTGATCTGTAACAGAGCACATGACCAGTGTTAACATGGATCCCGACCCTGAGACCCTTCAGCTCAGCAGGGGTGTCCTACTGAGGTAAAATAGAAAAAAGTCAATAAAAAGCTTGGGGTTTATAAAGTTTTCTTCAACAATAACAAATAGCTTCTCACTAAAGTTATGTAATTTTTCTCACCTTGTTTCAGAAGGATTTTGTTTAACCAGAAATTTCTTATTGGGCATTCCCATTTCAGCAGCTCTAACACAATATAAAAACAAGGACACACAATGTTTAGAAAGGGGGAAAAAAAAATGCTTACAAATGTGACAAAGGATGACAGAAAGAAATCATCATCTAAAAGTGGGTATATTACTGAAGACCTGGAATAAAGACTGCCTTCAAGAAAGAAGAATTTCAACTATAAGAAAGTGAAAATCAAAATCAACAAAAAACTATGAACCAGAGACACTTTTTGGGGGGTTGGGGCCGGGAGGGGAGGGATTGGGGTCAGAATGGGGCATGTGCAGTTGTATGGGGGAATATAAAAATAAAATTTATTATTTAAAAAAAAAAAATTTTAATAAGGTACTTTTTAGGCTATTCTTTGCATTAAGTTTTCAGGAAGTGTTTAAGATATTAGGAAAAACAGACATTTAAAAGATATAAAATTAGGGTCCTCCCTGGTGGTGCAAGGGGTTAAGATGCAGCCTATGAAGCTGTCCACAGCCACTGGCCATGAGTTCGATCCCTGGCCAGGAAGCCACCTACATCACCCAGCAGACCTCTCCTGTCTTGCCCGCTGCTCCCTTCAGCAGTGTACTTTAGTCAATCTATCGCCTGTTCTATTCCCCACGCTGTCTCTGGAGAATCCTCTCACCCCACACACTTCTGGCCTATACCCCAGTTCTTGTATGTATAAATAAATAAATCCTTTTAAAAAATAAAATAAAAGATATAAAATTAACACTGTGACATAAAGATTAACTAAGATTATATGGCTATTAATTACACAAGCTAAATACTGACAAACATAGTAGCTAATATATTTGTCTAAAAATAAACTCAGAATTTACCAGATTTTAATAAAACTCCTCCTAAAAAGGGAAAAACAGGTGAAGAGAGTCTAAAGGTCAAAAGAAAAATAAGTAAAAACAAAATCTCTATCAGTCGTTATAGAAATTTATTTTATTTCCACTTTCAATCAAAAACTTACTTCATGAACTTCTTCCTATCAAGAGACTTCTGTGTTGCAGCCGAAAGAGCCACTCGTGAACTTTTCATTTTATCCTTTGAAATACAAAAGCAACATAAAGCTCTAGCGCTACCAATACCACCATCGAATCATGCATAGAATGTTCTAAAAATTACATGGAAAAGCTTGCTCTTAGTGGCATCCTGAATATTAATTTAGTCTTTCCTTATAATTAAAACAGTCCAATTTTTGAAAGTTAAAATCCTTTTTTTCCCAATCAAATAATATAAATTTTGCTTCTTTTTCTTTCACAAACTACACTAAGATCACTGATTCAAACCAAAATCTCCAGCCCTCTGGTATGTTTCAAATCAATGTGGAACCTGTTTCTAACTCTGACTTCAAAACAGGAGGCAGTCTTGTGGTACTGCCTTGACTTGTGGATCTGATGGTAGGTAGTATCAGAACTAAATTGAATTGTGTGACACCCAGCTGGTGTGGGGGAAAATCCAAATAGCAGGTGTCAGAAGTATATTTTGAGTGTAGAAGAAATAGAATTTTTCTTTTTCACTCATCCATTGAAAAATGACACATGACATACCATTTGCCTGAGCATTTTCTCCTTGCGAACTTCTCGATCATGATGTAGAATAGACATCCTTTCAGCTGCATCCATGACAAAGAATATGTCATGAATACCATACAGGGCCGCTCGCAACTGGGTTCAAAAGAGGAAAATATTATAACCTTTTCAAGAGATAAGGTTAGAGTTCACTAAAAATGATGTATTCTCTTATTTAGAGAAAAGGATTCAAGTTTTCATTGAAATCAGCGTTCTATTTTTTTTTTTAATAGAGGCTTTTTTTTTTTTTTTAATTTATTTGTTTGTTTGCTTTGTTTATACATGCACTGGGTACAGTCAGAAGCACGGGAAGGTGAGAGAATTCACCAGAGCCAGAGCAGGGAACAGAGCAGGTAGAAGGACCGAAGTACACTGCTGAGGGGAGCAGCGGGAAAGTCAGGAGAGGTCTGCTTTCCCATGTGGGACCCTCCTTGGGTGGCCGGGGAGCAGCCGGGGATCGAACAGGCGCCACAGAGGCCTCGGGCAGCTTCGCAACCCAGCACTCAACCGCTGCGCCACCAGGGAGGCCCAGCGTTCCGTGTTTAAATGAAAGGAGATAAGCAAAACATCCCCCTTTTCTAAAAGCCTCCTGGATAGGTACGTTTACCTGAGCTAAGACTCTTTCCTGAAGAGATGCGTCCTGGGCTGAAACAACTCCTCTCTTTAACGGTGCTTCAGACTGAAAGCTTCTTATGAATTCCATAGTATCCTAAAGAAGAAAGTTGCCTTCAAAAACCATTTTTCGAGAAAGATGCAAAATTGCTGAAGTTTCCTTTGCTCTTTTCCTCCATCAATTATTGATATCTCCAGAATTACTGAGAACTGAAAACTATTATCAAAAGTCAAACAGCACTCACTTTAAAATGAGACAGAAATACATAAACTTCATTTACATGCGTTGAAAAATTATCTTAACCAGCTGATCAGATATCCTAAGTTGCTGACAGTGACTAAAAATGTCTGATCCACCTGGGTTCTGTACCAATTGTCAATTCAGCTCTCCCAAGATGAGAGAACCTGAGAGAAGTGAAATACAATGATTTACAACGATCTTACTTTTACTGTTTGTCGAAGTTGCTTCAGCTTATCCGTCTGCATAAGCCTCCGAGTAAGAAATCCTTTTGCCACTGCTGTTATTTTATTAAATTTTGCTTGTACTTCTGGACTGAAAATCTACAAGAAATGAGACAGACACAAAGTTTAGAGAAGCTGATCATTATACACAAGGTGATTTTTCTAACCTATTACAATGAACTAAATTTGATATTCTCTCTGAGTGTGCTCTGTGTGGTTTCATCTGTAATGAAAGTGAAGTTATTTGGGCCTGCAAAATTAATTATGCTCACTTTGCCAACCTAATAACTCTTTAAATAATGCAGACAGATACATACAGACATACAGATATTCAGACATCGTTAAGTTTGCTCACCTGCGACCATTTAGTTTTGCTCCTTCCAAAAGGCCTTGTTACTGAGAGTCTGGTCAAGCCACTAGTTGATGACCCCCAAAGGTAGAATGGTGCTTCACTTGCAGAACCAAAGCTATGTTGTAGAGCAGAATTTGTGAAACCTAAAGGAATATACATACAGTATTTGATGTCATAGAATCAGAAAATGCAGAGCATCCAAATAAACATTGCCACCCATTAAGAACAACTGCATTTGAACCTGAGTCATGTGCAAACTTACAATATTGATGGACTTTAATTTTATGTACCAGATGGATCTTTCAACTGCATCTCAGGATAATTGAAGATGTGAAGATAAGCTCTTAAGGGACTGGGGAATGAGATGTAATTCAAGATCACTAGGGAGACAGCAAACTGTTTTCTCTTGAGGGATATCACCTGCTGCATGAATGAACAAAGACTGGGCCCTGAGTCAAATTTCCTGACATTTCCTTCACTAAGGTTGCTTTTCTCATGAACACCTGCTCTGCGGTTTCTGATCTGCTATCATTTCATTTCTCACTGGTTACTAGGCAGCTGGCAAACAGCAGTGGGTTGGAATGGAATTACTTGAAGAAAGGAGCCACAATTTTAAACTGTGCCACGTAAAATAGTGTACTATAGGATGATTTTTCAAATGGAAAAAGATTTCTACCATTTACCAGAACCATTTGAATTTGAAGTCTGGAGCGAGTCCACCTGAGACAGCATTGTTTCCAGCAGACCAGAGTCGCTTCGTTTTCTCCACTCTAAGTCCACCACATTGCTCATGTTCAACTCAGAGGTTTCTGTGGTCATCACCTTCTTCTCTTTCAATATTTTCCCCTGTTCTTCTATTTCCTGTAGATGAACAGTTTACTATAACATGTTAAATCTTTTAATTAAATCTCAAAATAGTCTCATTGTAGGCGCAACTAAAAGTAATATACAATAATCCACAAATTATTATTTCATATTTTTCTCCTTCAAATAAAATTAATAAGCTTGATTTTAAAGTGTGATATATTAACTACAATAATCTTAATATGTGTCTTTCCTCTTACAGAATAGTCTTGCAGAATTAACATGTCAGAATCCACTGATAAAATACCTCTTAAAATATTACAAGCTTTGAATCAAGGATTTAATAAAGTATTCTTTCAATAAATTTTGTGTTTGTCAGATAAGGATCTATGTAAACCTCACTTTTTTTTTTTTAAAGATTTATTTATTTATTTATTTATACATACAAGCACTGGGTACAGTCAGAAGCGCGGGAGGGTGAGAGAATTCATCAGAGCCAGAGCGGGGAGCAGAGCAGGCAGAAGACCCAAGTACACTGCTGAGGGGAGCAGTGGGCGGCAGGAGAGGTCTGCGCGCCATGTGGGGGACCCTCCTCCCATGGCCGGATAGCAGCCGGTGACCAGCTTCGCAACCCAGTGCTCAACCGCTGCGCCACTGGGGGGGGCCCTAAACCTCACTTTTGACAATAAAAACACTATCCATATATCAAAAGCAATGTCCTTTTAGATTAAGATAAACAGAGAAATTTACAAGTATATTACACGCAACGAAAATCCATAGGTATCCCCAACTAAAGTACTACCCGGCCTGTATCCCTACATTTTAATTTCTCACCTTCTGTAATCTTTCCTGTTCCCGTTCTTGCTCAGCTATGAGCAGTGATAATTGCTGGGCATGCTGTTCTTCTAGTCTTTTCCGCATTTCTTCAAAAGCTAACATTTTGCTTTTTAATATCTCCTCGCCTTCTGAAAAGAAATAGGTTAGCCCAAATTTAGGAAATTTACTAGTGTCTGATGTTTCACACCTTCAATTTAAATTATGCTGCTAACCAGAGAGTAATCCTGGGTCTGACATAATACAATCAAGATATAGGCTGGTCCCCACTTTAAACCACATTGTTACCTTTGTCGCTGACTTCATGGTAACAAATAAAGGCTTCTCACCTTGCTCTCCACGCACTCCGCCCATCGTGACCTGAACTGACAAGACTACATGTTCAGTTGAGTTCTCCTTACTCCACTCAATGTCAACATTGGTCCTTATCTGCATCTCACCTCTGTCTACTACTTTTACTCTTGTCCTTCTCCAGGACCTCTGATATTGCAGCTTGTAGTTTTGCTTTGTTTTAATTTTTTAAGCAATGTTCCTGATAAAGCTTCTCAACTTAACATTACAAGAAAGACTGAATATAAAAGTTTCAGATATTTTAATTACTAATTTAAAAATTAAATCATTATGACTAGGAAGAAGTGGTAACACACTTTGAAATGTATTGGGTTGTCGGAAAAGTCATGATGTGTTTTGTTCTATGTTTTTCAAGCAAAAATGCGTCATGGCTTTTCCAACAACCCAATAGTATATCCACGGGCCCATTATAATTCAACCAAAGTCAAAGAATCATTCTTTCCTAATACACAGTCACTGATTTCATTGAAGATAAGCATATTATATTTGTCCTACCTGCTACGGTATTCCCATCTCTCTCTCACACACACACACACACTCCTGCATTAGAACTGTAATAACTAAGAACGTATTTGATTTACATATCTTCCATAAGAGTAGTAATTATAAACTATGGTAACAAAAAATAAAGATGTTTTAACAAGTTTCTATTACTGTAACACTAGATGCAACAGAAATTCGAATAAATTTTATCAATAAAGTTAGTATTCATGAAATATCACTCAGTGCCTTATTTGTGATATTTTCTCTAATAAGCTGATGCTAAAGTGTTTACTCAAGGGCCTACATGATGAAAGGGTAAGCTGATAAAAAACATACAGTCCAAAAGGAAGCCCTCATGGCTATACACTGGATTAAAACTATGTGTGATTTTCATGCAAGAAGTTTTTCCTCCAGTCAACATTCTCTATAACACCAAGCATGAAAGCTTCATAATTTAAGAAACTCCTTTAAGAAAGCTGACCAAATCAATAAACTAGAGTTAATTATATGCTTTCTGATAAAAAAAATTAAGAACCCTGATGAACAGAGAAAGACTATTGTTACTACTATTGCTATTACTTTGCAAAATGTCAAATAAAGATGCCACTGCTTGGCAGATGTTAAACAATCCCAAGTATCCTTACCTTTGGAAATATTTTCTAATATTTTATTCTTGTTAATGTATACAGATCCCTTTGGGTATCTTTTCTCTGGCAAGTGTTGCCTTTCCTGCTCGGCTATTCCAGTTGTTATGACATAAGGGCAATTTTCCATTTGCAAGCTTTCAGTATCTAAATCAAGTCTACGTTTAACTTTCTCAAAACTGTTATCCAAAAACTGTTCATTCCCACAGGACACGGTAGGGGTGTCCATTTGCTGCTGCCTGGTATTTTGGTTTTGCATCAGTAAAGGAGATGGGTTTTTTACATCATAAGACTTATTCAGTTCCGTTTGTAAATTGCAGGAGTTTTTCTCTAACACACCAGCTGACTTGAATCCACTGAGTCCACTGACCGTTCCAAAGTTTTGACTTGCTACACTCTGACCGTTGGCGTACAGCTCATGCAATCTGGGCACTGTCGCACAAGCACTGTCCACTTTGTGTGGTCCTCTCCCATCAGCTGTTGACTGACCTTCCACCACAGCAAGTCCATGGATAACTTTATTTTCCAACTGATTTCCTGAAGATTGACATACCTGAGTTGATTTACCTAAAACCATTTCCTCTAAGTCTTCAGATGTATTTTTGCTGACATAAACTTTGCTTGAACAAACTCCTGCTACATCAATTGGTAACTTTGGCACAGTTTCAGGTTCATTTGCTTTTTCATCAGTATCTTGAACAACTAAGTTCACTGCCTGTTCTTTTCCTTTAGGACTTAATTCACAGGCATTTATCGGATTATTTATAAGTATATGACATGCTGATGATGGCCTAGAACGCCTTCGATGCATTTTAGGACTCAGGCTTAGCTCTGGACTAGGTAATTTGGCATATGAACCAGTAAGACTTTTGATAACATTATTTTCAGTAATAAAAGTGGGAATGACTTTAAAATCAGAATCAGGATCTAAACTAGAGGGATGGCCAGTTTGTACAGGTATGTCTACTTTGGAAAAGCTACCCATAATTGACATAGTCACACTGCTTGCTTGAACAGAAGCACCCTGGAGGAGAACATTGGATTTATTAAGGCTTGGTTTGTCAGGAATAACTGAGCCACAGTGTTTGCCTATCAGTTGGGTCTTCTCCTTTACACAGTCAGTCACTTTAACAGCATCATTTTCTTTGTCTGAGTGACTCTCATTAACAATCCTCTTTGCACTGCTTCTCAAACTGCGCCTAGATTGTTCTCTTTCTATATATTCCTTTGATTTTTTCATTAGGTTCTGAAGACTTATTACATAGGGATCTGGAGTGACGTCCAAAAATGACGGTTCCCGTTCTTCATTTGTTGGGAAGAGACCATCAGAAATAAGAGTCTCTTGTGGGGTTGCTGAAGAGGTTTTTAGAGAAGCTTCATTTTCTATGTGGCTAATACCTGAACCATCACATTGCTTCAGAGAATTAAGTTCTTCTGAGTCTCCAGGTAGGTCTATCCCACTAGATTTAAATTGGTCCTCATTATTCAAAGGCAAAACTCCAGTTATCTTTTCAAATTCTGCTAAAGCAGAGTGCTCAGAAGGGCTTGGCAAGTTATTTGGAAATGTAGCAGAATCATTCAAGTTTCTGATTTCTGAATTAGAGTAAAGTGTGTCAGACTCCCACTGATCAAAATCATTGACATCAGCTGCTTTTCTAACCTGAAAAAGGAAATTTAAAAATTATCATTTCCTGACTGCACAAAAGCCTTTGATTTCACTATTTTCTAAATTAAAACTGAAATTGAGCTTTCAGAAATCTGACATTTAAAAACACAAAAACTATGCTAACCTTTTCCATGCAAATTACTATAGAAAACAAGTATTAACCATCTTTTTAAAAAAGATTGAAAGGAAAAGGGAAAAAATCAGATACAAATATCATGTGCATGTGGACAGACACATTCATATATCCATGTATATTTTAATTTTAGAATCAAAGCATTTTCCTTAACTGCTTCTGTTATTTACATCACCAACTGTTCCACTTAGAGAGCTGCCATCTAAGAATAAAAATATATAACAAGTAATTAAATTCCTTATACAAATGATTCCCTTTAATAAAAACTGACTTGATCTGGCCATTGACTAAACAAAAAATTATTCAATAAGACCCATGCCTCACACATGGCTATTCCAAGTTTTAATTAAAATCCTCCTATAAAATGAGAGAAATTTATAGTAAATGTCTCAGCCTTATAGCTTAAATTACTTAGAAATAAGTAATTCATTAAATCAAATTTCAGTTCAATTAAGTGATCGTCAAAACAGCAAATAATGAGTTTTAGAACAAGCAAAATAAGTAAAAAAAAATTTGATAGAGAACAACTGCATACACAAGAGATCAAGCAGAAAAAACAAAATTACATCTGCATCTCTAAATAATTTAATTTTGCAAAAGAATAAAAAGTGAACTAGGATGATTTTTATAGATTAGACAAGCATATGGTAAACTGGTAAGATAAATATATCACCATATGACTACAGACTCCAGAAATTCTGAACATTAATATTTTTAGGTTGTTTTTGTGTGTTTTTTTCCCTAGACCATCTGGCTCTCCTGTTTTACCTTACAAATCCCAAGACATGAACTGGTATCCAGGCACTATGTAATAAACAATATAACAAGTATACTTAGTCACAACCTCAGGACCAAAATAAAACAAAAGGGATGAATACTCATGAAATCCATGGGTGAAGTAAAACAGATTATTTCCTTAAAATATCTCATATTTCACATTTGTGAAATTCAAACCGCTGTACTTTTTGAATACCAGTAAAATAAACCTTTGGTTAGACAGATTAAATAATAATCTGATAAAAATTTATCATAGTCATAGGTTTTATAAGTGAAACAAACTTTAGAAATCTGTTTGTATTATATGAACTTTCTCTATCTGCACAATTCATTCATTACTCTTCAGTTCAACATTGTTATGTGATCTGAACATAACAGAGAAAGTTTTTAGACTCAACAATAATCTTAGAAGCAGTATATCAGATGTATTCCTTCATTGGACCAAGAATGATATGCTATTTTTATTTTAATAATAGAAAATATCTAGTAAGTGAAAAACCCACTGTTATTGGTAAATCAGTGCTACACATTATATTTCTGAAACTTACTATGGGAAGTAATTATAATTTGTGAATAAAAACTACTCCCCACAGAGAAAGAACGGTAGCAGTTAGTAAGAAAGAGCCTCAGTTCATTGCACACATGTCATCTAATATGAAGTACACAAACCACAAGCCCCTAGAAATACGCAAAAATCAAAAGATGTAGCTGACAAAACAATACAGCACATGGCAGAAGTTATTTGCTTTTCTTTTTAGTACAAAATAATCCAGACCTCAAAACAAATTGTTTATAGTGATTTAAATTATGCTAAACAAAATGTACAAAGAGCATGCATGTGTTATTTAAATATTTATCTCATCCAAATTGCATTTGTATATCTAAGAGCAAGTTTCACCAAAAAAATAAATCGGGGACAGTTATTTACTTTCACAGAGAATAAGAATAGAGTCATTGAGTCAATCGTCTAATGAGTTCAGAGGTAAACTACAATGGCCAATTCTATCATTTTGTCACTCAGAATTCAATGTTTTTAGAGTCATGAGACATAGACAATAAGCAATTGTATTCGCTGTGTGGTTTCACTGTCCAAGGACCCTCTGATTCAAGTGCCGGGTATCACTAACAAGCAAGTGAATTTTCTTTGGAGTAACTGAAATGGAATATCACAAATTATGAAGGTTCTCAAACCTAACAGTTTAGTACATTGGTAATTAAGTAACAAGTGCAAATATATTTGTGAAAAATTATCATCAATGCTTACCTCCTGACTTTTAAAAAATTTTTATTGAAGTAACTTTGGTTTACAACTATATACAGGTTTGATGTGTACAGCATCACCGTTTGACATCTATATACACTATATTACCATCTCCACCAAATGTCCAGTTTCCATCCACCAGCAAACAACTGACCCCCTTTGCACCTATTTTACCTGTGTCTCTACCCCTGTTCCCTCTGATCCAAGCATATGATTTATTATAATCTATAGGAGCTTATGTTACGCACCTGAACATTTTCAAGAATCTCCTGGACACGAGTCAGTAAAGCTTTCTTCCTATTAACCTGTTTTCTTGCCTCTACATCAAGTGCTTTCTGCTTTTCTTGTTGCATCTCCTTTCTCTTCTCAATATTAAGCTGCAAAATATCACAAACATAATTATTTCTCAGAAATACAAAAATATTACACAATCAGAAGTTCTGATACAGAATGAATAAAAACATGTACAACTGGGGAAACTATCTCTAGTGAAAGAAGCACAAGCAGTGACTAGGGGCGGGGCAGGCTGGCTCTTTCTGTGGTGATGAAGTTCCCTGTGGGTGAGAACTATACAAGTGCACGCCACACATGAAGTCATGGGACTTTAACACTTAACATCTGTGCATTGTACTATATGTAAATGATCTCATTTGAAAACAAAAGAAAGAAAAAAAACCTGTACACCTATCAAATACTGTAAAATGAGATAAAATTAGCCCCGCTAAGGCCTTGGGTCTGTGAGGTCCGCCCGGGGCGCAATAAACTTTCCCTCCCTTTGAGAAATGTAATAAAAAAAAAAAAAAAAAAAATTAGCCCCGCTGAGGTTGTGGCCACTGCCGAGTTTTACATTTAGCAATGCTTACTGCACGGGGTCAGTTACATTCTTCAACCTTTATTCTAATCAATACATATTTTACCTCTTTCCTACTTTAAGAAACTGTACAAAGGTTTAACCACAAAAGAAACAGATAATGCTCCATTATACCACAAAATCAGAATACATATTGGGTTCCACTTCATTGTACCCTCCACTAAGAATATAATGTAAGTAAAAAAATTGAAGGCTTCTATGCATTGTCATTTTACAGTAGATTTAAATATTTTTAAATCCTAGGAAGTTCAGTCCCTATGTTAGGAGTTAAGACTTAGTCTTAAACAAATGAAAAACATGCCTCAAAAAAAATTATTCCAAACTTGCAACATTCATCCATCAGCTACAACTGAAAACATGTATTAAAGTGCATGAGCATCAGATTTTACTTTAAAAAAAAGTGAAAAAAGTGAAGATGGCAAAAATATTAAAAATTGCTGATTCTGGGGGTAGATGTGGCTGGTCTTTTCAACATTTCTATATGTTTAAAAATTTCATTACAAAAAAGTTGGCAAAAAATATTGATCTTTTAACTCCTATTGTTTAAAAAATTTTAACTTTTTTTTAAAGACTTTATTTATTTTTGCATAGAAGAACAGGTGTGTAGGCCAGAGGTGAGGGGCAGAGAGGATTCACTAGAGACAGAGTGGGGAGCAGAACAGGCAGATACACTGAAATACACTGCTGAGGGGAATAGGGGACGAAACAGGAGAGGTCTGCTGTACCATGTGGGTCAGCTCCCTTGTAAGGAATGGAACTCAGGCCACAGCAGTGGCAGTGCTGAGACTTAACCCCTGGGCCACCAGGGAGGCCCAAAAATTTTAACTTTTTTTTAAAATCTTTTTTTTTTTTTTAAGATTTATTTATTCATGCATACAAGAACCGGGGTATAGGCCAGATGCGCATGGCAGGGGGGTGAGAGGATTCATGAGAGACAGAGCAGGGAACAGAACAGACATACCAACCAAAATACACTGCTGAGGGGAGCAGCAGGCAAGATAGGAGAGGTCTGCTGCACCATGTGGGTATCTCCCTGGCCAGCCAGGATCGAACTCGCACTGCAGAGACTGTGGACAGCTTCACAGCGCTGCGCTCAATCGCCTGCGCCACCAGGGAGGACCAAAAATTTTAACTTTTTTTTTTTAAAGATTTATTTTTATTTACACAAGAGCTGGGGTACAGGCCAGATGTGCGGAAGGGAGAGATGATTCACCAGAGACAGAGGGGGGAACAGAACAGGCAGATGACTGAAATACACTGCTGAGGGGAGCAGCGGGAGAGACAGGAGAAGTCTGCTGTGCCATGTGGGATTCTCCCTGGCCAGCAGAATCTAACCGGCACTGTGGAGGCTACAGACAGCTTCACAGCGCAGCACTCAACCCGCTGTACCACTGGGGAGGCCCAAAAATTTTAACTTTTAATAGCAATAGCTTTCCCATTTGAAATAAAGTCACATACATTTAAAAAATATTCAATCAAACATACACAATAAAAAGTATGTCTTCCCTTCAAACTATACTACAAAGCCATAATCATCAAAACTGCATGGTATTGGAACAAGAACAGACACACAGACCAATGGAATTGAATAGAAAATCCAGAAATAAACCCACAGATTTATGGTCAACTAATCTTTGACAAAGGAGCAAAGAATATGCATTGGAGCAAAGAAAGTTTGTTCAATAAATGGTGCTGGGAAAACTGGGTCGCTACATGCAAAAGAATGAAGCGTGACTACTACCTCGCACCATGCACAAAAACCAACTCAAAATGGATTAAAGAACTAGACATAAGACCTGAAACCATAAAATACATAGAAGGAAATATAGGTGAAACACTACATGATATGCACATCAAAGACATCTTTACAGACACATCACCCAAAGCAGTGATAGTGAAGGCAAAGATAAACAACTGGGACTACATCAAATTAAAGAGCTTCTGCACAGCAAAAGAGACAATAACAAAAACAAAGAGAAACCCCACCGACTGGGAGAACATTTTTGCACACAACACTAATGATAAAGGACTGATCACAAAAATCTGCAAAGAGCTGATGAGACTCAACAACAACAAAGAAAATAACCCAGTCAAAAAATGGGCAGAAGAGCTAAAAAGAAACTTCTCTGAAAAGGAAATGCAAATGGCCAACAGGCATATGAAAAAATGTTCAGCATCACTTGTCATCAGGGAAATGCAAATCAAAACTACAATGAGATACCATCATCTTACACCAGTGAGAATGGCACATATTAAAAAAAACTAGCAACAACAAATGTTGGCGAGGATGTGGAGAAAAAGGAACTCTCCTGCACTGCTGGTAGGAGTGCAAACTGGTCCAACCACTATGGAGAGCTGTGTGGAGATTTCTGGACCTACTAAACATAGAGCTTTATATGATCCAGCAATTTCACTCCTAGGTATTTACCCAAAGGACACAGAAACATCAATTCCAAAGAGCACCTGCACCCCTATGTTTATAGCAGCACTATTTACAATAGCTAAGCTTTGGAAACAACCCAGATGCCCCAAAATAGATGACTGGATCAAGAAGATGTGGTCCATATACACCATGGAATATGACTCAGCATTCAAAAAAGATAAACACATGCAATTTGCAGCAACATGGATGGAGCTGGAAGGGATCATGCTCAGCGAAATAAGCCAGAAAGAAAAAGAAAAATACCGGATGATCTCACTCCTAGCAGGAATCTAGAAAACTTAAATAAGGGACCGGGAAAAAGAATAACTATAAGAAAGAAAAAATCAAAATCAACAACTATGAACCAGACACACTCTATAGGGGTTGGGGGGCGGGGAAAGGAGGGATTGGGGTCAAAATAAGGGGGTTGTAATTGTATGGGGAATATAAAAATAAAATTTAAAAAAAAAAAAAAAAAAGTATGTCTTCCCTCTCATCCTATAGTACTTTACTCTTCTCCAGAGAAAGAATATCCTTGTTTTAAGAACCCAAATAGTTGACATATATTGAGTGCTTCCTATGTTCCAGGTAGTGATCCAGGTACCCTTGATAGTTTACCTAATCCTAAAAACAGTCCTATAAAGTAGGCACTATTTTTATCCTCATTTAACAAAGAAACAGACTGGCAAGTTTACACAGCAGGTGGAAGATAGCAATGATTTGAACACAGGCCAGAAGGCTCCAATCTGGGTTTGGAATTGCTATTCTACACCGCCTCTGAGAGCATGCCATGTGCAGTGATTTATGGTTGGTTGTTTAGGTCCTTTCCTGTCAACACGTCTAGATCTACTATTCATTATTGAGACATGTCTGAAGAGTCTATGAAATGGGCCAGAGTTGGTTAAAATAATCCACTACTGATAGGCATTTAGGCTGTTCATCAGTATTTTTTGCTATTTTCAACAAAGCCACTTACAACCTTGTATAACCTTGGGGCACACATAGGAAAATAGTTCCAAAAATGGAATTGCCAAGTCAAAGGTTTTGTACATTTTCAATCTTGATAAACACTAACAACTTGCTCAACAAAAAAATAAAATCAATTGAGTAAAAATGCACTGAAAGTGCCTTTTCCCCACAACCTAAGGAACACCAAGTCCTATCGGATCTTAGTCAGTTCAGTAGGTAAAAAATGCCAAAGCATTTGTATTTCTTCAATTATGAATAAGGGCCAGACATTTTTGCAATGATCATAAGCCTTTCTTTTGGTTTTCAAAAAAATACTTTAGTGGTACACTATTAAAAAAAAAAAAGAATATTTAAAATCAAAAAAAGTTTACCAGTGGCGAAAGCACAGCCACTCCATGGAAGCGAATAAGTGAGATGCTTTCAGACTGAACAGGTAGAAAGTTCTCTGTGGATAATGATGCTTCTTGAATTCTGGCAAGACTTTTCTCACAGAACTTTTCATATTCCTCCATCTTCCCACAATCAGACTACAAGAAAGAAGAATGACATTTTTAATGTGCTGAGAAAATAGATTATTATTTGGCAAATTTTGTAGAGCTCTAAATATCCCTAGAATTCACAACGCCTAGAACTGGCTTCCCAGAATTGCTTCACCAGAAGCTAATTCTTAGGTATAGGTAAGTAGCCTCAAGATCCTATCCAGTTAAGCCTTGCTTCATATATTAAATATTTCTGAACATTTGCTGTAAATCAAACTTTTGATATGACTAGTTTAGAAAAGTCCAAGAACTCACCAGTGAAACCTTCTCAAAGGAACAAAGTTCTATACTCTTTACTAACTTTAGATTATAAAATAGAATACTTTCTTTAGCAGGAATTATCTACACAGCACAAGAAAAAACTAAATCATGCAAAGGTAGAGTTACTTTCATACCAAACAAGAAAAAGGAAAAAAAAAGACAATAGGGCTATTACATAAAAGAGGTTATTTACTTTTAAATGTTATTCTTCTATCATGGAGTTCAAAGTCCATTACTTGCACATATTAGGAATATAGTTTGACCCCATGTTCACTAGCCAAATCAGAATCAGTCAGTAGCAGAAAACAGGAAAGCTATTGGCTTTCATATTAATTCTATTTATCACTGAAAATTAAAACCACACCAAACTACCTAATCTACTTAACCAATCTAGTAATTTCAGTTTCTGGGAAACTTTGATGGTGGCTATGAAAATACTAGATAACCAGGAAAGATTAGGTATCATATTCATTCACCTAAAAGGCGTTAAATATTTCACTGCTGGTTTCCATAACATTATGTCTGGCATTGTTTAAATAAGCAAGAGAATAAAAGAGACATCATAAAATCATAACCAAGAAGGTTATGAACTGTGAAAACAGAAAGCCTAATAAATGTTCCTTTAAACATTTGTTTAAAAAACAATTAACTGGGGGGCCTCCCCGGTGGCGCAGCGGTTGAGCGCTGGGTTGCGAAGCTGCCCGCGGCCTCTGAGGCGCCGGTTCGATCCCCGGCTGCTCCCCGGCCACCGGAGGAGGATCCCACATGGCGTGCAGACCTCTCCTGCCGCCAGCTGCTCCCCTCAGCAGAGCACTTCGGTCCTTCTGCCTGCTCTGCTCCCCGCTCTGGCTCTGGTGAATTCTCTCACCCTCCCGTGCTTCTGACTGTACCCAGTGCTTGAAAAATAAATAAATAAATCTTAAAAAAAAAAAAAAAAAAAAAACAATTAACTGGGCCTCCTCAGTGGCTCAGTGGTTGAGCTCTGGGTTGCAAAGCTGCTGCTCCCAGGCCACCAGAGGAGGAGGGGCCCACATGGCGCTCAGACCTCTCCAGCCGCCCTCTGCTCCCCTCAGCAGTGTGTTTCGTCAGTCTGCTTGCTCTGCTCCCCGCTCTGGCTCTGGTGAATTCTCTCACCCTCCCGCGCTTCTCACTGTACCCAGTGCTTGTATAAATAAATAAAAATAAAATCTTAAAAAAAAAAAATTAACTACTTTTTAAAAAGAATGTTGAACAATTCATGATTATAGAATATGCAAAGATGAAATAGGATAGACTATGATACTGCACTAAGCCTAAGTACTTAAAAATTCACTACACTAAAGTGTCAGGGACAAATTATAGTGCAATTAGAAAAGTATGCTCAAAATTTTCATTAGATTATGGGGAAAACAATGGAAAAATAGTTATGTTGCTAATTTTGATGAACGATAGTGTTATTAGTAACAAAACTTCTTCCTGCCATCAATTCTAATCACTTTTACATTCAGTACATGCCAAGTGAGAGTTTAATTTCAAAGAAGGTTCTCTAGAGTATAAATGAAATTACTCTGCCAATTTAATTCATAAAACCAACAAAAGTAAAAGACACAACACCTTACTGCATGCTACCCATGGCTAGGCCTCCTATTTTTGTCTAGATTTCAACATACATTATGATGTCTTAACAACCAAAATATGCAGAAAATATATAAAATTCAAATGACCCCACTTCCGATAAAATACTTGAAAATATTAATGAATACAACCCATGAATCCAGCATTACAGGGAAGATAAATAAATTATCCATACAATTAATGCAACATACTTTCTATGGATACATAAGCAAAGCACAAAATTCTATTTTAAAGGTCTGGAATATTTAAGGAAATAAGCTATCATAAAGATAGCTTATTTATGGTATCTTTACAGTAGCTTATTTATGGTCTCTTTATGATAGCTTATTTATGGTAACAGACTTATTTTTCTTTCAACAATATTATATAAATATGCCTCATCACTCCAGAAAGTTAGATCCACATCCCTTAAGAGAACGTGTGTGTCCTACATACTACAGACATACAGTAATACATTATTATAACAAACTTCCAGCATTCGATAAAGCATTAAACATCTAAATACAAATGGTAATTACGGAAATTATCAAATGATCCTTCTTATCCTTCAGTCCCTCCTTGGATGTCTCTTCCTTGGAAAGGCTATCTCTAATTATCCCACATAAATTAACTCTGCTCAGTCACCATCACATCACCCTGCTGTTTCCCAATGTTCATAGCACTTACCACTATCTGAAATTATCTTGTTTATTTCCTTGGTTTTTGTTTGTCTTCTTCCACCAAAACGTAAGCTCCATAAGCACAGGTACCTTCTTAGTCTTGCTCACCACTGAATCCTCATTACATACCACAGTGTCAGAACACAGGAAGCACTTGCTAGAAGTAGTGAATAAATGAATTAGGGTAATTAGTTCAAACTAGTTAAAAAAAAAAAAACAAGGAAGTGAACTACATAGCAATGAAACTAATAAGGAAGAACGGAAACTAGAGAAGGGGAGTTTAAGAGATGACTCTAGCCTCTGAGAAAATGGTACCTCCAAACTGCAAAGGCAACCATTTAAAAAGCGAGCGTCCGTAACCCTTATGATTAAGCAAGAGGGTACTTTCTCACACCACAATTATCTCTGTCAGTAGAGTTTTTATTTTAAGGGAATCTTGACTACAAGGCCGCTCCAACCACAAATCTACTGTCCCATACTTTATCATCAGGCATTATTGGTCCACTTGACTTAATAATTTGTCAGCTGCATCAAGTTTAGACATGCCTTGTATTCTTCACTTACACCATGACACTCTTCAAATGAGTTTCCCTGCAAACCCCACAGTTTCATGGCCCTGCTACCGGCTGCTCACCAACACTCTACCAGAAACATCGAAGGGAGTAGTAAAAACACAGGACAGATCCTGCCTTGTTTTCTGGATCCTAACAAATTATTCAGTCATCAGTCCCCACCAGATGTAAACTTCTTAGAGAAGCAACAGAGAAGGTTTACAATTCAGGCATATACTAGCCGCGTGTTCCTGGAATTCACTCACCATCTCCATGCCTTAGCTTCCCCATCTCTAACATAGGGATAAGCAAAGTATCTGTCTCAAAGAGATTCTGCGAGGATCCAATGAACTAAAACACGTGTGGTAATTAGCCCGTTGCAAGACATACAGAAAGCATCAATAAAAGGGGCTGCTTTTACTGTGCAGAGGCTGCTGATTATGACTTTTATCACTAAATTATGTATTCCTGGAAGACAGTGGACTGCGCTTGGCTGACAAGATTCTCATGGAACATCAAAACGTAAAAAGGGGAGACATCGGCTTCATTTCACTGTTTCCAGGCCCCTACCTGACAAATCAATCTTTAGGCGCCTGCCATTTGCCTCCATTGGGGGTAAAGACCCAGGATTACAACCAGCTGGAAGCAAAGGGTGGGAACCACCTAGCAGCAGACAAGGTGCTGTATTATCCTCAGCTTATTCCCCAGAGTCGCAAAGGCAGCACAAACAGCGCTCCTAGGGCCTTGGTTGTGGTAACCACCGTTCTGAAAAGGCCAGTGCACACCTTGGAGACGCCTTATTCTCCATCACCGTAGGCGGAAACAAAAAGGGTCCCCCTAGTTTTATGAGCAGATGACTCCCCGGCTCTGGCCCGAGTTTATTTGCCCGGGACCCTCTGCTCTCACCCTGGTGCCCCACGCCCACCGCCCCAACCCCAGCACCCTCCGAGGATGCACCTGCGGGCCCATCAGCGGTGCCAACCTCCGCACACCCGGTCCCAGGGCACTGACCCCCCCCATACCCAGCGCCACTGCAGGGGTTGGAGGCACCTCCGCTCGGCTCGTGCAGAGCAGCCCCAGCTCCTCGGGGCGCCAATTCCGCCTTCCCGCGGGTCTGGGGGTTCCAGCGGAGCCTCGACGCGGAGGCCCAGCCCCTCCTCACACACCTGATCTCCCACGGCCCAGTCGGCTTTTTTCCCCACGCCACAGGCCTTGTCAGGAAGCAAATGGCTCAATTGGTACCAAGGGAGAGCACCTCGGCCCGCCGCCGCCTTCTCCTCCTCCCCGCCATATTACTGGTCTCAGGCGGCAACGCGGGCTCCAGGCAACCGCGGCCGCCCGTCCCGCCCAGACTCCGCCTCGCAGAGCGAGCACTTCCGGTGGGTGCTTCCCGGGCTCACAAAAAACTACAATCCCCGAAGTGCATTGCGCGCCCGACTACGCGCCCTGGGCAGGTGGTGAAGGCGAAGGATTTGCGAGAGCGCGGTGCACGCTGGGAAACGTAGTCTTTACTGCAACGTAGTTAAATGGCTTACAATATGGACGCTTGTCAGGTCTGAAGTCCCTGCATTGTCCCTTGAAGTTGCTATTTTTTTTTAACGTATCCGTAGGAAAATAATCTCACTGTGGTCGTTGCCAAACATAAGACTTTCACCCAAATTGTTTACTCTGGGGCCTCCTGGTGGCGCAGGTGGTTGAGCGCCGCACTGTGAAGCTGTCTGCAGACTCTGCTGCCAGGGTTCGATTCCCGGCTGGCCAGGGAGCAACCCACATGGCGAGCAGACTTCTCCTGTCTTGCCCGCTGCTCCCCTCAGCAGTGTGCTTCGGTCCTTCTGCCTGCTCTGCTCCCCACTCTGTCTCTGGTGAATCCTCTCACCCTCCCGCACATCTGCCTGTACCCTGGTTCTTGTATAAAAAATAAATAAATCTTTAAAAAAACAAAACAAAATAAATTGTTTACTCTGTAAATAAAAATCACCTGAATCCTAGATGCTAAACCTTGAGACATCCCTTTACCTTTTCCAAATCAGTGGGAAAATAGGTGAAGGACAAGTTCAAAATGGCAGGAAAGTCCAGAATGTTTTGCCAGAGTTTTGTATCTAAACATGCAATGGCTTTTCAAGATATGATGTAGAGGCCCTTTTCATTTCCTAACTGAGCTTCACCTCCTGCCTCTCTTACTGATTCTCCTTTTCCATGGCTATTTTGTGTTATGTAAAATGAGTTTTCAAGTGCCATTTCTCAAAGGAGGTTGTGAGGAACAACGAAGATAAGTCCTGTTACTAGTCCTTGGTACAAGTAAGGTTAGGCAAAGGAGTAGCAATGAAAAGATCACTGACCTAAAACTGGAGTAACTTGATGGCAATCCTAACTCTGCCATTACTACTCAATTCACCTCTCCATTTCAGGTGCCTCATCAATAAAATGAGGGAATCATTAAAATCCCTTCCAGCATTGTAAGTGGGGTGTGCACCCCTTTATTTTTTTAATTTTACTTTTATATTCCCCATACAATTACAACCCCCTTATTTTGACCCCAATCCCTCCTTTCCCCGCCCCCCACCCCCCATAGAGTGTCTCTGGTTCATAGTTGTTTGTTGATTTTGATTTTTTCTTTCTTATAGTTATTCTTTTTCCCGGTCTCTTATTTAAGTTTTCTAGATTCCTGCTATGAGTGAGACCATCCGGTATTTTTCTTTTTCTTTCTGGCTTATTTCGCTGAGCAGGATCCCTTCCAGCTCCATCCATGTTGCTGCAAATTGCATGTGTTTATCTTTTTTGAATGCTGAGTCATATTCCATGGTGTATATGGACCACATCTTCTTGATCCAGTCATCTATTTTGGGGCATCTGGGTTGTTTCCAAAGCTTAGCTATTGTAAATAGTGCTGCTATAAATATAGGGGTGCAGGTGCTCTTTGGAATTGATGTTTCTGTGTCCTTTGGGTAAATCCCTAGGAGTGGAATTGCTGGATCATATGGAAGCTCTATGTTTAGTAGGTCCAGAAATCTCCACACAGCTCTCCATAGTGGTTGGACCAGTTTGCACTCCCACCAACAGTGCAGGAGAGTTCCTTTTTCTCCACATCCTCGCCAACATTTGTTGTTGCTAGTTTTTTTAATATGTGCCATTCTCACCGGTGTAAGATGGTATCTCATGGTAGTTTTGATTTGCATTTCCCTGATGACAAGTGATGTTGAACATTTTTTCATATGCCTGTTGGCCATTTGCATTTCCTCTTGGAGAAGTTTCTTTCTAGTTCTTCTGCCCATTTTTTGACTGGGTTATTTTCTTTGTTGTTGTTAAATCTCATCAGCTCTTTGCAGATTTTTGTGATCAGTCCTTTATCATTAGTGTTGTGTGCAAAAATGTTCTCCCAGTCGGTGGGGTTTCTCTTTGTTTTTGTTATTGTCTCTTTTGCTGTGTGCATCCCTTTAAATATGTTCTTTCATTTCCTCAAATTCTGAAAAATCCTGTCACCAGACAAGGGAATGGACTAGAGCCCCCTCAGACAGATTCCAACCTCACTCACAGCAGGCAGTTAAGCTAGCAGTGTAACAGCCGCAGTCTCCTGCTCCACCACCCAGGAGTCAGAGGGATGGATGGAGGGGTCTACTCCCAGGAAGGGGCTCTTGAGACCCTGTAGTCAAGACTGAAAAGAGACTTCACAGACAACCGTGAGGCAGAGTCAGCATTTATTAATTAGCAAAAGAGCAAGGAAAGACAACTCTGGGGAGACCTCTATGGGCATGAGAAAGATTCGCCAAGGTGCTGAGTCTGGGGGTTCTATGTAGGTTTTAGGACTAGGGGTTGAGAACAAAGGAATGAAACTTTATTGGCTGAGAAGGCAAGGAGAATAGACTTGGCATAAGTTGCTAGCTGTGGTTACCAATCAGCTGCAGCTCAGTGGTCATGCAGTCCTTGGCCCATGTCCAACGTAAAGATTTCACGGAGGCTGTGTCCCCTTAGATCCAGAGGAGGCTGTGTCCCCGCAGATCCAGATAAACAAGTCTAGTCTAGTCTCAATGTCTGGGACTCCCTTTTCTTTTGGGTCCTTAACTCCCCTTTTCTCATAGCAGCCAACTTGATAAACTGTGTAAAGATAACCCAGGAATGCCGGAATGCCGGGCTGGGGGGAATTAGTAAAAAACAAAAAAAAGTGTCAAGGAAATTGATGGCAGCAGGTGTCTGGGCTTAATGTCATCAGAGTTTTAACCTCTTGTTTACCAGCCCATGGGAACAGCAAAATTGAATGGCAATACTTCTGCAAAGTTTTTCCTTGAGTCCTGTCCTATCTCACTTCTAGGGTCGACTGAATCCTTGCAGTAATGACTACCCACCAGGGTTGGAGAAACAGATCAGGTAACTACACTCAAGCATTTGCTGGCACAGAACCTGGAGCATGGTAAGTACTTTACAAACGTTAACTGTAATTCTTAATTGCCCCACAAGAGCAAACACTGTCCCGCTGGTGCCGTGCCCAGAGCCCCTGGACTGCTGTTGGCACACCCTGAACTGACTGAAACAGTCTAAGCATCCAGTCCCTGCAAAGCTCCTTACGGCGGCGCCTCTTAATTCCTCCCCTTCTGCAGGCTGAGAACCCTTGACCCAAGCTCCAGCTCGCAAAACTACCCCAATGTCACTTTGGAACGTGAGCCTGGGTCCAGGGCGGTCCTCGTTGCCATGGCATCAGCCCCGCCCCCCGAACTCGGGCGCTCCCGGGCCCTGATTGGCTGCGGCGCTCCCCGCTCTCCGGATGTGCCTGCAGCCGCCATTGTGCGGCGCTGGTCCCCTGGGAGGGCGCCCGCTTCGGGGAGCGCCTTGGGCTCTCGCCCCTGCTTCTCAATCTCCTGTCGGGGGAGCCCGGCGGGCCCGGGACCCCCGCTCGTGCCGGTGCGGGCGCCGGCATGTGGGTGCTGGAGGATCAGGGGGGCCTCCTGGGCCCCTTCTCCTTCCTCCTGCTGCTGCTGCTGCTGGTGACGCGCAACCCCTTCAATGCCTGCCTCTTCACCGGCAGCCTCTACCTGCTGCTGCGCCTCTTCAGCTTCGAGCCCGTGCCCTCCCGCCGGGCCCTGCAGGTGCTCAGGCCCCGAGACCGCGTGGCCGCCATCGCCCACCGGGGCGGCAGCCACGACGCGCCCGAGAACACGCTGGCGGCCATTCGGCAGGTGAGCCCCCCACACCTGGCGACCTCGCCCCCCGGGCTGGAACTTGCGCTTGTCCTTGCGAAGGATCCCCAGTTTTCTCGTGATAGTCTTCCCAGCTCCCCATGTGTCCCCGGTAGATACAGTCAAATGGCCTTTGATCCCTCTGAAGTCTGGAGAATCTCCCAATTTCAGGTATTTATAGAACACAGCAAATAGTGACATATTCAGCATGCACAGACATGAGGGCGCAGTCATGAACCAGACAGAGCCTCTGCTTTCCAAAGCTGGCCCCGGCGGAGGAGAGGCCTGTCTTAAACAAGTAAACGCATAAAGGGTATAAGGTGCAATGAAAAAATTAGGTAGTGGGATAAAAAATGATAGGGCGGTGGAGCTGGGGTGTTTTAGATAGAGTCAGAGAAATCCTTTCAGAGACGATTTTTAAGCTGAAACTGGATTATGGAAACCAGCCATAGATCTGGGGAGAAGTATTCCAGGGAGGGCAGTAGCAGGTGCAAAGGACCTGAGGTCGGAATGATATTAGTGTGTTCAGATAACAAGTTTGTGTGTGACCTCACTTAATGGGAGAAAACACAGGCTGGTGTATTAGTGAAGCTGGAAATGTGACCAGGTTAAGTGGAGTCTTGGTCAGTGGTGGGGTTTATTCTAAATGAATCACCTTCACAGCAGCTGGCCTTGCTTGTCTTCCAGACTGTCCCCTTCATATCTTTATCTCCTTTCCCTCCAAACACACACGTTCAGCTCAGACAACCCTGGCAGTAGGACTCCTGATCAGTTTTTGCCTCCTCTTTTTACAAGGCTTGCCTGAGACTCCAGAGCCCGCCCAGTTCTCTTGGCAGTTTCCTGACTTCATAATAATGACAGCTTGCATGTAAAAGAGTTTTTGCATATGTGGAAATACTATCTCTTGCTCTTATTTCTTTGAGACATTATTTTAACATTGACTGGACCAGGAAAACTGACTCAAATGCAAAGAGCTCTTTCTGGAATTCAGCCTTCTGATTCCAGCCCACATGCACTTTGTCATAGACTAGGATATATTCTGGGGTGTAAAAAGCTTGCACTGACTTTTCTTCTAGCTGGGGATAGACAGTATTGGGTAATGAGCAAGTTACCTAAGCTCTGTGTCCCAGACAGTCGTGACCATGATGTGGCAAGCAAGGCAACCCAGGAAACCCCTCCTCATTCTAGTCCCAGCCCTGACCTCAGTTTTCCCAACTGTAAAATAGGAATAATGTTAGTATTCTCCCTAATGGGTTGTGATCACTGAGGTAGTCCATGTAAAATGCTTGGCCCATGGTAAAAATTCACAAACGTAAGCTCTTTAAACCAGGAATCTGAAGATGGCTTGACTCTTTAAAATCACCTGTGTAAAGGCAAAAATTTTAAGTGTGAAGAAGGAAGGGGGTCAGGTATGCAGCCATCCTTTAATGTGATGGAGGATACCTGTATTTATGAACTAAGTCAAACTTCTGTTTCACTCCCCTTGGTTCTTTACAATGGAAGGGAGATAGAGCTACATTTCTATTCTGTTTAAAAATAAGTCTAAAGTAATCAATTGTATGAGGAATATAAAAATAAAATTTAAATTAAAAAAATAAATAAAAATAAAAAATAAAGTAATCAAAGAATGTATTTACATCTAAACTCAGAGAAGTTGGATAAAGTAACAGCTATCTAGGAGATGGAATTGTATGAAAAGAAAGATATTTGATTGCTAATAAGAAGGGGGGGCACATAACTCTCATTGGCTTCTGTTTCAACTTAACCTTGATGTAAGATGCTTTAAAGTAGAACTCAGTGTTAATTGAGCACAGAAGGCATCCTTAAGCATTTACTAATGGTTTGGTCAGGAACAAGTTTGACTGAATATAAATCATATTAAGGAAGTAGATGTATGAAATACACAGTGTTTCACATCCTGTTGTGTTACAAGGAAATTGTAGCTAAATTCCATTCATGTCATATGTTTTGGCTGAGCATGTATTTAATATATATAAAGCCGATTACCACTCTTACGAGATAATGAGGTGTGGTGATGCAGGTTGTTTAACAAGGTCATTGCCAATGAACTTTTTAGCTCCTGAATACAGACCTCGGAAGATAAGATCACATTGTCCCACTTGACTTCAAAAGAAATATGTAGTTGATTTCCATCAAAGTTTGTTTTTTGTCCTGTTCTTTCTTCCTTTGCATTGTTGCTGCTCATAATTTATATTCATAAACATTTTACTATATAAAAACGGCCTTCCTGGTGGCGCAGGCAGTTGAGCACAGTGCTGTGAAGCTGTCTGCAGCCTCTGCAGTGCTGGTTCGATCCCCGCCAGCCTTGGAGCAACCCACATGGTGAGCAGACCTCTCCTGTCTCGCCCACTGCTCCCCTCAGCAATGTATTTCATCAGTCTGCCTGTTATGCTCCCCACTCTGTCTCTGGTGAATCCTCTCACCCTCCTTCACATCTGGCCTGTTCTCCGGCTCTTGTATAAATAAAATAAATCTTTAAAAAAAAATCAGGGAACATATTCTCATAGTAATAGAATTTCTGGTCTGGTCTATTATAAGATATAGAAGAACAACTTCAGTGATGTGAAGTGAATATATTCTGAAAACAGATGCACTATTAAAAACAATGACGGGAATGAAACTGTACCCACAGTCGCTTTTCAGTGTGCACTTTGATGGTTTTTGATGAAAATAAACCCTGGGGTTACCAACACTAAATCTGTTTCCAGCAGCCCAGAAAGTTCTTTTGTGCTCTCTCTGGAGTCAGTACTCCACATCCCACCTCTGCCCCAAGGCAACACTGATCTGATTTCTATTAACTACAGTAAACTGTACTATTCTATTACTGAACAGTTGCTGTAGTTTCAAACATTTTAAATGAAACTACCAAATTTATGTAAACTAGTTTATGTGAAATTATTATATTTAGAATAAAAATAGTATTAAAAGAAATTTCCTTAAATAAATGAAAAGGTATGAAGTATATACTCGTGGGTGATTTAGAATCAGGGGGTTATTTTCTTGACTCTATAACCAGAATAACAAAAGAAAGTTGAATTTAAGCATTACTAGATCTGGTCTAAGAAACTCTAATATGGTAGTTCTTACATAGGGCTTTTGTTCTGGGCCTTAATAAACTCAGAAGACAAGTAAGTGAACTCACTAATTCTAGCATTTTTGCTAAAATACAGCGTCTCACCATTGTCATTTTCTGTGTTGTAGCCAAGTAAAGTTGGTCCTAATGAGTAAAAGTATAATTAAATGTAATGGTAGTGCTGGCACCAAGGAATAAGGATAACATTCGTGGCATAGTGAGAGAGATGCAATGTGGGTACTGACAATGTCATTTTTATCTGTGTTGTAGAATATAGGACCCAAGTTGATATACCTTATAAGTCTGTAGCTTATTCTGACTTTAACTTATAAGGTTAAGTCTCAGCGCTATCATCTCGCCAGCCTGAGTTCGATCCCCCACCAGGAAGCTAACCCATATTTGGCACAGCATACCTCTCCTGTCTCAGTAGTGTATTTCAGTAAATCTGCCTGTCCCCCACTCTGTCTCTGGTGAATTCTCTCACCCTTCCCCCATCCCCCGCACCTCTGGCTTACACCCCAGCTCTTGTATGCATAAATAAATATTTAAAAATATTTGAAAAGAATTCAGTGAATAACAATGGCTTGATTTTATTGACTGCTTCCAAAGCACAAGACCAGTGCTATATGCTGTTAATAGGCACTTAAGTGTGGGGTAAATATATACAGGCCTGTAAGTGAATGTGAGAATGGTGCACATCAGCTTTGAGAGGGTAGTTGGCTCTGGAGAGGACGAGGGGAAAGTTTTCGCTCTGTCTGTGGTGTGGATAAGTACAGTTGTGGTAATTGAGTTCTATCTACTACCTCCTAGTTTGACCCAGAGCGAGTTTCTTCATCGTACTGTGTCTTAATTTCCTCATTTGAAAATGAAAAGATTACCTTACACAGGGTTGAGGGTCACATGAGTTATTGCATTTAAAGCACTTGGACTAGTGCCTGACAAATAGAGATGTCTCAATCGATAGCTGTTACGTTTTAGGGCAGCAAGAAATTAAAACAAATATGGCAAAATGTTAACACCTCTCAAGACTTTTTTGCTATATACTTTTATGTATGTTCGCAATGGATGTTGACATAATTTTTAAAAATTTAAGTTAATGTCTTCATCATCGTGAGCATTTCACATCTCCATTGTGACAAAGAAGTCAAAGAAAACAAGTTTGGACAGTGTGTCAGAAAAGCGTGACCCATAAAACTTAATGTTCACGGGCCTCCCCGGTGGCGCAGCGGTTGAGCCCTGGGTTGCGAAGCTGCCCGCAACCTCTGCAGCGCCGGTTCGATCCCCGGCTGCTCCCCGGCCACCGGGCCAGGGTCCCACATGGCGCGCAGCTCCTGCTGCCCGCTGCTCCCCTCAGCAGTGTACTTCGTCAGTCTGCCTGTTCTGTTCCCCGCTCTGGCTCTGGTGAATTCTCTCACCCTCCCGCGCGCTTCTGACTGTACCCAGTGCTTGTATAAATAAATAAATAAATAAATAAATCTTAAAAAAAAAAAGAGAGAGAGAGATTACATAATTCAAACTGAACTCTAGGAAGGTGGGCTTGGCTGCAGACCCTGGAAGACGGTTTGGAGAAGAATGGCAGAAACAGCTAACGAGGATACTTAAAAAATAAAACATAAAAACTTAATGTTCATGTCCTTTTCTTAGATAAATCCTAGTATATCCCATCCCATCCTAGTATATCCCAACAAGCTCCCCGGCCTGTTGGCCAACACCCATGCTGCTCACTAATGGAGTGTCCCCTAAAAGCAGACTTGGTGTCTATGCTGCAGAGGGTGGAGTTGAACCAACAAAAACCTGACTCATCTTGTTTATGCCAAAGTAGCACAGTATCAACAAGCACAGAGGAGTCTTCAGAGATACTGTACCAAACAGAGTATAGTTAAACAGTGGAAGTTGTTGACATATATGTAATTGTGAGCTTTAGTCACCCGTATAATTGAGGAACTGCTGGAGACCAGCTCCAGCTAGAAGTTGTGTCAGGGGTCTCAGAGAGGAGAGGACGGTGTTGGCCAAGTTTTCTCGGAGGACTGAGGGGAAGTGGAGTGAGGTAGGAGTGAGGTAGACACAGACACCTTTCCTGCAAGTATCTCCTGCTGAGGGTCTCAGCGGGTCTTTATACCTTAAGGCGAGCGGTGGGATTTCATCAGCGTAAGCATTGAAGCAGAGCAGAGACAATCAATACATATTTTCTCATGATCATGTAAAGACTCCCTTGGCCTTACACCTGTAGGCCATTTCTTTGGTAACCTAAGAACAATTAGTTTCCTAGGTACAGCTCATTTACTAGCATGATCAGTCATACAAGACAGCACAACGTTTGGCAACAATTAAACTTTCCCAATTACAAAAGTGGGTGTAAAATTCCTATTCTATATTCAATTACTAAAATCAATCTATCTCCAAGCACTCAATTAACTTGGTTAATAATTACTTCAAAGTGGTTGTAAGGGCAGGACTGGCCACAGTGCAGATTTTCTGATCTCATGCATACCGGGTAAAGGAGGAGTCAGAGTCCTCAGTGGTTTTTTGCAGGTCTTTTATTGGGGTTCACCAGGCATATGGCAGGCAGGGGTGCTTGTCTTCACTCTGTCTGGGCTCTCCGGCCTTCTCTGCTTCTCTCCCGGCTTCTGTTTCGGCTTCTGCTGCTTCTACTGGCGTCCCCGTGATGCCGCCCTTGAAAAAAAGCACAGTCTTAGCACAGGTGTACCCACTTCAGGTGCCCGCCATCAGGCATGCATTCAGGATCATAGGGTTCCCTCATCTATCCTGATGGCGGGAGGGCAGAAAAGCCTGATTTTTTACCTTACCCTACAGTGGTCTAAAACAACTCATCAAATCTATGTAAGTTCTACTGAAGTCTAGCTCTTAACTAGAAATTCCTAACCTCCACATGGCCTGCGAACTATTGACCTCTTGCATACACCAGGAAATGTATTGTTGCAGCAAACAGGCACCCCCCAGGTTAGGCTATGGTTTCCACGCACAGCTGGTTCAGGGCAGCTTGTTCTGCATAGTTCTCAGGGCCAGGACATTTCTATCCTAACTATATCTTTAACAATTTTTACTTCTTTTGTGATAGTTCATGCGTAAGAACAATAAGCCAATTGTCACCTGGGTCCAAATTAGGTTTTCACAGGCCAATTAATAACTAACTTACCTCTGCATTAACCAAGAACAAATTGGAGAGTATTAGCAGGCATTGCCATGGAGACTCCCTAGTTCAGATCTTCTTTGGGAAGTGCAAGAACTCCCTTCTTGTGGGAGTTCTTTCCAACTTTCCCTCTTCGGGGAGCACAGGAACTCCCCTCTTCTCAGGAGTTTCCCCCAATGCTCGGACCATGTCAAGAGACAGCATGGGAGCCGCAGCCTGCTGCAAGGAACCAGAGAAACCTTAAATTTCCTAAGCCTCCTCATCTGTCACTGTGAGAGTGGGGGGAGTGGGGAAATTGCCATTTTTAAGGAATCCATAAGTGAAGAAGTTGAAGTAAGGCTAGAAGGAGGCCGGCTTGCCGTCGGTGCAGGATGGGAGTGGCGTCAGAGCGGTTGTCCACTTAGCGGGCCCTGCGGGTCATCTTGAGTGTTGTTGGTTGAAAACGAGGCCCGTGGCCATTTGACATTAATATTATGGATGCTTTTGTTAAGGCAGCTAAGAATGGAGCATCAGGCGTGGAGCTGGACATTGAGTTTACATCTGATGGGATTCCTGTCTTGATGCACGATAACACGGTAGATAGGACGACTGACGGCACTGGCCGACTGTGTGATTTGACATTTGAACAAATTAGGAAACTCAATCCTGCAGCAAATCACAGATTAAGGTAAGTGGTTTATTGTCGCATAAGCATACCTTCCAGCTCTTGTTGGCAGCCACAGGACAGCGGCTCTACTGCATCTTCTGCTCCAGGAGAATTGTTTTGGTGTGCTTTGTTTCGAATGGGATACAGGTTTCCCAGGTAATGAGCAGGTGCCAGGAACAACAGAAACATGGCTGGATGTTTTTCACCATTTCCCATTGAGGCCACATTTGGTCTCAGAATCATTCCCAAGACAATGCTCTGTCTAGTCACTAACATGACAGTTACTTTCTACGATCATACAAATTATAGCATCATAAGGCCAAAAGCAATTGCAGAGTCACTTGTCAGTCTTCTTGCCTTCACATGCCCCAAGAAACAAATTATGGGGCCTGGGTTTGGGGGCAAAATGGGTGAAGTTGTTCTAAGGGTGCAAGTTATAAAATAAATAAAAACATGGGGATGTCATGTATGGCCTGTTACTATAGTTAATACTGTATTGCGTATTTGTAAATTACTAAAAAGTAGAACTTAAAAGTTATCACAAGAAAAAAGTTTATAGCTAGATGTGGTGATGGATGTTAACTGAGAGTTATCATGGTGTTCACTACACAGAATATACAAACATGAAACCATTATGCTGTACACCTGAAACTAACATGTTATGTGTCAATTATCAAAAGAAACAAATGATGCATTCTTTAAAATCTTCAATAATACCACCTTTGAACCTAGCCCTTTTAACTCATCAGGTCCTTGTAACAGACTTTTGAGGAATCAGAAAATCCTAGAAAGTATCCTAGAAATCATCTAGAACAGCATTGTCCAAAAGAACTTTCTACAGTGATTAAAAGAAAGTACATCTGGGGCCTCCCTGGTGGCACAGCGGTTGAGCACTGGGTTGCGAAGTTGCCCACGGCCTCTGTGGCACCGGTTCGATCCCGGGCTGCTCCCCGGCCACCAGAGGAGGGTCCCACATGGCACGCAGACCTCTCCTGCCGCCCGCTGCTCCCCTCAGCAGTGTACTTCGGTCCTTCTGCCTGCTCTGCTCCCCGCTCTGGCTCTGGTGAATTCTCTCACCCTCCCGCGCTCCTGACTGTACCCAGTGTTTGTATAAACAAAACAAACAAACAAACAAACAAACCAATAAATAAATAAATGCCTCTATTTAAAAAAAAAAGAAAGTACATCTGTGCTGTCTAATGCAGTAACCACTTGCGGTGGTGAACAATTGAAAGGTGGTTAGTGTAACTGGGGAACTGAATTTTTAGTTTTATTTAAATGTAAATTTAGATTTTAATAAACATATATTCCTACCATCCTAGAGCCTGCCTATCAAAGCAATCCTACTCTTAGAGATAAGCTCAGAAAAATTAAGTGACTTACTCGAGCAAGTACTCCAGGAAGAGACCAGGACTAGAACCTAGACAGGTCCATTTCCAGTCAAGAGAAACATCTGCTCTGTCACACTCTTCCTGGCTGCTTCGTGTGTCTCCACCCTGTAAGAGAAAAAGTCCTTTCAGATGTCTGATTTCATCCCCTCTTGCCATAGTTTAAAACAGTAACTTCCAGAGTATTTGTGTGCACATGCATCGGTGTCAGAGCTAGTCTTATAAGGGGTTGCACAAGAAAAGGGTTGGTTCCATGATCCTGAGAGCAAACACTGTCTACTAGATGTTGCCCTTGGGGATGAACAGCTCAAGTCAATTAATATTTTTAATTTAGTGTTTCTCAAATGTATATCACCACTGAGCCCACACCCTTCCCACCGTTAACGACTGTAAACACTGTGGAATTGGTACTGGATAATCTTCTTTGGAATATGGTTATTTAAATCCCTCTCCTCTTTGTACTGCTGAGAAATGTGTCTCACTGCTAATTGTGCTGTATCCCTTCTCCAGGCAATGGTCAATATGCCTGTATTTGACTCAGTGAATTCAGTCTTTATTTTCCTGGGTTCTAAAAGAAAAGCCAGTCAAAGGAAATCATAGTTTAGCCTAGAAAAAACATTAATATACTTGAAAGTTCTGAGCCCAGGTTGCTAGAATTGCTTTTCACTATCATCAAATATGTCATTGTTCTAGGGAAACAACAAAAGGCTGATTTTAGTGTTACAGTGACATTGCAGCTAATAAGATGTGAGGCTCAAAGTCAACACTGAAAGCAAGAAGTGCTTAGGGTCAGCATCACCCTTAAAAATCCTGTAGGAAGGTGTGATGTCAGAGGCAGTGCATGTCTTTCTGTCTTTTTTTTTTTTTTTTAATACTATGTCTTCTTTTTTTTTTTATTTATTTTTATTTTATTTATTTATTAATTTATACAAGCACTGGGCACAATCAGAAGCGCGGGAGGGTGAGAGGACCCACCAGAGCCAGAGCGGGGAGCAGAGCAGGCAGAAGGACCGAAGTACACTGCTGAGGGGAGCAGCGGGCGGCAGGAGAGGTCTGCGCGCCATGTGGGACCCTCCTCCAGTGGCCGGGGAGCAGCCGGGGATCGAACCGGCGCCGCAGAGGCTGCGGGCAGCTTCGCAACCCAGCGCTCAACCTCTGCGCCATCAGGGGAGGCCCAACATGTCTTTCTGTCTTTAACACCAGTCTTGTCCCACAGTTGAAACAGAGGTGCGTTCCTTGGTGGAACGCCAGATGAAGGAATTGGCTTGTGGCTGGGACCACATGGTAGGAAAATGGGCGTTTCTCTAGATTTACGTTCACTGCGGTGAGATGCTCATCCTCAGAGGCGGATGTGGAAGCTAAGACTGGCCAAGGTTCACATTTCTTATCTCTCCCAGGGAACAGACATTGAGTAGGATGGTGGGAGGATTTGCCTATGGTATTTGTCTTTTTTAAAAAATGTCTTAAAGCTGACTTTTTATTTACCTTTTCTTTATCAGAAAATCATGTTTTAAAATTATTTATTTTAAAAGTTGCACTTAAAATAAATGTACGATACAGTTAACAGATTTATGTCTTCTGAGAACTTCCTTTTACACAGGGTTCTAGACAGGCAATTACAATCTTGCATTAAGTCTCTGCCTTCTCGCCAAGTGGCACACACTCTGTCTACGCATTGGTGAATAGTGACTAATTTATATTAATTCAGTGGAAATCTAGTTATTTCCTAAAAATTAAAGGAGTATTGTTGCTGTTGTTCTTTTCTCAGGAATATCTGTAATTTGGTTCAAGTGAATGTAGTGAGTTATCCTTGGACTTTGCATATGGTTGAAGGAAGGAAAACACTTTGGTTTGGAAAACATTTTTCTATGATTAAAGGTGGGGAAACACTTTCCTTTTGGTTGGGAGACATTTGTCTAATGTCTGTTCCACTAAACTTTCCTATTTTCCCTTTTCCTACCATGTGCTATTCCTTTCCCCTCTCTTGTAGGAATGATTTCCCTGATGAAAAGATCCCCACCCTGCGGGAAGCCGTTGCAGAGTCCCTGAACCATAACCTCACCATCTTCTTTGATGTCAAAGGCCATGCAAATAAGGTATAGTTTATAACCGAGTTCACTTCTTTAAGACATTGCATTTTAAACCATTTCTAAAATTTACTATATTTTTTGTTTATTCTTAAATTATTTTTACACCTAATATATTTGTTTAATGGAAGTGTGCAATACAAAGATCCACATCATTGAAGAAACAGTAAATTATGGCACCTTTTTAACCTTTAATAAGCTTTCCAACAACTCTTTGCATTCTATAGCTAGCACAAAATAGAGGTCAGGTTTCCTTACTTGCATGAAACATTTATAAAAAGAGATTAAATTATCAATAAAAGGGTACTTCTTGAACAGACCATTCCAGTAACCTTATGAAAAGGAACTCAGAAGATGGGAACAAAGCAGTTGGGTCTGGCGGATGAGTTAAGTGTCTTAGATAGATAGCTGCAAACTGAATTTAAGAACTCCTATATTTAAAGCTTCTGCTAGTTTATCGGATATCTATCTTTTACACAGATTCATCCCATCTGTATGATTTATGTCTCTTGTGTATGGTTTTGTTATCCTATGATTTGAGTAGTTACACTTTATCACAACTATAGCTTATTATATGGATGACATTCCTAAATAAAATTTTACTTAAATTTTAGAACATACCCTTTTACTCATAAAAACATAATATTGCAATGGAAATCATGGGGAAAATATGGTTCAGATTACATTTGTTCTCTTATAATCGGCTTGTCAAGTACAAATACTTTTTTCCTCATCTGGGCAATGTGGATAATTTTCCCCAGCAATAGTTCCAATCAGTTGCGGCCTCTCCTCAATTCTGAATTCTGATGATGTCAGGTGTTTGTTGTTGGTTGTTTAATCCAGGATTTAATTGAACTCAATTGTCATCTAACTTCAATACAATCAACTCCTACTTTTGAAGAAAGACAACAGTGCTCTTTCTGTTAAACTGATGGTTGTGTACATCAAGGCTTTCCAGGCAGTCTGCATCAAAATCACCGGGAATACCTTTTAAAAATACGCATCGAAAAGAAAATCTGAAAATGTCTAGGCTGGAGGGGGTCAAAGAACATGTATTTTTAATGAGCACCTCAGGTTTTGAGGGTGACTTGCCCCATGTTTGAGACCCCTGGTAGGCCCTAGATCTCATCCATGGTATACTGACTGTCATGTTTACTGTCTTAGAATAAGGAGAGGATAAAAGAAGCATTTTTTTTTTTTTTTAAATACAGCAATTTGAACGTTCTGGTTGGGTGCTCACAGGTGATCTAGGCCACACTGGCTAGAACATAGTGATCTAATTCACCAAAGTGGCCGTATGAAGGAAAAAGTGCTGGCGGCAAATTGGAGATGGTCAAGCACAGGAGCCAAGATCATGGGCTTTGGAAACCAGCAGACCGTGACTAATCTCTATCCCTTCCTACAGTGTGACCTTAATCTTGATCAGCTTGTATCCTTGAGACCAAATAGCCTAGGTGAAGTTACACACAGTACATATTAACTCAAACAGCAAGAAAACAACTCTGTGTTTCTCACACTCCATTACATTAGGGAAGGGGAAGGCATGTCCTGAGTACATTCTGTATTTTTTTTTCTTTTTTGAAATGCATTTTATTGTTTATATCTGGTACAGGTATGTGTGAGTTTCTACAAACTCGCTGATTTTTAAGAATCGTGATGTAGTAACATTAGATTCGGGTCAGCTCTGTTATTTTTAGTTTTTGCTGTTCGTGCTCACCAGCCAAATCTGTTAATTCACTAGAGGTTACAAAAAATATTCTGTCATTTCTTTTGCATTGATTAGTGGGACTTCCACAAGAGGGAACTTTTGTTCACCTTGGGAAGAGCTGAGCAACTTCACTTCTGTGAACAGGGAGCAGCTCCTCCCTGTCCCTTTGCTTCCGCCTTCCTGTTGGTGGTAGATGGCATTTCCTCTCTGTCCCCTGGACTGAGAAATTCCACCCTTTGTAGCTCCCATGCTGGTGGGCTCATGCTCCAGCTAGGAAAGGTAGAGGGTGATGGAGTTGTGGGAATAATGATGATGACTGCACTGGGGTATGAAGAGACGATTTTAAAGTCTTGTTTCCAGCTTCCACCGGCTTGCAGTCTGTCATACTTCCCAAAGTATGACAGAAAGGGTGAGCTTTTCAGTAAGATAGTGAAGCAACAATCCCCCAACTTCCTTACCTGCTACAGACATGAGTTTAAAGGTATCCCAATGGATAATGGAATCTACCAATATCCCTTTCAGTATCTGGATATACTGCAAATTTCTGAATTCTTTGAAAGTGTTGTAATTAATATATAGTAGCTATTGGCTGGGACAATTGCATATTAATAGATTTTTAAATATGTGAATCTGTTTTACAGGCTACTGATGCTCTAAAGAAAATATATATGGAGTTTCCTCAACTATACAACAATAGTATGGTCTGCTCTTTCTTGCCAGAAGTTATCTATAAGGTAAAACTCAGCAATCTTGTACACAACATTATGTTAGTTGGTGGTAATAACACCAGTGGGCTAAGTAAGCTTTAGATAACACCTGTTAAATCAAACTGTGTAAGTAAAGAAACTCCTCTTTTAATTTAACAAGGGACATTCAAGGGGGGCATGTACTCACACCCCTGACCTCTTTAGCTTCCCATATGTTGTTTGTAGGTTTATTCAGATAACTTGGTAAGTGTTCCCAGGACAGTAAGAATTATGTCGTTCTGTGTCTCACTAAGTAACATCCCTTTGGAATGAAACTAATTTATGAAGAATTTCAAATATTCATAAAGGCAGATAGTGGCACCAAGGGCCCTCTCTCACCATGATCCAGTTTGGTTCATCCACACGCCCATTTATCCTAAACATCATCGTGTCATTTCATGGTTAAAAAACTGCATTAAGTATCTTTAAAAAATGACTAAAAAATGACTGCATTAAGTGTCTTTAAAAAATGGCGCAGCAGGTTGAGCAAAGTGTTGTGAAGCTGTCCGCAGCCTCTGCAGCACAGGTTCGATCCCGGCTGGCCAGGGAAATGTGGCGTGACAGACCTCTTCTGTCTCGCCCGCTGCTCCCCTCAGCAGTGTACTTCAGTCTGCCTGTTGTGCTCTCCGCTCTGTCTCTGGTGAATCCTCTCACCCTCCCGTGCCTCTGGCCTGTACCCCAGCTCTTATATAAATAAAATAAATCTTTAGAAAAAAAAAATGACTAAAGGGCCCTCCCTGGTGGCCTCAGGGGTTGAGTCTCAGCACTGTTACCATGAAGGCCTAAGTTCGATCCCAGGCCAGGGACCTGACCCACATGGTGCAGAAGACCTCTCCTGTCTGGCCCGCTGCTCTTCTCAGCAGTGTATTTCAGTTAATCTGCCTGTTCTGCTCCCCACTCTGTCTCTGGTGAATCCTCTCAACCCCAACACCTCTGGCCTACACCCCAGTTCTTCTACACAGAATAAAAAAATAATAAAAAGTGACTAAAAGACACACAACCATGATATTGTTATCCCATCTGAAACTATTAATAAATTCTGAAGCTCATCAAATATCCAGTAAATGTATAATTTTTCATTTGTCTCAGCAGTCCCATAAATAGTTTTGTCTCACAAAGTGTTTGTTTAAATCAGGACCCATAAAGAACTGTGTTGTAATTTTAAATCGAAAATCTCTTAAGTTCTTTCCTTTCCCCCTTAACTGTCCATATTGAAGAAACCATGCTGTTTTGTAAAGTTTACCTGAGTCTGGATTTTGTTAATCGCGCCACGATACAGTTTAGCACATTCTTCTCCGTTTCCTGTAAATTAGTAGTGAGACCGAAGAACTTCATCAGATTAGGTTCAATTATTTATTCTCGGCAAGATCATCTTGTAGGTGTGAGTGTATTCTTCCACGAGGTAGCGCATGATGTCTGTTCCACTCACCCGGGGCCGCTTAATGCCCGCAGCCAGCTCTGGTTCACTCGAGCGGTTGCAGCATGTTATTTTTAATTCTGTCATTGTTCTTTACATGTTAGCTATAATGCTTCTGTAAAAAGAAACTTCTCATCTATTATTTATCCAGTAGGCAGATAAATGCTTACTTTACTCCTTCCCTTTATTTCTCAGTTTCCAAAATAACGAGTTGGTTCTATAGCATTCTGACAGAGCCTGCAGTTCCGACTGCACAGTATGGCTGGCGCTTGCCCGCATGTGAGCTGTCATTGACATGAGTGGGGGCTCGGGCCTTCAGACATATGTCTCAGTGCTTCCCAAACTCACTTGGCCTCAGAGGCCTTCCAAGCGTGTGGCACCTCTCCAGAGGCGCATAGAGCCCTCCATCTCCCATTTTTCTCCTTCATCTTCACCCCCTGCCCCCACTTCTCTCATTTCCTTCTTTTTCCCACCCCCACAACACTTTCCAGTCATTTTCTCTAGAAGGCATCAAAGCTGACCAGCCCTTCTTGAGAGGACCGTGGGGCCATCCTCACTGAGTTCCAGTGACATTTATCTGGCCAGAATTTAAATCCATATCCAGTTAAAAGTTTATTCTCAGGACATGATTCAGATTTTTTTTTTTTTAAGATTTATTTATTTATTTATGCAAGCACTGGGTACAGTCAGAAGCGCGGGAGGGTGAGAGAATTCACCAGAGCCAAAGCAGGGAGCAGAACAGGCAGAAGGACCAAAGTACACCGCTGAGGGGAGCAGCGGGCGTGGCAGGAGAGGTCTGTTGCGCCATGTGGGACCCTCGCTGGCGGCCGGGGATCGAACCAGCGCTGCAGAGGCTATGGGCAGCTTTGCAACCCAGTGTTCAACCGCTGAGCCACCGGGGAGGCCCAAGACATGATTCAGATTTGACCCTGGGATAGTAATTTTTTCATTTTAAAGATAGGACTGTAGTTCCTTTAGAATTATGAGCAGCGTGCTCTCCCTTAGCCATATATTAAATGCTTGCTATCCATCACATTATTATGAGAGTACTGAGCAGCCTCGGGGGCAGGTACCAGCTCTGACCACCCTGTTGGCATGAGCACATTGGCTAAATCTGAAGAGTACATGCGAGATACTGGTCTTAAGCCTTGATGATGATTTTTTCCAAAATTCCTTTACAGATGAGACAAACAGATCAGAAAGTAGTGACAGCTTTAACTCACCGACCTTGGAGCCTAAGCCACACAGGAGATGGAAAACCACGCTATAATTCTTTCTGGAAACAGTCTATTTTTGTGGTGATGGACATTTTGCTCGATTGGTGCCTGCATAATATTTTGTGGTACCTGTGTGGAGTTTCTGCTTTCCTCATGCAAAAGGATTTTATATCCCCGTAAGTTGAGAGTTTGTTTGTTTGTTTTTAACCTTCTCCTGACACATTTCCTGAATGCTCTTCTTGGAAAGGAAGGAACCACAGTGGACAACCTGGATTGGTTGTGAGCCACAAAACCCACTGTGCCTTTATGAAGTCAAATGTCACTAGTTTCTTAGGTGGGAAGAGTTCAGCATATTTCAGTTTCCAAAACAAGTTGATCAGATATTCTTGGTTTTAGTACAATTTAAAGAAAAAAATAAGCCTGCCAAACTATGAAGATAAAGGGGTTGCATTTCCTTATAATTGGCTCCCTTTGGAATCCATCAAGTTCAAGAAATTCTCCATTCCCTAACCTGCTAGCAACTCTGGATCTCCTGGCATTGTTACAGCTGTGTATGTCAGCTGAGTACAGTTGTGAGTCTCACTTTATTTCAGGAAGGCATGTATTCAGTTCAGCAAATCTTTGGTGTCTACTTGCAGTATTGCGAGGTACTAGGTTAAGCTGAAGATGGCAGTGGTAAAGAAACACAGCTGTGGGCTGCCCTTTTGTAGTTTATATTTGAATGGAAGAGACAGATGCTAATCAAACAAAAATCCAATGAATATAAAATTACCACTAAGATAAATGTTAGATAGGAGAGAACAATGTACTGCACTGTGTAACTCCACCTAGTCAGGGAAAACATCCCCAAGGAAGTGACAGCTAAGCTAAGATCTCAAGGGTGTGGTGAGTGGGAATGGCGGGTGGGGATGGGTCCAAGTCAGAGAAGAAAACACACGCAAAAGTGTTGTGATAGAGAGCCTGCTGCTTTCAGGGAATAGAAAGACAATCACCTTGCGGTACAAGAAAAGAAAGCGGGAACGCGGTATAGTAAGAGCCCACAGAGACAGCTGGGACTGGGCTCTTACAGCCGCCGTATGACTTGGGGGCAGGGGTGTTGCTCATTATTCACTGAAGTGTGCGAGAAGCTAGAACAGCGTGGGGGGGCACTCATGCTGGCCTGTGGGACACTCCTGATCGCAGTGCAGAGATCAGTCAAGAGGCGCTTTCTGGGCACTACTGATACTTGGCAAATACCATGCTGCGTGGCGCACATGCCTCCTCGTAATTCTGACAGGATTGGTTTTTCCTCTTTCTCCAGGGACTACTTGAAGAAATGGTCACGTAAAGGCATTCACGTTATTGCTTGGACTGTTAATAGCTTTGATGAAAAAAATTACTACGAATCCCATCTTAGGTCCAGCTATATTACTGACAGCTTGTTGGAAGACTGTGCATCTCAGTTTTAACTTTCCCCCAGGGAGGAAACGTGAGTACGGAAACTTCCTGCTGGCTTCCTGCAGGAATACCAGCTCATCCTTTGTGCTAGACGAGCCCGGGGATCGGGGGCCCACACAAGCAATAGGCGGTAGTTGCATTTTTACATGAACCCCAAGCCAGACCCGGGGCTGCCTCCATGGAATGCCTGCGCTCCACACCGTTGCTCTTGAAACCCTGGGTCTGCAGAAAGGCACAACAGCTCTGCCCCCGCCTGGCAGAGCACACACCAGGACCCAGCGGGGACAAGGGCAGACTGAGTGGTGCTGTTTGGGCGCAGAGGCCAATGCATGGGAAATGCATGATCACTCAGTTGACATTTTAAAACTTGACACATTTATGGAATTTACTTATTTGAAATATTTGTATTCGGCTATGTTATCAAGGTACTGTAGTCATCAAACTTGTGACCATACTAATAAAATCATTAAAAGGAGCACGAAGGGAAAAATTTCAAGCATCATCTCCTAAGACAAAGAATTTGAGTATTTGGGGAGGCTGCTGTCGGCAGTCCCTGGTGGGGCATGGAAAGTGGGTGGGAAGTCTTGGAACCCTTCTGCGTGGTTGTTCCCGTAACCTGAAATAAGAGCTACAAACCACAAGGGGGCAGAGTTGCCCTTTTCCCCCCGCTACTCTACAAAGGATGATCCCAACAATTATGACTGAAAGAAACTTCCAGGAACATCTAAGGTTATCCTCATTTTACAAACACCATTTCTGATATTTCTCAGAAAGGACACAGCTGGGAACATAGTAGATCCTGATGTTTTAAGTAAAAGTCTTGTTTTCTATTTGCCAGAAACTGCAGTGATTTAATATACATGATCTCAATTAACCATCACAAAAATCTTAGAGGTGTTCTTTCATTTTTACTGATGAAACTGGAGCTCTGCAAGGTTAAAGTCACTCGCCCAAGGTCTCAAATTCCTTGTTGCAGTTGGGAATTAAATCTAGGCAGAGCCCCTCCTCTTAACTGCCCTGTCTGCCTGTAAAACAGCCCTGACTCCCAGCTCTGTTGCCCTTTCTCATGTGATTTCTACGTAGTGGATTTAAGCAGCAATATTTAAAATGAAATTAAATCTTTAAAAAATTGCAGCCCCTTTACACTCTCCCTTACCTCCCTACCTCCAGCCCCAATTCAATTCAAACATAACAAAAGTCCTAAACAAAAGCCACTCATCCAATATGGCGCAGACCTGCCAACAAGGCCCTGGAGCTCATGGCCGGCAGGCCGTGGGCCAGGATCCAACTCACCGCAGCTGGAAGCAGTCACTAGCGGCGTCGCTGAGATGACACCGCAGCAGCCCTGGCCACAGTCTGAAGGTCGGGGTGGACAACACCAGACGCTGGAGCACACGACAATGGAGGCCCCAGTCTCACAAGTCGGAATCTGCTGTATAACAAGTTCCTCAGGTGACTAAAGTGGGAAAGCCACGGACAGGAACAGCACAGAGGTTTAAGGGCTTGCCCTTATCAGGCAGGTGCAGTCCCTCAGCTCCATATCTCAGCCGGGATCTGTCTCACAGTGGATCAGGCACACACACGAGAAAAAACTGTCGCACCTTTTGAGAATTTAGTGCTATTATCATGAGAAAGTTCCTATTAACAAGCTTAATGCTTACCACCTGTCCTCAACTCAAAGCTTATAAAAACATGTCAGCTGTACGCTAAGATGGTGACTCCTTTTCTAATTAAACTTCACACAAAATTAGCGCATTCCCCACTACCTTAGTGCCAGAGAAGCAGAGGGGGCCATCTGCTACAGTGCTGGGGGTGCCACGTCCTGCAGAAATCCTAGAGGTTGTCCTTTCCTTAAACTACAGGGGAGGGCCTCAGGCCTTCACAAGACTGCAGGAAAGTGTGTGTTAGCTTAGTTTGAACCAATTAAGGGTTGGAAGGGGGTGTCTCCTGAAGATCTGCATACAATGTCCTGAGCTCACATTTGCATGTTTAGTAGGGCCTCAGGTGCATGTAGGGCCAAGCAAGTTTGGGAAGACCTACTCTAAGTCACAGTTTGGTAGTTTGGTAGCTCTCAGCCCCAACTTCCCATTGGAACCATCTCAAGAGTTTTCAAGAAAAGGTAGGGGTGCCGGATTTGTTGATCTGGAGAGAGGCCTGGGTCTCGCTGTTGTCAGCTCCCTGTGTGATTCCGTGTGCAGCCAGCCTGGAGAACCTCCTGCCTGATGAGAGGCTCTGACACGACTGGGGGAGAGTTGGCACCAAATTCATACACTGAAGCCCCAGCCCCCACTACCTCAGAGTGTAGTGGAGATAAGCCCTTTAAGCAGATGAATACCTATAAAAAAGAAACCCACAGTTATCTCACTGGTGCCCTTATAAGAAGAGGAAATCCAGACACGTGAAGAATGGTCGATCAGGATGTGCACGTGTTATAGGGCAACCCCGATATAAAATAAAACGGGTTGCCTGGCTGTGGGTCCTCACCCACGCGCTTAAAAGGGACTTATTAATACTCCACTACAGACACACACAAAAGGTTAATAAAAGGTTTATTTACAAGGGAAAGGGAATTAAGGAAATGTACAACTCAGGGAGAAAACAGGGAAATAAAGTCTTTAATGCGTCCTACCCAATCCGCCGACCTGGAAACCCAAAGTCACTCTCAGAGCTGGCCGGACGCTGCGAGCTGGCGGGGAGCCAAAATGGGGGACCCTCCAAAGCCCACGTGTCTGGCTTTATACCACACCTGGCTGTTTAACCCCGCCCTCAGGTCCCAGCCATCTTCCCTTTGGTGGTGATGGGATTTGGAGTTCCCAGTGTTTTTTGGCTTTGGTCTGGAGTGGGGGGTAGAGTCTACAAAGCCTGTATGGAATTAACTTTAGGACAGCCTTTTCCCCCTAACACACATACAGAGGAAAGGCCAGGTGAGGGCAGAGAGAAGGCTGTGTGCATCTTGTCTCGCGCCCAGGAGGGAGGCCCTCTGGCTGAACCAACACTGAGAACACCAACAACAGCCTCCAGAACTGTGAGGAAATACATTTTTGTTTAAGCCACTGTATGATATCCCCTAACTCAAGATAAAAGCACCGTCACATGGACGACGCACAGACTAGATCTTTCTCCTGTGTTTACATCTCTGGGAGAGGAGATTCAGGTGAAGACAAGACATGGCAGTGAATAGAGAAGCCCTCCAGGAGGAAGCCCTAGGCGTGTTAAGTCGGCCAAAGGAGGCTTTCAGAGGGAGTTGGCATTTCAGCATAGACACAAGAGGGGCACAAACGGCATTAAAATGACACGAAGGGAAAGTCACTTCCAACATCCGTTTCACAGGCTGTCTTCACTGCCATAAGTCTCCCACAGCACCCAACTTCTCCTTCACAGCATCTATAATTATAATTGCAATGAATTGTTACTAAAGTTCCCATCTAAATCAGTTGCACAGTAAGCACACAGGCGGAGACTCTTGTTCACAATCGTCGTCTCCCCACTTGGCACTCATTTGTTGAATGAATGAAGGGACACTCAGCAACATGAGCAAAGATGATACCAAATGAAATTAACTCAGTTGGGAAAATGAATGAGTGGATGAAAGAGTGAATCAGGCAATGATTGGATGCCTGTGCTTCAAATGCTTTGAAACATTTTCTAAATTCAGTTCCACTGGCCCCCATGTTGGTGATTACTCAAGAGGATATTTCTCCCCTTAGTGATCTGTTGAGTGCACCTTTTGCTAAACCCTTCTGTTTTAAGTAGTCACTTAAGTAGTCTGCAAAAAGAATGATATATATGTGTATATGTATGTTTATAGACACATGCATGTTCATTCCACACATAGTTGCACAAATACTATTCCCCACATCATCACTTGTAGGGTAAATGCATGAGTCAGGCTTTTTATGTCACTAGCCTCTGTGGCTATCACCTGCAGCCTTGCTGGAATGCATAAGTGTGCACACTTGAGCCTAGAGGCCAGGGATACAAAGGCAGCATCATTCGGAGACAGAGGACAGCTACAGGAGGACGAGGTATGTGACTACAGAAGAGGCGAAACCACGAGAGAACGCAAGAGAGAGCCCAGAAAAAGAGCGTAGAGTCTTGTGGGGGACTGGAAGGCTCAGCTGCCTGCCTGCCTCTGAGCCTGCTCCCCTTGCCTGCCTCCTGGTATGCCAGCCTCCCTTCCTGGTGTGCCTGTGTACCTGGTTCCCTGAGAGCATTAAAGCCTGAGAAACTCCCTATCGGTCTGCCTGAATCCACTGTGAGCCTGCCCTGTGCCCGCTGGCTCTACACATACCTATTCCTCACGTCACCATTGTTTCCATGTTGGTTGAACAGGGGACTCTGCTGTTATGGGGCAGTCCCAGCCCACACCCCAGTCCAGCTGCAGACTCACATCCTCCTCATGCAACAAATGTCACAGACGAGACCTCTGGCTGGATTTCACCCATGGGTAACGTGATGTTTTTAGTTTGAAGTCATGAACACAAGCAGGTTTCACAATTCAGAGGCATCACATCCCTGGCTGAGAATCACATTTTTATTCATGCTGGACCGTTTTTCTTAGCACCAGGTTCTTTAAACCTTTGCCAAGTCTGGGAGGATTAAGAGGATAGATTGCTAAAGACCAGTAACTCATGCACACCTCTTGAAGATAAAATACATCATTCTGGGTTATCTCTCTCAAGGTTTCTGTGAACTAGTTTAAATATTACAACAGTCTTTATTGGAAAAGCCCAAATATTTTGTTTTGAGAAATCAGCAATTTGGGTGAAAAAGCCAACAGGGAATGCCTGATATACTTCAGTATTTACATTATGGATGGTTTCCACTACTGGCAAATGGCTTGAATTTCCCTTCTGGGAAGTTCCTAAAGGCCAAGGTGTTCTGAAAGTGGTTCCATCTTGGCTTCTGTCCTTTGATTAGTGTCTGGCCTTCATGGCAATCATCAGATCATTGGATTATCTTCTTGAACTGATCGCCGGAATCGTAGTTCTGGGTTTGACACAGGAGAGAGAAGTTAGCAGAGACACAGCCCCCTCTCTCCAAGACCCAATTGGCTTTTAAATCTCACAGCTTTTCAGTCCCATTGCCTCCTCCTTTTATGTTTCTTCCATTCTCTCCCTTTCGCTCCCATAAGTGGGTTCTGTAATACATGCGATCCAAAGAGGGTGGGGTGGTTTGTTTCCCAGTGTTCATTATCCTCCTGGCATCAGCCACAGATTTCCTTGGGAAATCACCTTCCTCCCTCTCAGTCCCTGCGGTCTCCATGGCTGGAGAACCTGCACCTACAGGTGAAGCCTGTGCCTCAGATCTAAATGAAATCACTTTCATGACCATGACAACTGGACAGGCACATCACCCATCAGAAACTTGACTCTGAAGAGAAGAGAAGCTGATATGCTGTCTTGCAATTATGAAAAAAGAGCTCATTTGAGAGAGGAGCAAACATGGAAAAGAATTGAACAGAAAGGACCTAGCTTCTGGCCACACCTAGAGCAGGAATTATTCTGGGGTTTTGCTAACATGGCTTTGGGTCAGTGCTTGGAAAGGAGTGACTAACGGACTCAGGAGAGCTCTGCCCCTCCGTGTTAGGATCTATCATCTGGATAAGTGGTTTCTCCTTTAGGGCCAGCTCGGTTCCTCACCATGAGCAGCGTCATGTTCCTCCATATGAATTATTGGGTCCTCTTGCTGAAAAAGAAGAAAACAGGCAGTCTCGTCACTATAGAAGAAAACAGATCCATTGCACAGGTCATAAGACTTGGAGCAGGCCTCCACCACCATTTTAAAATCGAGACGTGACAGTCAAGACCAAGGCTCAACCACAGAAAGATCAAACGTATTTGGGGGGCGAGGGTGACAGTGATTGCATTCATGTGTTCATTTCACAGGTATTTACTGAGCATGTTCAACACACAGGTATGTGCCAGGTGTCTAATATGCATGGTATGCCACCTGGGATTCAAGGGTATAGATGTGGTCCCTGCCTTCATGGACTCAGAGTTGAGCCTCTAGATTCTTTATGTAAATCAGGCTGACAGTACTAATTTGAATGAATGAGTAGTACTGGTTAAGTAAAACATACAGAAATGTTTAACCATAGAAAGTGACGTGCCCTATGTGGTCTAGTTGCCTGGATGTGCTTCTCATGGGGAGGCAGGTAAGTCAGGAGGCCGCCTCCAGCCTCACCTTCACGTATCTCCTTTCTGGCATGAATGAGCTGGGGGGGTCTGCTCTCTTCTCAGCCTCCTGCAGCTTGGTCAACTTTTCTATCAGGAACATTTTGTCTTTGCCCTCCTGCCAGGAAGGAAAACAAGAAACCATGGAGGATGAATGATGATGTGGGGTTGAGAAGCAAATGATGGAAAGAAGGTCAGTTTTCAGGCATTTGGGGTCCCAGACATTGAATGAAGATGACACCATGTTTTCTCTCTCCTTTTTTTTTTTTTTTAAGATTTATTGATTTATTTATGCATGCATAGAAGAACTAGGGTGCAGGCCAGAAGTGTGGGAGTTGAGAGGATCCACCAGAGACAGAGTAGGGAGCAGAACAGACAGAGCCACTGTTGAGGGGAAATACACTGAAATACACTGCTGAAATACACTGCTGAGGGGAGCAGCGGGCCCTACAGGAGAGGTCTGCTGCACCATGTGGGTCAGTTCCCTGGCCCGGGATCGAACTCATGCCACAGTAGTGATAGCGCTGAGACTTAACCGCTAGGCCACCAAGGAGGCTCCATGCTTTCTCTTGATGAAAGGTAAGAAGTATTTCATAACAAAGCCAAAATATCTTCCATAGCCTTCCTAAAATGTAATATTCTCTAAAACAATTCTCCTAGCAGGCTTGAAATAGCCTTCTCTGGATTGCTACTAGAAGCAGGACAATCCTTTATCATAATCCCCTTCTTGGCATGCGCTCTGTCCCATCACCCTCCCTGGGCACCCATATTGCCCAGGTCCGCCCTGTTCTCCCATAATGAATATCAAAGCTTATCGTTCTGCCTTTAAGGACATAGACTGTATTTCAGTTGTCAGCATTATCTGTGTTAATGGAGTAACCCCAGATAAGCCTCAAATTGGGAAAGAGACAAAGGAAGGGAGATATCTTCCGCAAGAGAGTGAATCACATCCCTGTGACTCTGCTACAGAGAAGAGTGGGAGCAAGCACCATGGACGGTCTGCCTGGTCAAGGTCAAGCCCATTTCCTGTGCTCTAGTTTCTTTTTTTTTTAAGATTTATTTATTTATTTATACAAGCACTGGGTACAGTCAGAAGCGCAGGAGGGTGAGAGAATTCACCAGAGCCAGAGCGGGGAGCAGAGCAGGCAGAAGGACCAAAGTACACTGCTGAGGGGAGCAGCGGGCGGCAGGAGAGGTCTGCGCGCCATGTGGGACCCTCGCCGGTGGCCGGGGATCGCTCAACCGCTGTGCCGCTGTTGTAGAGCAGCCCTGATACAAAACGGGGTGCCTGACTGTGGGTCCTCACCCGCGCGCTTAAAAGGACTTATCAATGCTCTACTGCAGGCACACGTGAAAGGTTAATAAAAGGTTTATTTACAAGGGAAAGGGAAATGAGGAAATGTACAGCTCTGGGAGAAAAGTGGGAGACAAAGTTTTAAATGAGTCCTACCCGATCCGCCGATCAGGAATCCCAAAATGGCGCTCTGAGAGCTGGCCGCCAGCCAGGAGCGGTGAAGCCAGGAGGCGAGCGATCGCGAGCCAGAGAGAGAGCAAGGCCCACGTGTTTGGTTTTTATATCCAACCTGGCTGCCCAACTCCACCCTCAGGTCCCAGCCACCCTCCCCTTGGTGGTGATGGGATTTGTCTTTCCCAATGTCCTGATGGCTTTAGTCTGGAGTGGGGGTGGAGTCCACAAGGCCTGTATGAGATTATCTCAGGACATCCTTTCCCCCTAACACCACCAGGGGAGGCCCTGTGCTCTAGTTTCTCCATAACCTTTCACCCACTAATATTAGCATCCGCCACTAGATCTTGTTCACAACAATGATTCGTGATTTTTGATTTTCCCCATTCCTTCTATATTAATTGGAGATGTGTAAGGAAGAGGTGACCTTGGGAATTGGTATTTTTAACAAATTCCCCAGCTGTCCTGAGTATAGTCAACTCATTTGGAAACCTCTGGTCTGTAGCAGCTGTTTTCATATTCTAATCAGAATTAATTAGAGGGCCTCCCCTGGTGGCGCAGCGGTTGAGCGCTGGGTTGCAAAGCTGCCCGCAGCCTCTGCAGCGCGGGTTCGATCCCCGGCCACCGGAGGAGGGTCCCACATGGCGCGCAGACCTCTCCTGCCGCCCGCTGCTCCCCTCAGCAGTGTCCTTCGGTCCTTCTGCCTGTTCTGCTCCCCGCTCTGGCTCTGGTGAATTCTCTCACCCTCCCGCGCTTCTGACTGTACCCAGTGCTTGTATAAATAAATAAATAAATCTTAAAAAAAAAAAAAAAAGAATTAATTAGAATTATCTGAAGAGCTGGCAAAAATGCAAACTCCAGGTGTTGCCCAGCAGATTTTGATTCAGGGAGACAAAGCTGCATTGCAGTTGAGAGCACAATTTTGGGGTCTTGGTTCAAGCAGCTACAACCCAGGGGAGTCCTGCTAATTTTCCCATGCTCCTGGATGTAAGTACTTATGCTGTGGATATGATGGTATTTAGGAGATAGGACACCCAGCCCAGTAGTACCAAGTATCAACAATAAATGACAAGAGAGCAGAGGAAGGGGGTGGCTGTAGCTCAAAAGACACACAAGAGATGAATCAACCAAAGGCAACACCAGTGCTTTTCCAGACACTGATTTGTTTATCCCTCCTGCAAAAAGAAACTCAAGGCCTCCCTGGTGCCTGAGTTCGATTTCCAGCCAGGGAGCTACCCACATGGCACAGCAGACCTCTCCTGTCTTGCCCGCTGCTCCCCTCAGCAGTGTATTTCAGTCAGTCTACCTGTTCTGCTCCCCACTCTGTCTCTGGTGAATCCTCTCACCCCCCACACCTCTGGTCTGCACCTGAATAAACAAATATTTTTAAAAAGACACTTAAGGCACAACCGGGGATTTGACCAGGGACTAGACAGTAGATGATAGTAAGGGATTATCAAGTTTCCTTTTAGGCGTGATGACAGTATTATGGTTATGTTTTTGAAAGTCTGTATCTCCTGGGCATGTAGAAGTTTTTACAAATAAAATAATATAAAGTCTACGACTGCTTTAAGATAATCCAGAGATTTGCAGCGAAAGTCATGCCGATGAAGAGCTGCAGAGTGGCCGCTGGGCTGGGTGGTAGGGTCACCATTCCATTCTATTTTGGAACATGTTTGGAAGTTTCCATTCTACAAAGATTTTAAAAGAGGGAAGGATAACAGAGAGGCCTGACAGGACTCACATTGATAATCTGTTCGTGGAGCAGCCTGATCATAATCTTCCTGCCCTCCGTGATCTGCCAGTAGAGATAGGTGATGATTCTGAAAGAAACAATGACAGATACTCTTGCCAAGGTGCTGCAGGCTCTGAATTTCAACTGGGTGCCAAAGAACTGGGGTATCTGCTTGCAAATGGACTTTGGCCTGAAAAGTCGTGTCTGGTGAGACAGAGGAACTACACTGGAGCAATAGTCCTCCAGCTGGCTGCTTTTTGCTAATCTGAGGGCCTGTGGTCTTCGGTGCCCCAAGGCAAGGCCTCTAGAGAAGCAGCCAGGAGAACAAGCCTTCGGCAGATCTTCCACTTGTTCACACAAATCCAAAAGCTAATTTTTTTTATTTGAAAATGAAATTACACTATCCTATGTATCAGTAACTCCCAACCTATTTTAACATATCACAACCTCAGAAAGAATCACTCATAAAATTCCCCTAAGCATTCTTGTATCCTTGTTTTTTTTTTTTTTTAATTTTACTTGCATGTTATCTCTTAAGAGGGGGCAGAGATGAAATTGTATTGCTTTCTTCATAAAACTGGCCAAAAAACACAAAAGGACAAGACAATATTAAAGGATAACTTTTTTTTTTTAAACTCAAGGGCAGATCAGGATCTTCTAGAAGAATGAGCTACGCTGTGGTTCTTTGCCCCCACCGAAATCCTTTGGGCTGACCCATGTCATGTTAGTGAAATGTTCCCCACACTGGTTTCCCCAGGGCCCTACTTACAGCACAATGAGGGTGAGGATGAAAAAGAAGTGCACACTTCCGATGAGATTTCGGTAGATCCAAACAACCCACAGGTAGCTGGGCATCTTACTTAGGGTCTCAATCCAGCCGTAGATGGAGTGAATGATGAAGGGCAGACCTCGAAACGGGCCACACTGGGCTGAAGGGTGCAATCTGGTGAAAGAAAGGATGGAAAGGCAGCTTGTGCTAGGAGTAGCACAAGATCAGGTAGTTTCTTCTAGAATCAGCATGTCCTTCTGGCTGTGAAACCAGCGATTCTTGCCTGTTCCACCCACCCACTTTTTTTTTTTTTTTAAGATTTTTTTATTTACTTATGCATATAAGAGCTGGGGTACAGGCCAGAGATGCAGGGGGTGAGAGGATTCACCAAAGACAGTGGGGAACAGAACAGGCAGATCGACCGAAGTACACCGCTGAGAGGAGCAGCGGGAAAGTCAGGAGAGGTCTGTTGCGCCCTGTGGGTTGCTCCTTGGCCAGCCAGGGATCTAACTCATGCTGCAGAGGCTGTGGATAGTTTCATAGTGTGGTGCTTAACCCCTTGCACTACCAGGGAGGACCCCACCCAGAGGGCCCCACGCCCTTTTAAAGGAGCCCTTTCAGTCCCTGTCAGCTGGTGTGCTTTACTCACATCCAGCTCTTCAACAGAGCAGCACCTGAATCAACAATCTGTTTGAAAGACCAGGTAGCAGCCTCTGTGGTGCTGGGCTCAGAGAAATCTACAGGGGTGATCAGGTTGCCTCTCTTGGAAATGGAAGTAAGAAATATGAAGAGGGGACCCTCTATTCTAAGGAAGCTGAAGTTGTAACTGTAATCTCTACTTGCAATCAATGTTATGAACAAGCAGAAACAAGGGGCCACAGGAACTGGTTAGAAGACAAAGAGAGTAGACATGGTCAGAGAAACAGGGCATCGTGGAGTACAGCAGCCTGCTCTGATGCCACATGAGCCCCTGAATGTCCTGAGCTAATTCCATGCAGACTTTGTGGGCCCCACCCCCACTCCAGACCAAAGCCATCAGGACACTGGGAAAGACAAATCCCATCACCACCAAAGGGAAGGTGGCTGGGACCTGAGGGTGGGGTTAAGCAGCCAGGGTTGGTATAAAAACCAGACACATGGGCCTTGGGGGGCTTGCTGTCTCGCTCGCCTCCTGGCTTCAGGGCTCCTGGCTCGCAGCATCGGGTAGGGCGCATTTAAAACTTTGTCTCCCACTTTTCTCCCTGAGTTGCACATTTCCTCATTTGCCTTTCCCTTGTAAATAAACCTTTTATTAACCTTTCACGTGTGCCTGCAGTAGAGCATTGATAAGTCCTTTTAAGCGCGCGGGTGAGGACCCACAGTCAGGCACCTCGTTTTGTATCGGGGCTGCCTTATAACACTTGGACACTGGAGCTGAGAACCAGAGAGTGGGGAGAAGGGCCACTGAGCCAAAGGAGTGAGGAGGACCCCACCCCATGCAGGCAGGTCCCACGCATGAGGCTGGAGCAGCGGGGAGGCAAAGGGAGTGAGGATCCGGAGGGAGGAGGAGCCTGATCAGACAGGGCCTTTCAGTTCATGTAGATAAAGTTCTGCTAGATAAGGAGGGACTGGCCTCACCTACTCTGGAAGCTTCAGTATTCCAGGAAGTGAGGAAACTGTGCCAGTCATGACCTGGATGCCTGATGGGTGGTGACCAAACCAGACTATATTTCCTCCCTTGGTTACCAAGGAAACTTGGGTTAAACACTAGCACATTGTCCTGGAGACACTCAGGGTAGGCAGGAACTGGGAGGTCCTCCACACAGGCTCCAGTACAGCCCAGCCCAGGACATGTTACGACATGACCCCCTCAACCCCACCCTGGCCCCTGGCCCCATAGAGGCCCCTTTACAACCTCCCTCAGGGAGCTGGCCCAGAACTCTCCCTTCCTGGGTTGCCTCCCTCATGTAAAGGTCTAATAAGCCTCGTCTAGATGTTACCTGTCTTCCCTTCATGTTAAATTCTTTTATAAGGGGTCCAAATCTGCAAAGAGGACCCATGGGGCCTCTCACTGCCTCATCCTACCCAAATAAGAATAATAATTGGAAAAAAAAACCCTGACGTTTTAAAACACCCACCCCCCTCACTCAGACCTCACCCCAAGGCCGCCATTTTACCTCCAGATGGTGAAGGCCAGAGAGCACAAGACCCCGGTGAAGGATGGGAAAAACAGCAAGAAGATGAAGAGCGTCATCATCTGTGAGGCTCGCCAGGCTTTGCTGGGAGGCTGGAAATTCATCATCAGGCTGACCTGAGGAGAGAGGAGGAGGCACCTGCTGTTGTTGGCCAGAGGCTCTGAGGGACCCCAGCCAGGCACTGGCTTCCGGATACCCTTCCCCACCTGCACTCCCAATTCCAACCACCACTGGGTCACAGATGACTGAGTGAAGCTGATTTGATTCCCACAGGCTACTGATTTGAGTTTCTAAGTGAGCTTAGACTTCAGACTGACTCACGTTTTTGACGTAAAACATGATGAAGAGAGTAATCATTTGGATAAAAGGCAGCAGAGGGCAGAAGAAGGTTCCAATCCTAGAGGAATGGAGGGCGAGTGTCAGAGACCAGGGAGCACACAGGGGATGGGGCATGGGACGTGGAGGGAAGAGGGGGTCGTGGGCTGAATTCTGTCCCTCCTAAATTCACCCGTTGAAGTCCTGACACCCCGCTCCTCAGAATGCCGCTTGGAGATAGGGCCCTTAAAGAGAGCATTAACTCTCGGTACACCTTAGTTTATGAATCTGTAACTAGGAGAGATAACTAAGCACTTACTACATTTGTTGCTCATTTAATCCTCACCTAAACCCTGTGAAGTAGATACAGTTATCTCCACCTCCCCCACTTTAGATTGGAAGACTAAGGTGTACAGAGTTTAAGTAATTTGCCCAAAGGCATCCTTTTCATTGAGATAATGTGGGTGAAAGACTTATAAGCTGGCCAGTGCCAGGGGTGACCTGGCAGTGTGCAAAAGCATCACCTGTCCTGCCCAAAGACAAAGACTTTGCAACCTCTAAAAATAAACTCTGATAAAATGTTTAAAAAATGGGAAAAAAAATTCTGATGTTAGTGAGTTGTTTGCAGACAGCCAAATCACCCAGAGCAATTTTTTTTTTTTAATAGAGGCATGTTTATTTATTTGTTTGTTTGTTCTGTTTACACATGCACTGGGTACAGTCAGAAGCGCGGGAGGGTGAGAGAATTCACCAGAGCCAGAGCGGGGAGCAGAGCAGGCAGAAGGACCGAAGTGCACTGCTGAGGGGAGCAGCGGGCGGCAGGAGAGGTCTGCGCACCATGTGGGACCCTCCTCCGGTGGCCGGGGAGCAGCCGGGGATCGAACCGGCGCTGCAGAAGCCCCGGGCAGCTTCACAACCCAGCGCTCAACCGCTGTGCCACCGGGGAGGCCCCACCCAGAGCAATTTAAAGAGCTAGCAAAGAACTCTTTGCAGGTGTATGTTATATTAGAGACTCCAAAGCACTTTGCATATATCATCTGACTTAATCCTCAACACAATTCGAAAGCAACAATTATTATGTGCATTTTATATTTTAGGAGATTGAAGTTCAGAGACACTCAGTGACCCCAGTTCGCGCCAGGACCAGTCCAGAATCAAGTTTATACAACTCCAAATGCCCTACTTTCAAAGTGGCAACCCGCCAACAGATGAACCTTAGAGTGTAATACACCATGCAGAATTCTGGCACTAATTACATCACATTAAAAAAGGAAAAAGAGGGCCTCCCCTGGTGGTGCAGTGGTTGAGCGCTGGGCTGCGAAGCTACCCGCAGCCCCTGCAGCGCCGGTTCGATCCCCGGCCACCAGCGAGGGTCCCACATGGACTGACAGACCTCTCCTGCCAAGCCCACTGCTCCCCTCAGTAGTGTACTTCCGTCAGTCTGCCTGTTCTGTTCCCTGCTCTGTCTCTGGTGAATCCTCTCGCCCTCCCGCGCTTCTGACTGTACCCACCCACTGTGTAGGGTAAAGAAAATGTCAGGTTTTTCTGCCCTCCCGCCATTAGGATAGATGACGGAACCCTGCGGTCCTGAATGCATGCCTGATGGCGGGCACCTGGAGTAGGGTGTGGGCATGCGTAGGTGGGTACACCTGAGCTAAGAGACTGATTTATAAGGGTGCTGCAGCAGAGTGTGGTATGGTAGTAGTGCGGTGTTAAGGGTGGAGGGGTGGAGTGTACGGAGGAGAACGGCTACTACAAACAACGGCGAAGAGCATGTGGCTGCTAGAACCGTTCATAAACCTGCCCGGAATGGGTTGGTTGCTTTACACAGTACTTGTATAAATAAATCTTTAAAAAAATAAAATAAAACACAACACTGTCTAAAAAAATTTTTTTTTTAAATTTAAAAAAATTTTAAAAAAGGAAAAAGAACTCACAGGCTATTGATTTGCATTTCTAAGTGAGTTTGTCAGAATTTGATGCAACTAGCTGGCTATTCCCAAAGCCCACATGTGCACACACACATGCACATACACCCCACAATCCCACACCCAAAAGACTACAGAGGTTCTGCCACCTGGTACAGTGAATGAAGCAGGCCAGGTGAAAGCAAGCAATACACAGCCCTCTCTGCCTTTATTTTCCCATGTCTGTTGAGACATCAATGCAAAATAAATTTGTTTACCATAAGAAAACTAACAGGCAACGAGAGATGGTAGATCAATGTTGGGGGAGGCAATAGTTCAAGGTGGGGACTGTGGCAAACTGGAAATACTCAGTCCAGTTCAAGGCCCAGGCAACCACCGAAATGGTAAATCAGAAATTTTAAGTTTTGTGTGAAATCTCCTCACTTTTACATATTGTTTAGGATCCTGTTCTATGTTGGTTCTTGCCTTTCCCCATAAAGGAAAGTAATAGTCTGGGACATAATTCATGGTTCTCAGACTCACTGGATCTGATCTCACCCATGTAGTTTTGAAAAAAACTGATTCTGGAGCTCACCATAGAACCTCCAAATCCAGAGTCAGCTGGAACCAAGGGGCACACTGAAGAGCCCCAAAACTTACCACACCAGAGTTTGTACATAGATCAGTTCTAGAACATTCCCGGCAATGTCAAACTCCTGGGAGCCAAGACTTGTGATAAATCGCATTCCAATGATTCTGTGAAAACAAAATGAGTTCAACGCCCAAATGATTAATTCCCTCCTTCAAGACTCTCGACATGCAACAAAGAAGACTCTCACCAGTTTGGAATAAAGTTCAAAATCCCTGAACAAATTTTCAAAAAGTTCTCAGAACAAGCATGTTTTTGAAGAAATAATTGAAGGAAATGAAGGAAAATGGAATAAATATAAGGCATTCAAAAGTGGTTTTAAAAAGTCTAGCAAACAGGGCCTCCCCGGTGGCGCAGCGGTTGAGCGCTGGGTTGCGAAGCTGCCCACAGCCTCCGTGGCGCCGGTTCGATCCCCGGCTGCTCCCCGGCCCCGGAGGAGGATCCCACATGGTGCGCAGACCTCTCCTGCCACCCGCTGCTCCCCTCAGCAGTGTACTTCGGTCCTTCTGCCTGCTCTGCTCCCCGCTCTGGCTCTGGTGAATTCTCTCACCCTCCCGCGCTTCTGACTGTACCCAGTGCTTGTATAAACAAAACAAACAAATATAATAAATAAATAAATAAATAAATAATGCCTCTATAAAAAAAAAAAAAAAAAAAAAAAAAAAAGTCTAGCAAACATTTGCCGGCAGTAATTATTTAAATTATCCCAGCTATCATCTTGTCTAATCACTCTGGCTTTTTAAGCCTTTTTGTCACAGCAGAAAAACTCAGCACCTCTTAACCAAAAAATTTCTTTTTTTTAATTTTGTTTATAGGTATCAAATTAATGGCATTTCCCTGTTCCCTAAGTCCACTAGGAGGAAACCAAAGTCTCCATTCACTCTGGGGAAACCTGAGACCACTTCTTTCTTCATACAGAGGAGTTGCCGGAAAAAGGTGTTGTCCAAAAAAACACCTCTCAGCTTTAAACCCAAACTCCAGACACAGGCTGGAATAAAAGTAAGCTTGGTAGACTGAGTGAAGTCATCTGCGCTTCAAACTACACACTTAGGAAGGGCCTACATGGCATCTTATCACTAAAGCGGCTTCCAGAGCTATGAAAAAATCTACTACCAGGACTAAGATGCCCATGATATAATTTAAAAAGAAAGCAAGAATAAAAAAGAACTACAACGGGCCAAGGATAACACCACCTCAATTCCTGGGAATTAACACTTCCTCAATACCCCTCGGGCCTATAAAAATTGCAGCACACTCATTACATTTAATTAAAACAATGAGCCTAAAAAAAATAAAATAAAATAAAATAAAATAAAAAAAACAATGAGCCTAATCTGTATGTACTGGCCTGGCAAGATGCCAAGGATAGTGATAAGATTAATACCACTGTTTTACCCATTCTTTGCCTTTGAAAATGATACTGTATACACATACTACATCTTGCACATAGAAAAATATGGAGGAAGACACTCTGTTAAAGTTATGAACAGTGGCTGAATCACAAATGGCTCTCAATTTGTATTTCTAGAACTTTTTTTTCCCAAGAGAATAAAGGTTGTAAAGGGCCAGTTAAACCAAATGACTTTGACAATGGGATTGTCAGGTCAAGGTGAAATTCCAGTTATTTAGAAGAAAACAAAATCCCAAAGGTCAATAGGAAAACTAGAATGAAGCACACTTAGAACTCATAAGGGGCACGTGTCCCCTGCTCAGCCAAGACTACTGTGGCTCTGGTTACAATGCCAGGTACTAACTACCGACATGCTTTGCTTCACAATGGTCTGAGAAATGCATCACCAGGCAGTGCTATCACTGTGCAAACATCACACACAGTGTAACTTTACAAGCTAGCAGAACACACTGCACACCAGGCAGCGGTAGGGCTGTGGCTACACATCACACATGCAGTGTGTCATTGACCAAACCATCCTTAAGCAGCCACCACTGCACTCAAGACTGACAAATATTTACCTCCTCAGGAACTCCCCTAGTAAGGAATCGGCCAAAGAGAACATGAAATCCATCAGAAGGAGCCGGTAGATTTCCTGGCCAATGAGTGTCTCCCAACACTGGAAATAAACAAGAGTCAGGTTGTGGGGGGGTGCTGTTGCCTAAGTTCAATCCCCATCTGCTCCTGGCATCCTGGATTCATAAGGACATAGCTGGTGGCTCAGTTTGGCCAAGTTCTTGAGTACCCAGAAAAGCAGACCCACTCTCAGCAGAAATGCACCATTAAGCTCAGTTTGTTTTTCAGGTGTTGATTCCCTTTCTGTGCTCCTTCCCCCACTGAGGCTGCCCCTTACAAGTACCCAACCTTTCCCTTCACACTCGCTCCCCTTAATATGGCCTGTGTCCTTTAGATCCCATTTGTCTGCCAGGATTAATCAATTTCTTCAGGAGGTCAGGGGGTGTCAATGCCTAGCAATGCCTCCGCTCTTTCTTCTTATTGGCCTTATGAAAAGCCATTATCTGCTTGATTAAGAAAGCCACCTAGAGGTTTGGCATGCTAGCACAAACTGGAAGGTTAACTTGGTGATCAGTAACATTCACGGAAGTTAACAGAGGGAGTCGGAGATTTTAGATTTGACTAAAGCAGGGGAGGGAAGGTTTGAGTACACAGTCCAAGGATGCATAGATGGATGGATGCATGGACGGATGGATGCATGGACACATGAATGAAAGAATAACATGATATTTGCTTTGATATCATGAGCAGGAACTCGAGAAACTTCTTTCCTGAGGGTCAAAAGTTAAGAAACCAAAGCAAAGGCAGAAGAGCACAAAAATCTCACCTCTTCTCCAGCCGGAGCCACAACATTGAGCCAATAGTAACAAAGAATTCCGATGATTGATATTTTCAGGAAGATGTTTCTAAATAACAGAAGAGAAATGACTATCACTACTTCCATGGCAGCCATCAGTGCTGTTTACCAGTATTTCCTTTTGGTCACATGTGCGGGGCAGTGTGGGGGGTGGTGGGGGGGATGTGAGGGGGGTGATGGTGGGGGTTGGGGGTGGTGGTGGGGAGGGGGTGGTGGTGTCTTCCTGCCCCAACCAGCTAAGATGCTACTAAACAAAAGAAAGGGCCTCACACCGTGGGGCCGAATTTCCAAAAAGCCTTCCCTGCACCCCACAAAGTGGGGCCGAAGATTAATCTGCAACCCACAAACATCCCCTTGTTTTTTGTTCTTAGTCATATAAGAAAAAACTTCTCAAAAAGTACATTGAGCAATAAATTATACGTATAAGAATACTGTAAGGAAATGGCACAAAGAAATACCTGCCCAAAAATTAAACACTGTAAATTTGGCCTGCCTGACAATGGGAAATAATTTGTTACACATGAACATGCCTGACAAGCAATCCAGGACAACGACTATAGTAATTCCTTTTTTTTTTTTTTTTTTTTTTTTAATTTTCTAGAGGCATGTCTTATTTATTTATTTATTTGGTTGGTTGGTTGGTTTATACATGCACTGGGTACAGTCAGAAGCGCGGGAGGGCGAGAGAATTCACCAGAGCCAGAGAGGGGAGCAGAGCAGGCAGAAGGACTGAAGTACACTGCTGAGGGGAGCAGCGGGCGGCAGGAGAGGTCTGCGCGCCTTGTGGGACCCTCCTCCGGTGGCCGGGGAGCAGCCGGGGATCGAACCGGCACCGCAGTGGCCGCGGGCAGCTTCGCAACCCAGCGCTCAACCGCTGCGCCACCGGGGAGGCCCAGTAATTCCTTCTTTTGCCTTTTTTAGAAGTTTCTTAGGAAAGTTTTTTAATGACTATGAAGTTAATTGTGTTAAGAAGTTTCTAGGTAGAAAACCCTGTTAGCTGATAACCAGGAAGCAGCTGGTCTCCAGCTGAAGGCCATATAATAGAAGAGTCTTTTGATGCTTAAGCTTTAGCTGATAGGAGTGTACTGACAGCTGTCAACTGTCTTAGGTGATTGTCTAAGCTGTAATAATGAGTTTTAGTGTAAGGTTTAGTTTTTTATCTATTAACGTTGAAGGCTACCTTCTTGCTGAGAGCACGCAGGAGCCAGATGTCCATGGGAAAAGAATGCACTAATTGTTTCTGCTTTGCTTCCATGCATATGATGGTGTAATCTCACTGCCTGCCTGAATGTATAAATAAAGACCCGCTGAGACCCTCAGTAGGAGATACTTGCAAAAGTGACTGCCTTATTCCTCAATTGCGCCAACACCGTCTCATCCTTCAGGAACCCCTGACACCCAGTTTGCCGAGGCGGGCCCCCAGCACCTCTGAAAGGGCCAGCAGTAATATTCAAGATGATGGCTGCCCTCTCAGCCTGGATCCCTGAGTGACTGATGTGAGCAAAAGCCCTGGCAATCTAAAATGGACATGCAGGGTCCTCCTTGGTGGCCTAGGCATTAAGGCTCCTGAGTTTGATCCCCGACCAGGAAGCTAACCCACATGGCACAGCAGACTTTTCCTCTCTTCCCTCAGCAGTATATTTCAGTAGACCTGCCTGTTCTGCTCCCCACATTGTCTCTGGCCCCCCGCACCTCTGGCCTACACTCCAGTTCTTCTATGCAAAAAATAAAATAAAATATTTTTTTAAATAAATAAAATGAGCATGCAGTATGAACAAGAAATGTTCCAAGCCTGTGAGATCTGGGGGAGAGGGGATATTTGTTACCGCAGCACAACTTAATTTGTTCTAACAGATACACCCCCTTTGGGGCATCTCCAAACTATCTGATTTCACATTTCATCAAATGTACATGGGGGCTGAGCATGGACAGTACACCAAGAACTTTACTGAATCAACCTTCTTAATTGTTACAACTCTATCAGCAGATAGATAGTACTTTATGTCTTTCTTGTGGATAAGGAAACTGAAACTCTGAGAGATAAAATAATTTGTCTAAGGTGATACACTTCGTGACGGACATAACAAAGATTCAGACCAAGGACCATCTGGTTTAACAGCCTGAGGTGTTAAATCCAGTCAGTTTGCCTAAATCAGTAATTTGGCTGGTATTCTTTGGGCGTTAGCATTGGTGCCATGTGCCACTAGAGGGCCCCATACCAGCAGCATCAAAATCATTTGCAAACTTGGTAGAAAGGCAAATTTTTAGGCCCTACCCCAGATCTACGAAATCATAAACAGAGTAATTCTGGTGCATGCTGAAAGTCTGAGAACCACTGTACTGGAATCTAAGTTCCACGAAGGAAGGGAACCAGATCGGTCTTTTTCAATGCCAGATCCCTAGTCTCTTGCAAGATACAGCCGGCATAGCCGATGGGAAGTTCTATCTCACAAGTGGTATAAACACCACCATAAGCAGGTGGCCAGAGAACTAGCAAGAAAGCAGCAATAAGGACACAGTATGAGCCATCTGTGTTTTGTTTATCAAAACCTTGAGGTCAACACTTCCAGCACATACAGTGCTTTTATGGGAATGATAAGAAGGCGCCCCTCCCTGCCAATGAGTTGCCAAAAATGCTCCCTTCACATCCGTTTGGGTGGCTGAATTACAAAAATGCATCTACTCCTCCCTGCAGAGCTCACAGTTTGACTGGTGCAAACACTGACAATTCCAGCTCCCTGTCAAGGTTCCCCAAGCAGGAAACCTTTGTGCAGTGCACAACCCGCACACCCGTACATCTCATAATTGAGAAGAACTATGTCTCCCTAGGGCTGATGGTAGCTGGGAAAGGAAAGTCGTTACTTTGAGCAAAAGGCAGGGCCTCCCCGGTGGCGCAGCAGGTTGAGCACAGCGCTGTGAAGCTGTCGGCAGCCTCTGCAGCGCGGGTTCTATGCCTACCCGGCCAGGGAGATGCCCACATGGCACAGCAGACCTCTCCTGTCTCGCCTGCTGCTCCCCTCAGCAGTGTCTTTGGTCCGTCTGCCTGTTCTGCTCCCCACTCTGTCTTTGGTGAATCTTCTCACCCTCCTGCGCCTCTGGCCCATACCCCAGTTCTTGTATAAATAAAAATAAATGTTAAAAATAAAAAGGCAGACACACTTAAAAACTGCATTTTCTCAGAGCTCTAAAGAGTCTATGGCTATTAACCCACCCCAAACAAATAAGTTTTACTCTTGAAATTCTTTCTGGAAAATAGATCTTTGCTACTTGAATGTGACCCACCCCATTCCTTCCATGGAAACAGAGGTTGCTGCAGACACACATACCGGATCAGGAGGGTGTAGACTTCGTGCCTCGGCATCTCATAGCGCTCCACCAGCCTGAACATGGAGTAAAAGCGGGGCACAACCAGGTTGATGCAGGACACCACGAAAGGCAGTAACAGCACAGCCCCGGGGTTATTGTGGTTCTTCAGGAACTGCAGGGAAATAAGGGAGAAAATCCAGATGCCACCTGTGCCCTGAGCCCTCTCTGCCTCGCTCAGTGGGTGCGTATGAGCAGACTTCACTGATGGGCAAACTGAGGCCCAAAGATGTGAAGATGCTGGTCCCGGGTCACCCAGCTAGGAGGTGGCAGATTTGAACCCAAGTCTATCTGTGGCATGGCCTTGAGTGCAAAGAGTCAGCTAGTGACTTTTCTTGCCTTACCAGGAGGTCTGGAAAGTGAGAATGAGCTCCCAGCCACTCAAGCAAAAGTCTGAGTAGAAGCTATGGTCCGGGCAATCAGTCACCTGAGAATTTCTCTCCCCTCTCCTGGGTGGCCTTGTTCATTTCCATGAGGCTTTATCTGTCTTTGGAGCAGTGTATGGGGGAGGGAAACCCCTGCATCACCTTGATGTGAGAGGGAGAGGTGCCCCTTCCTTCCCGGATGCACCTTGAGGGCAGAACAGGGCTGCCCCTCAGCTGGGTGTCCTTGGGTGAGGGATTCCAGAAGCTTTGTGCCTCAGAACCCCATTTCTCGGCCCTCAAGCTTGACTTCACTTCCACCCAGCTCTGGGAGGTTCTGAAAACACGTCTCACACTTTGGGCAGAATCTTTCAAGCCAATGTCACCTAAGTTCAAATGCTGACCCCCTCTTCTGCCCACAAGCTGCCGGGCTGGGACCAGACACCCTGGACCCTGGGCCTCCTGTCCCCATCTGTGTAACAGGGGCATTATCACAAAATCCGCAGACGTTACAGGGATTACATGAGATCCAATAAGGCGGCGTCTGCTAAACAACTCAGCTGGGAGCGCCCTTCACACAAAACCACAGTGGCCAGAGAATGGGGACCCTGGAGTTGTGCCAACGCCAACCCTGCCTGGCGCTGAGCACTGTGCCAAGGACGGGGGCCAAGTTCACCTCCACTTCCTTCCTCCACTGCCCGTGGGTGCGGAGAAAGCCTTCAAGGGGAAGACAAGACTCCAAAATCTTTACACCTACAGCTGTGTGGTCACATCGGCCATGCTAGGTAGGCCAGGCCAAGCCCCTGAGGATTCTGACTCCCCTTCCCCTCTCTCAGGGCCCAACTAATACGGTCAAGGGCAAACTCTTAAGTTCCTGTAAGTCCACGCCCATTTTCTTGCTGGCTGCTCTTCACTTGATGATCCACTGGGCTGAGCACCTACAATGCACTAGGTATCGGGCCAGCCTTCAACTGACAAACAGGAAGAGTTTTCAGTGTTGCATGTGATGAACCCTCAGGGGAAGCCTGTAGAGTCAGGAGCACCTAACGCGGCCTTGTCAGGCTGGTGGTGGTGGCAGAAGGCTTCCAGGAGCAAGAGACACCCATGCTGAAGTCTACGGGAGGAATTTGCAGTCTATGGGAGGGGTGAAGAATGAACTGCCTGTTTCCCAGCTAGAGATAAGGAAAAGCTGGGAGTGTTCAGAAACTATTTTCCCACTATTTAGTGTTGCTGGTGTGGGATATGAGTGATGGTGGGTGTTGAGTCTAGAGATGTGTGCAGGGGTAAGATCATGAAAAATCTACCAACCATGCCATGGAAGAATAGATGTTATGTGGAGGGTAATACGATGCCATTTTTTTAAATGACATAATCAGACCAAGCTGCACCACAACTCTAGAGGTCAAAGACCTGGCTACAATCAGTTCCATATTCCATTTCTCCAAAAGAGAAACGTACTGGAAAAACAGTACTTTGCCCAGGCCATCCAGGAATTAGTCTCAGAGTTCATATCATTTAAAAAAAAAAAAAAAAAAAAAAGAAAAAGCTAACATTTCTTCATCACCCTAAGTACCAGGCACTGGGTCGACTCGCCACGTAACTTTTTTCCTGATCACACACCTACAAATCCAAGTAGGATCATTCCCACTTTACAATTAAGGAATCTGGAGATCGGAAAGATCAAATCACGTGCCAAAGTTCATCCTACTTATGGAATGTCCAATCTGTGCCAGGGACTGTAGGAAGCATTAGGACATCACAATAAAGGAAGAAAACAGAACTTGATCGCAGGTCACAGCCAGAGCTACTCTCTCTTCCCCAGCCCAAAGCTTCTCATTGTGTGTGTTGAGCACACACATCACTGGGCATGCTGCGAAAGGTGCAGGGTCTGAGTGTGTGAGCCACAGGACCTGAGATGCTGCCCTTTTAATAAGCTTCCAACTGATGCAGACCCCAGTGTGCACAGCAGGCCCTCCACCACTCTCCCTCGTGAGCATCCCAGCCCCCCACGCCCTCCCCTGACTCTCTCTGTGCTCAGCACCCTGCTGCTCCTGCCTCTGTGGTTACCTCCAAGTTGTTCTGAGCCAGGAAATAAACAGCTGCACAGCAGGCGACAGCCATTCCGGTAGAGATGACCCAGGCCGCCAGGTGGGCAGACAAGCGAATCAGCTGCTGGTTGAGTGTTAACTTGACATTCTCTTGACGGATTTCTGACAGGTTCTCCTGTAATCACAAGGAAGTCAAGGTGAGCCACAAACCCCTTTCCACTGTTAGAGAAGATCCTTGCCCAGGGTGAATACCTGACGTATGCAGAGACATAAACCCCAGATCCCCAGGCAAAAGAAAAGGGAAAGTTGATGATGAATGTGGATTTTGAGAGACGCATAGGGAGATTTCAAATGGTCCGAGAGCCACCCATCACCACATCAAATGCCCTTTCCATCCTAGAAGGACATATGGGACCAGCGGATGGGTTTGTGCTCTTAAGGAAAGTACAGTGAGATCGTGGAGCTTCTTGAAGAGTGAGGTGGGGTATCTGTGCCCAGGGAGAAGTCGATATCGGCAACCCTCTTGTCAAAATTCCTTTGTTAATAATTTTGCTTGCTTTGTCTCTTTCATACATTTTTCTATAGACCAGGGTTTCTCAATCTCAGCATTACTGACATTTTTGGCCAGATAATTCTGCATTGTGGTAGCTGTTCTGTGTATTAGAAGAGAGCATTGTCCCTGGGCCCCTACACGAGATGCCAGTAGCGCCTTCTCCCCAATTCAGTAACAACCAAAATACCGTATTATTCAAAAATCATTGAATAAAAGTTTAAACCTGTGAGATCAAGAAATAATTACATTGAACATTTTGATACAAAGTGCTCAACTCCCCTCTAGTGCCAATTATGAAAATGTCCATTTCTCTATACCATCACCAGCACCATCATTGTGAGTATTTCTAGTTTTCTTGCCAATAAAGTAAAAATAAATAATTATCACTTTAATAAAAATTACAGATATGCGGAGAGAAGGAAGAAGACAGATGACGGAAGGTATACAAAGCAAGCTTGCCTTACCCTTATCTCAGTGCTAAGATTCTTCTGTTTCAGCTTTACAGCATTTTCATGAGTGACAGTGAAGTCCCAGCAAAAAATAAGCTTAGTGATTCCTCTGGAGTAAATGTGGGGGTTAATGAAGTTGTTCCGGAAATACCTAGCCATGCTGAGGAAGGCAGAAACCAAAATACCCAAGAGTTATTTGGATAGGAATTGGGGAGCACAGGGTTTAATACAAAGGTAAGTCCTATCACTAAGGGTGACAGGCAGCATGCAAGAGGTAGCCTCAAGTTCTTCAGAAACAGTGGGACAGCAAATACAATCATTAAAGCACTGACTTTGGACCTGACAGACCTGACTTGCAATCCTGGATTTGCCAGCTGGGGGATCTTCATAATTTTAAGTGTTCTGAGCCTCAGTTTCCTCATCTATATAATGGGATGATGATAGCACCCACCTCACAGAGCTATTGTAAGTGTTGTATTAGTTTCCTATGGCCACTGTAAACAAATTAGCTCAAAGTTAGAGGTTTAAAACACATTTGTTCTCTTACAAGAGATCAGAAATCAGAAAATGAGTCTAAAATCAAGGTATCAGTAGAACTGTGTTCCTTCTGGAGGGTCTAGGGGAGAATCTGTTTCCTTGCCTTTCCCTGATTCTATAGGCTTCCTGCATTCCTTGGCTTGCTGCCTCTTCTCTCATCTTCAAAGCAAGTAATAAAGCAAATGCTTGCTCTCTGCTCTGAGCCTCTGGGCTCCCACTGATAAGGAGCCACATGATTACACTGGGTCCATTCAGAGAATCCTGATCTTTCCATTTGAGACTCTTAATCACATCTGCAGCCCCCTTTGCCAGGTAAAGGTCACGGGTTACAGGGATTAGGACATGGTTGACTTGAGGAGGTGAGGGAGGCCATTATTCAGTTGGCTACAGGTGTCAATGCAGCATTTGGAGCAGTAAGCTTGTGTTATTATCAATGAGCCACCAAGACTCATTGAGAAAAGGTCCACGAGCGCTTGACACTGAGCTGGGCACAAAATAAATGCTGAGTCGGGTCTCCCCGGTGGCGCAGCGGTTGAGCGCTGGGTTGCAAAGCTGCCCACAGCCTCTGCAGTGTTGGTTCGATCCCCGGCTGCTCCCCGGCCACTGGAGGGTCCCACATGGCGCGCAGACCTCTCCTGCCGCCCGCTGCTCCCCTCAGCAGTGTACCTCGGTCCTTCTGCCTGCTCTGCTCCCCGCTCTGGCTCTGGTGAATTCTCTCACCCTCCCGCGCTTCTGACTGTACCCAGTGCTTGTATAAATAAATAAATAAATCTTTAAAAATAAATAAATAAATAAATGCTGAGTCAAAGGGACCCTGCCTTCCCAAACTTTGCCATCACCAAGTTATAGCAACTTAAACTCTGCCTCACTCGATAGGACAAGATCTTATTTGCTTTGGGATTATTGCATTGGTAGTAAGGTCATTATGGATTGACTTGTATTTTTATTTTTATTTTATTTTTTTTTATAGAGACATGTTTTATTTATTTATTTGTTTGTTTGTTTTGTTTTGTTTTTTTATACATGCACTGGGTACAGTTAGAAGCGCGGGAGGGTGAGAGAATTCACCAGAGCCAGAGTGGGGAGCAGAGCAGGCAGAAGGACTGAAGTACACTGCTGAGGGGAGCAGCGGGCGGCAGGAGAGGTCTGCGCACCATGTGGGACCCTCCTCCGGTGGCCAGGGAGTAGCCGGGGATCGAACCGGCTCCGCAGAGGCTGCGGGCAGCTTTGCAACCCAGCGCTCAACCGCTGCGCCACCGGGGATTGACTTGTATTTTTAGACGGAACGATTTCTTTCTCTTCTTCTGTCTGAACTCATATTTTCTGTTGTAGGATATAAGGATTGATCAGACCAAGTAAAAAGGACAGAGAAATTGTCTTCAGGGTAATTTCTGAGTCTCGTGGATTCTGCCTAGATACGAAAAAAGCTTAGAATCAGGAAGTGCATGGGCCTCCCTGGTGGCATAAGGGGTTAAGCACCACACTAAAAGCAATCCGCAACCTCTGCAGCATGAGTTCAATTCCCGGCCATCCAGGGAGCTACCCACATGGTGCAGCAGACCTCTCCTGGCTCGCCCGCTGCTCCCCTCAGCAGTGTATTTCAGTCAGTCTGCCTGTTCTGTTCCCTGCTCTGTCTCTGGTGAGTCCTCTCACTGCCCCCCAACCCTCCGCATCTCTGGCCTATATCCCAGCAACTGTATGCATAAACAAATAAATATTTTTTAAAAAGAATCAGGAAGTGCACTCCCTACCTGAAAAGTAAACTGAAAAAGCAGATGACCAAGCACATGCCCATGGTGAAGATGTAGGCCAGCTGCATGTTGTAGGAGGCGCCCCCGCTTCTGTGCTGGATGGTGGAATTGGTGTAATAGCCGTAGTACATCACTGTGTCCTGAAAATAGCCCTGCGGGGACACGAACCCGAGGTCAGGTGACGCTCTTGAGAAAATGATGAATAGTCACAATCACACAGCTGGCCTCCAGAATCTACAGGAAACTTGCGCTGGTCACTTTAGACACTTTGTTGGCCAGGAAACCAGCACTGAAGGCCACTGAGAACATAGACATTTTCTCCAAAACCAACATGACTTTACAATGGGGAGCCCAGTTGTCACCATCTGGACCTGGGGCGTGAGAAAGTGACACCTGACAAAAAGCAGGACAGTCATTATGTGCCTCTGTCACCTATCATTATGGTCAGACGTGTTTAATACGAAACAAACCAAGCCTTGAGGTCTACATTGCAATTTACAGGAAATCATGGGACAGAGGAACAAATGAGAAAGAAAGCAGATGATGGCAGAAGGTGGGACTGGAATGGACACAACTGGCCTGGCTTTGAAGACAGTGTCAAGAAAAATAGGGGTCAGGACAAGGGAGATGATTCTAGGTTAACAGAAGCTAGATAAAGGCAGCTGGGTGCATTGTGTGGTCTTTGATTGGTTCCTGGTCTGAACAAGCAAATTACAAAGACACTTGGGAACAACTGGGAAGACCTGAACATGATCTAGAACACGATCCATCTAATAATAGATCCTATGGATCTATTATTATCTATCTATTCATGTATGTATGCATCTATATATTCTATCTATAGAAGAATCTAGACAATGCCAATTTTTTAATTCTTCTAGGTTTGCTAACGACAGAGGGACTATAGGAAAGTGTCTTTATTTTTCAGGGATGCACACTGGAATTCAGAGTAAATTTCCCAATGTCTGTAATAAGTGCAAAATGATTCCCCAAAATAATAAAATCAAATATAGCCAAATGGTTAACACTTTAAGATCTATTATGGTCATGTATGTTACCACTCCTTATTTTTTTGTGTGATTGAAATTTTTCAATGTTTCACATATACACAAACCTACAATATCAATATAATAATAAGAAAAATGAAGGAGAAGTTGACACAATAATTCTGTTTTATTGCATCTATGCCAAGGAAAGGGTTTTTTTGGTTTTTTGGTTTTTTTTACAGAAAAGGAAAAAAAAGACAAAGGGATGAACCTTACTTTGAACATTCTCTGCAAGAGTCAGCAAACTTTTTCTGTAAAGAGCTTGACAATGAACATCTTTGTCTGGGTAGATCAATAAGGCTATAACAGTAGCTCTGCCCAGCTGCCTGGTAGCAGGAAAGTTGCACAGACATGAAAACAAATAGTCCTGGCAGCACTCCCACTGCCCACCTGTGACTATGCAGGTGCCTTTTTCACCAACTCTCTCCCTCTGCAGGGCAGCAGCCTCCTGCCCGCCCATGACCTGTCAAGGCCACCCGCCTGCAACCATGCAGGGCTCTCCCAGCAAACCTGTCCCTTCTGGGGCAGCTCTTCCTGCCTGCTTGTGTCTATGCAAGTGTCTAACTTTTTTATCCCTTCTCTAATAAACCTGCCCTTTAAATATTAAAAAAAAAAAGAAAGAAAAGAAAACAAGTAGACCTGCCATGTTCCCAAAGAATCTCACTGATAGACACCAAAATTTGGATTTCATGTAATTTTCATGTTTCACAAAATGTCCTTCCTCAGAATTGTTTTCAAGCATTTGAAAAGGTAGACATCAATCTTAGTTTGCAGGCTGTACAAAAACAGGTGGCCAGCTACGTTTGGCCCCTGGCTGTCGTGCATCCTTGCTCTACAGAATCTCTGTGACAAAACCCCCTTCAAGAGGTATACTCCAAGGCAGAGGCTATATGAGTCAAGAGGGAACTGGGTAAATAAATGATGGTTCCTGTTAAAGAAAGTAATGCATATCTCTGTAAATATTCAAGATATAGAGGGAAGCAAAAATTGCTGCAAAGCCAGACTTATAGTACCCTACCTTTTAAACATAAGAGAATGTTTATTGCGTCTCTACCTACCTACTTACCTATGGGTCTATAATTATCTATCTACTCATGTATATATGCATCTATATGTTCCATCCATCCACCCAACCATCTCCATTTACCCATCCCCAGCCATCTATCCAACCAAGCATCCTCCTGTCTATAGGAAGAAAAGCAGTGAGATAAGGGAAGAGATGGAGAGAGAGATAAGGGAAGAACAGAAAAACAGACTTTCTCTTAGCTTGGTCTCTATCATAATAGAATTTTTTCAAAAGGAACACAGTGTTTCGTAGAGAGAAAGAGAAAGTAGATCTACGAACACCAATATGTCCACTACCTATTAGGAGAAAGCAAAAAGTTGTAGGCAGTATATGAATAATTCATCATTTGTTTAAGAAAAAAAGGATGCATAGGTATATGTATGTATGTGTGCAAAAAAACAACATTCTGGACAACATGAACTGTTGACATGCAAAAAGGGATTTCACTCTGTGGTGTATTACTTTGGAGAAAAATATTTTTTTTTTTTTAATTTTTTTTTTTTTTAATAGAGGCATGTTTTATTTATTTATTTGTTTGTTTGTTTGTTTTGTTTATACATGCACTGGGTACAGTCAGAAGCGCGGGAAGGTGAGAGAATTCACCAGAGCCAGAGCGGGGAGCAGAGCAGGCAGAAGGACCGAAGTACACTGCTGAGGGGAGCAGCGAGCGGCAGGAGAGGTCTGCGCGCCATGTGGGACCCTCCTCTGGTGGCCGGGGAGCAGCCGGGGATCGAACCGGCACCGCAGAGGCCGCGGGCAGCTTCGCAACCCAGCGCTCAACCGCTGCGCCACCGGGGAGGCCCTGGAGAAAAATATTTTAAATACCTACTTTCCCCATCAGTCAGCTCCCAGGCAAAGTGAGAGGTCTGGACAGTGATGGGCACAGTTCAACTGAGGTTTTCTAGAACATGGGTTGGGGAAATGAAGGACTTACCGCCCCTGTGAAAAATTCCAAACCAGTGAACTGGAGGGTGTTAGTCTCAGCCTGGGTAAACTGAGGGATTATGAGGAAGCTGAAGGTCACAATGAACGAGAAGATGTTAAACTTCAAAAGCCACCTCAGAAAGTTGAAATAGGAGAGGACGCTGGTTCCAAACTTGCCACCGATGACTTTGAGCGTCTTCTGCCACAGGGTGAAGGAACTGAGCACTTCTGACAGGGTGTTCTTGGATCTCCGGTACCCCTGGGTTGGGACCAAAGCACCAGGCTTGACATTCACTCCACAAAGAGCTACCGAGCAGGAGCCATAGCACAGCAACACTCACTGTTTCTAGAACATCCCACAGTGCCAGGCACCATGCTATCTCCCTTCTCAGTAGCACAGAGTTATCTCATGTAATCCACACGTCCATCTGCCGAGGTGAGAGCTATTTACCTCCCAGATCTGTTTATTGCCAAAGGTGACACAGAGGCTAAATCGTCCAGATGGTTCAGCTGTCTCTCATCACCCTCTCGCCTCCCACCCCTAGAGAGACCCAATGTTTCAGACTTTCAATAAACAGCCCAGATTTTTGCTTCCTCTTCCCCGTGTGACCCCTTTCATGCCCCCTCTCCCACCTCCCTATCTTCACCCACGGCTGCGCCCATTTTACTGACAGCAAGCAGGGCGGACTCACCAGTGAAATGGACCTCAGACACTGCGCGCAGCAGCCGAGCTGAAGGATGCCAAGGGACTGCCTATTCTTCTCGTTCTCGACCATTTTCCTGTGGGAACGGCAGGAGAAGGTGAGCGTCGGAGGCTGGAACGCATGACTTGCAATAATATTTACTGAGCTCCTAGAACCTGCCAGGCAGGGACATGAGAGGTGAGACAGAGACTGATTTTCCTGTTCATGGAGCTGCTATCCTAGTTGGGAAAGAAAAACCCTAAATATGATGGAAAAAATGGGCAGGCTGGATAGAGTATTAGAAGGTGATTTCAGACTGTGGGAAGAGAGAAGGAAGACAGTGAGTAAAGAGGTGGGAATTTCTGAAATTGGATGGGATTGGAAGGAAGTTTTGAAAGGAAAAGTGGGGTATGGCTCAGGGGGTGGGCCATGCAGAGGGAACAGCCAACACCAAGCCCCAAGGGGACAGAATGACACGGAGACCAGAATAGCTGCAAAGGCCTGAGCAGAGTAGGGAGGAGGGAACAAGTGATGGGCTGTGGGTTTTAGGAGAGGGGTACCATCGAGGGAACATTCCTTCTTGTCACATGACTTATTTCTGGGGTGCCAGCCTAGCCAGGTGTTGTTGGCAGAGCTTCGCCACTGGTCAGTACCTTCCTTGTCTGTCCAGACTTTATCTTCGGAAGCAGATCACTAAGAACTGTTCACATTGCAGGTGAGAGGAGAGAAAAAACCTACACAGATTGTTTGGAATTCGCCTATAGGAAAATGGTCTCTTCTCTTGCATTTATTGATTTCTTTTTTTAAGATTTATTTATTTATTTATACAAGCACTGGGTACAGTCAGAAGCGCGGGAAGGTGAGAGAATTCACCAGAGCCAGAGCGGGGAGCAGAGCAGGCAGAAGGACCGAAGTACACTGCTGAGGGGAGCAGCGAGCGGCAGGAGAGGTCTGCGCGCCATGTGGGACCCTGGCCCGGTGGCCGGGAGCAGCCGGGGATCTAACCGGCGCTGCAGAGGCTGCGGGCAGCTTCACAACCCAGCGCTCAACTGCGGCACCACCGGGGAGGCCCTATTGATTTCTTATCTTTCTGAGATGGGGCAAAAAGTAGATGAACTGAAGTTTGCTTGAAATCTGGGAAAGAAGAAAAGCTGCAGGTGCATACCTAAGCGTTCTTTTCTCCTCCATGGTCCTTGGCTGATTCCTGATGGTTTTAATTCTGTCTCTAGAGGTCATGGGTATCAGAGATGCAATTAACTTTTGTCCTGCAGAAGAAAATAAAGGTTTTTTTCCCCTTTAACAGAATAATAGCATCTTAAAATATGACAGTGAAGGGCCTCCCCTGGTGGCGCAGTGGTTGAGCGCTGGGCTGCGAAGCTGCCCGCAGCCTCTGCAGCGCCAGTTCGATCCCCGGCCGCAGGTGAGAGTCCCACATGGCGCTCAGACCTCTCCCGCTGCGCCCGCTGCTCCCCTCAGCAGTGAATTTCGTCGGTCTGCCTGTTCTGTTCCCCGCTCTGACTCTGGTGAATTCTCTCACCCTCCCGCTCTTCTGACTGTGCCTAGTGCTTGTATAAATAAACAAATCTTTAAAAAAAAAAAAAATTAAAAAAAAAAATATGACAGTGAAGTTAGAGCATCTTTAAAAGAACTGGAAAGAAAACTCTATCAGTGCAGTAGTTCCAAAGGTCACAAATAAAAACAAGAGGCCCATGTGGAGGTGGGGGGTGCGCAGCGGGGGCAGCAAGAGAGGGGGCAGACTGGCTCCCTGGTCGAGTTATTGAGGAAGAACTCTTCTTTATAATGACTTCATGGAGGTAAAGGGGGAGTCCCCAGAAGAGGGTCCCCAAATCACTCTGCTGAAGACAAGGAATTTGTGTCTCTTCTGAGAGGCAAAGGGGAGTAGACAGGGAGGAAGAAAGGAGAAGTAGGAAGAGAGAAAAAGTCAGAGATCTGGGTGAGCAGCAGCCCGAGTGGACAAACTCCAGTCTCCAATAAAGGGGTTCAACCTGATAGAGCTAAAAGAGGTGGTGGGAAGGAATGGGGGCACACGCATACACATTGCTCATGGCCTGCTAATCTGAGGTAATTTTCCAGTCCTAAATGTGTCTGGAGAACACGTTCTAGAACTATCAGAAGACCAGCTGCAGCAAGCAGGAATGCGCTTGGGTCCAGATGTCCAGGAGAGTGATAAGGAGCCCTGGGGACTGGACAGCACTGGCTCCCGATCAGGATGGCGGCCTGCTCACTGAAGAACAACTGTCTTCGGGCCTCCCCGGTGGCGCAGCTGTTGAGCGCTGGGTTGCGAAGCTGCCTGCAGCCTCTGCGACGCTGGTTCGATCCCCGGCTGCTCCCCGGCCACCAGAGGAGGGTCCCACATGGCGCGCAGACCTCTCCTGCCGCCCGCTGCTCCCCTCAGCAGTGTACGTCGGTCCTTCTGCCTGCTCTGCTCCCCGCTCTGGCTCTGGTGAATTCTCTCACCCTCCCGCGCTTCTGACTATACCCAGTGCATGTATGAACAAAACAAACAAACAAACAAATAAATAAATAAACATGCCTCTATAAAAAAAAAAAAAAAAAAAAAAACAACTGTCTTCGTTTAACTCACTATAAAAAGCCAGCTCCAAATGACTTGTTAAAGCAGTTTCTGTGGGGTATGACCCCACCATCCTCTCAGAATTGATGGCCTTCTGAATAAAGCGCACCTTCAAGATTCAATTCCTGTCTCTGTTTATTGGCATTCAGTGGTGGTGGGCAGCACAAGCCCTGGAATTCTGGTTACAAACCCACAAAATGCTTTGGCAATTTCCCTCCCATAAATCACGGAGAGCAGCTGGACTTTACCCCTGGGGGATTATGGGAGATAAACATCTGTGTTTGACCTCCAGAGCAGAGAGGCAGGGAGGACTCAGCTGAGACACGCTTTTGTGGTCAGCTGAGCAATAAGAAGCCTCCTGTCACCTAGTCCAGGGAGGGGGGAATGGACTACAGGGTCAGGCTTGGGAATCTGGCATTTGAGTCCCAGATCTGCTTGGTCCTTTCATTTCCCTGGTGAGCTTCTGTTTCCTCATCCAACACATGGAAATGACAAGTGGACCTGCCCCAAAGGTTTGGAACCAGGGGGAAAGGATAACAAAAAGAAAATGCTTGGCAGAGCTCCAGGCACTGATTGACCTTGAAAGTCCTTCTCAGGAATCACAGGCTCCCAAAGGGACCCCATTCTCGGTCCCCAACAACCTTGGGTCATCTGTCAAACTTTCAACCTACTCAGTGTCTTAAAAGAACCCAGTGGAAAACTCGGAAGCCATCTTTGCTCCTTGCTAAGTGTCTTACTTCCCTCAGTGTCTTGTTACCTTGAATGTTTTCATGGGATGTACTAAGAATGTCTATGCCCAGGCTCTCAGGGATATCAAGGGGTGATGGAACCATCCAGTCAAAGATTTTGTTAACCGTAATGGTTGCTTGCCTTTTTTGTCACTCTGGCTGCTGAAAATCTGAGAGTCTGGCCCATCAATGTCAGAAATGAACGAGGCCATGCTGAAGCTCGTGTTCATCAGCACCCTTTCTGGAACAATCTGACTTGAGAAGGAATGTCTTTGGGCTCCAGACGAAACATCCTCGACCTCCACGATGATTTCATGTACTTTGTCATGAGACGGCATCTTTCCCTTCTCCAAGACTTAGCACCCCTGGGGCAGTCTTCCAAGGACCTCACAGGGCAGTCAGGCTGGCATTGTTGGGAACCACCGAGAAGAAGGATGACAAGGGCCAAGGGACACCCCATTCACTTTTTTTAAATGCCATTCACTTTTTTAAAATGCCAGGAGATGGCCAAAGCCAGCTACACACAAATCACAACATAACTCTCCTGACAAAGAGGTGTGTTCCTGCAGAGGTCTGCACTGGTAGCTAGGTAAGAAATCGGAAACAGAATCTTTCGCTAAAGACAATGGGATTCTAGAAAGAGAAGGCAGGGATTCTTCCAAATGACTCAGAATCAAAGGGTAAGATTTTCTTCTTAATTGTATGGACTAGAACTTATATTTATAATTTTAATGCCTATGTGAATGTAGATGGTCTGATAATTATGACCTCGTGAAAAAGTTGGGGGCATGGATATGTCTTCTCTCATATGGTGAAATCATCAGTCCAAATGTGGGTATGTGCTTCAAATAGGACTGGTTAGAGTCTTTCCTTGGCATTGACCCAGGGAGAAAGAGAGACTTTGCAGTGAGACTCTTAGCTCCCAGCTGAGGCTAAGTCTCTGCCCCTGGACTTTGGAGAAGGCTTGACTGGGGTAGAGACAAAGGGGGTGACGTTTATGAGAAGCTGAGTCAAGCAGAGAAGAGAGACAGAGTGAGAAAAAGAGAGTCCAGGTGGCACTGAACCCCTGGCCCCCAGTTCCTTCAACAAGTGTGTCTGAAGCACCTACCATGTGCCAGGAGCTGTACTAGAAGCCAGAAGGGGATTGCACCTTAAATTCTTTGCTTTTCCCATACCCTTCCTGTCACACAAGCCAACAAATTCTCCTTGGGCTTATGCCAGTGTGAGCTGGGTTCCTGCTACTTGCAACCAAAAGAGTCCTATGAAAACCCCTTGATATCCAGAAAAGAAAAAAACTCCATGTGTCTAAAAGAAGCCCTCCCCTCCCCCCATCATGACAGATCACACGAATACTGTGTCAGGTACCACACCAGAAGCCCCGAGAAAACGGCAAAGCTTGCATCACTTTGGATATGATCCTTCTCTCGCATGTTGGATGCGAACATCTTCTGCTGATGTTTTGGTTACTGTCCCCTTAAGTCTCACCTTGGGGTGACTTAAGCCAATCATGTCCAGATGACGGTGGGTTCCTATAAGCTTGGTCCAAGTTAACTTCACCCACAAAAGCGGGGTTCACTAGAAGGAAGAGGAAGCAGACATTGCCATTTAATCCCACCACTCCAGATATTACTGAACATGTGTCAGCAAGACTGAGACTGTGAGCTTGAAGGTCAAATGACTAAGCACTTGGGACACAAATATAAAAGCAATGGTGCTAATTACAAATAGCTTCGATCAGCGATTTTTAAGTCATGGTTAAAAATAATTGTCATGCTGAGATCCAGGCCACAATGACAGAACAGCCTTCATGGAACAATACTTGGACTACGTAACAGCATTCTAGTGTTTTCTTATTCTATGCCATTCTTTACTATTTAATTTTAAAGGTGAGTATCACAACTTATTAATAGATTACAACTCTGAGTCTGAAGGATTCTTGCCTAAGGAGGGAGGGATGAATAGGCAGAGCACAGAGGGCTTTTAAATGCCTCCCTGGGGCCTCCCCGGTGGCGCAGCGGATTGAGCGCAGCACTGTGAAGCTGTCCGCAGCCTTGGCAGTGCGAGTTCAATTCCCGGCCAGCCAGGGAAAAACCCACATGGCATGGCAGACCTCTAGTCTCGCCCACTGCTCCCCTCAGCAATGTATTTCGGTCTGTCTACCTGTTCTGCAACCCACTCTGTCTCTGGTGAATCCTCTCACCCTCCCGCACCTCTTGTAGAAACATAAATAAATCTTAAAAAAAATTAAAAAAAAAAAAATAAAGCCCTCCCTGGTGGCGCAAGGGGTTAAGTTTCAGCACTATCAAGCTATCGGCAGCCACTGCAACATAAGTTCAATCCCTGGCCTGGGAGCTGACCCGTGTGGCGCTGCAGACCTCTCCTGTCTCGCCCGTTGCTCCCCTCAGCAGTGTATTTCAGTCAGTCTGCCTGTTTTGCTTCCCACTCTCTCTCTGGTGAATAATCTCACCCCCTGCACCTCTGGCCTATACCCCAGTTCTTCTACCACAAAAATAAATAAATAAATAAATAAAGGCAGTGAAATGACTGAGCCATTGTAGTGGATAAAGTCATAGGCATTTGTCCAAACAGAGTACACAACACCAACGGAAGGCCGATGTAAACTCTGGACCTTGGGTGATGATGATGTGTCAATGGAGGTTCATCAGTTATAACAAATGTACCGCTCTGATGAGGGATAGTGACGATGGGGAAGCTGTGCCATCATCAGGGTAGGGGGTCAAAAGGAAAACCTCTGTACCTTCCTCACTGTGAACCAAAAACTGTTCTAGAAAGTAGCTTCTGAACACACACAAATGCTAACAGTCTGAGCACCTCGAGGACAGGCTGTATCAAAGGCAGGCACAGGCAGTGTACCACCAGGACCCAGCTCACCAGTGATTGCATTTTCCTGGCTCTGTGTCAAAATTTTTTTGTTATTTTGAAGCACATGAAGATCAGGAGGTTTCACATAAAAACCCAGATGTCTGGCTTTTGAAAAATCTGGAGAATTGGCTACACAGAACCCACATTCCCACACAACCACAATAGGCTGAACTTCGTTAACTGTCAGTCACCTCACAAAGGCACAGGATATACACGCCCCCATTTTCCAAAATCCCTACCTGGCCTGCTTTGATAAGTGGTGCTGCTGCTTGTCTGTTCTAGACCCTAAATGCTCAACCCTGATACGGTGGGTGTTACAAGTGGATAAACCAATTCTCTCATTGCTGCAACTCTCTGATGGCTGTTCCCCCAATTCTACTAAATTCTACTTTCTTCCCAGAATATGATCCTCATCTTGACAAATGCTTACTGTAGCCACTTCCAGGATCTCCTGGCACAGAGCGGTCATACGAGTTTGCTATTGATGCCATTTCAATGCTGTCAGGGTAATCTTCACTCTCTCTCCCAAAAGGGCCGTAGGCACCATGATGTAACGAAGGCTGGATTGAAGATGTTCTCGTGAGCATCCTGAAATCCAAAATGATGATTCAATATCCATCCAGAGGCATGGTAAGGATAGTCACTCATGCATGCATGCATTCATCCATCCATCCATCCATCCATCCATCCATCCATCCATCCATCCATCTGCCCAACCAGCCTTTCCACAAATGCTACTATGACAGCTAGCCATGTTAGGCATGGGCTAGGGGATGAGGACACAAAGATAAAGACCTGGGATATCTATTCTCACCCAATAAAATTTTTCAATGACCAACAACTGATGGAAGATTTTTATCCTGACAAAATTTAGATCTACAGAATCTGCCCCAGGAAGAATTGCACTTAACATTTAAAAAAAACAGCCTTAAAGGGATACCCATAATAACAAAAGCTATAATTGATAAAATTTTATGAAATCAAAGCAAAAGATCAAGAAATCAAATCTACAAACAAAAAGTGATCAATTTGGACAATAATAATTTCAGTAAAGTAAAAAATGAAATGAAAAAATCAAGAATGGCTCAAGAATCTTGTATAAAAAGCAACTGAGGAATTACATTGCCTTCATGGAGTTAGATCTTCAAAAGATTTTCTTTACTAAAATACTCCCCTGTTGATGAAATTCTGGCTAAAACACTTGGGTTTCTAACTATTAATTCTTTTTTTTTTTTTTTATACAAGCACTGGGTATAGTCAGAAGCACAGGAGGGTGAGAGAATTCACCAGAGCCAGAGTGGGGAGCAGAGCAGGCAGAAGGACCAAAGCACACTGCTGAGGGGAGCAGCGGGCGGCAGGAGAGGTCTGCGCGCCATATGGGACCCTCCTCCGGTAGCCGGGGAGCAGCTGGGATCAAACTGGTGCTGCAGAGGCTGCAGGCAGCTTCGCAACCCAGCGCTCAACCGCTGCGCCACCGGGAGCCCCTCTAACTATTAATTCTTACCCGTAACCTCATCAGCAGATGCAGGCAGGGCCAAAACAATGGGGATCTAAATATCTTGCAGGGGTTGAATTAGAAAGAGGTAGGAGACAGGGGAACACATTATCCAAGTAGAAGTTGATGAAAAATTAAGTTCAGATAAGGACTTGAAGCCTTGGGCTAAGAGTTATGACCCAAATAAGGTCTATATGTAGGTATGAAAGTTTCACCACAACTTCAGGTCATGGAAACCATCCTCCATGTCGCTGGCCCAAATAACACCAACCAGACACCACCCATGCCGCACCCCCAATAGAAGAAGAAGCCTGAACTTACCCCCTGCTCATTTGTTGCATCTCAGAAGAGCCATAATCAGGACTATCCTCAGCACCTGGATAATCAGGCTCCCCCCATTTGTTCGGAGAGTTGTTATAGTCCTGAGCACCAGGGTAGTCTGGTTCCCCAAAAACATTTGTAGAGTTGAGTTGATTCTTAGCACCTGGATAATCAGGCTCTCCCACAGAGTCGAAGTAGGGATTGATTCCAGGACCAGCATAGTCTGGATTCCTTCTGGAGCCGGGATGGCTGGAATTGGCTCTTGGGTTAGGAGCTCCAGGGTAGTCTGGTTCCCCTAAGGAGTCAACATAATCTTGATTTGTTCTGGAACCTGCATAGTTTCTACTCCTGGAACCTGCAAAATCAGAATTCCATTGGGATTCAGAGTAGTCTGGCTTTCTGGGTGATCCGGGATCATATGGATTACTCCTAGATCCAGGATAATCTGGTTCTGCTAGAGGAATAGGGTGCTCTGAAAGTCTTCTTGAGCCTGAAGAGTATGGATTGCCACTGGAGCCAGGGTAGTCTGGATTCCCCAAAGAAACTGGATAATCCTGAGTGTTCAACCCCTGTGTGTGGTTCCAAGATGTTGAAGAGTCAGGGTAATCTGGATCTGGATCTTCTTCATACCCATAGTTCCTGTAGTAGGAAGACATGCTGGTACAGAGTCTTCACACTGGAGTGTTAAAAAGTTCCTACATTTGCAATTACTCAGGAAAATTTTTTAATCTGAAAAAGAAAAAGGAAGGAAAAAGTCAGATTTCTTCCTTTCTTCCCTTCAGGATTGCTGGTTGTCTTCCAGTCTCTGTTCGCCTTTCTTTCATAGTTGGGCACGTAGCAAATGATGTCCCCCACCAACCCCTCCAGGCTTATACCAAGGAGTGGTCATGCGCATGGACAGTGCGCTGTGAGCAGAAGCCACAGCTGCAACTTCCAGTTATGCTGTTAAAGGGAAGGGTCATTCGTCCCTTTCCTAGTCTCCCGACTTCCTGTAGGCTGGGCTGTAGAAATAACAGTGTGTCATTTTGGGTCAGGCACGCAAAGACAGCCCCCTACCTAGGGGTAGCACAACAGCGGGGAAAGAGTCTGAGTGGCTGCTGATATCACACCTCAGTGCCAAAGTATCAGCTTGGGTTTGTGAAAGAAAAGCAACAAGTTTGGGTTCGAGGGAAAATAGACCTACAGGGACTGAGTCAGCCTATCAGAGAGATTAGCTGGGCAGAAAGGCACCCTGTGGTCAATCCTGCCCTTTACCCCTGGTAAGCAGGAATCACCAGCAGAAAGCCCAGAAAGCCGGAGCTCTTTCTCCCTTCTCCTGCCCCCAAGGCAACCTGCAGTGTCCAACCAATATGGGCATTTCCTTAGGACAGATTTTTATCTCTTACAGTGTTTGCCTTGGGCCTCCCTGGTGGCTTAAGGGTTAAGTCTCAGTACTGTCACCACCACCGCCTGATTTAGAGCCCAGGCCAGGAGGTGACCCACATGGCAGAGCAGACCTCTCCTGTCTCACCTGCTACTCCCCTCAGCAGTGTGTTTCAGTCAGTCTGCCTGTTCTGTTGCCCACTCTGTCTCTGGTGAATCCTCTCACACCCTGCACCTCTGGCCTGTACCCTAGTTCTCCTACGAAATAAAAAAATTAATAATAACATTAAAAGAAAAATAAAGTTTTTGCCTTCTTCACACACAGACTGCATTTGCCACAGAGAGAGCTACCCCGAGTTCATTAAGGCACGTACATCTTACTTTGTCAAGATTGTTAGGAAATCATCATATTCCTGTGAAATCTAACGCTTTATCTAATGTGCTTGCCTTAATACGATTTCTTTTCTTTTTTTCCCCTGAGAATAACACTGCCAGCCCTAACACTACAAAAGCTGGATCCACCTCAGGGAGACAAACAAACTAACTGGTCAGGACCCTTTTCTTAGCTGACTGCTTTGTGCCAGGTTCATTCTCAAAATTTTTTTTTAAAGATTTTTTTATTTATTTATACAAGCACGGGGTAAAGTCGGAAGCACGGGAGGGTGAGTGAATTCACCACAGCCACAGTGGGGAACAGAACAGGCAGACTGAGCAGGGAACAGAACAGGCTGACTGACGAAATACACTGCTGAGGGGAGCAGCGGGCGGCAGGAGAGGTCTGCGCGCCATGTGGGACCCTCACCAGTGGCTGGGGATCGAACCAGGGCTGCAGAGGCTGCAGGCAGCTTCTCAGCCCAGTGCTCAACTGCTGCACCACCAGAGGAGGCCCCATTCTCAAATTTTTGACTCTGAAAACAAAAATTGTCCTTTCTTCCACAGGGTGGTGATTCTTTCTAGTCCACAGACTTTACACAAAGAAGGAAAAAACCTTCATCTCATATAACCCACTGTTGTGGGGAGAATCTCATACACATGGCCAGTTTATATTCTGACCAACACATTCTCCCTGCTGGGGGTAAGGGAACAGGGAACAATAACCAAAGACTGGAAGGAACAAGGACCTTTTCAGCCCTTTGATTGCACTTCTGTCTCTTGGATTCAAAACAAAGATAAGGCAGACAGAAAGAATGGTTAGTGGTAAGGAGAGGATTTAGGTAAGGAGACAACTGCTACCATCTCTTCCAATTGGAAAATAGTTTTATGAGTTCGTGAGCTCTACAGCACAGCATACTTTCATGTCAGAAATTATGGGGTTTTTATTCCTATGTGTGCTGTCTCTCTCTTGTTTTTATTTGTTTATTACCTATTTTCTCTTCTTTTGAATCGATGCCCCAATTTTCCTCTGGGCATCTGCTTTGATGCAGGTGATTTAGGAAGGGCTGATGGCATTACCAGTCCCTACAGTGGTTATATGACCCAGATCTGCCCAATCGGTGTCCATCATGTCCCTGGCCACAGGACTTGGTTTAGGAAAGGGCAGGTAACCCAGATAAGTCCTACAGGACCTCAACTAGACTGGAAAAGATGTGCTTGTATTTTACTAGGGCTGCCACATGATTGGATATAAGCCTAGAACTGCTGGTACAGTGTCAGTAAGAACAGAGAAGAAAATAATAAGTAGAGGAGAAAATTTTGAGGAATCAATAGGATTACTGGGTTGGTCTAATATGGGGAGGGCAAGAGGTAAGGAAAATAGAAGACAAAAATCTCTCTCCAGTTTCAAACCCACATAATGAGGTGAAAGGTAGTGATTTTTTAAAGTTCAGCCAATATTTACAAGTTTATCACTATACCCTAAAAAAAAAAAAAGCTAGACTTTTTGTTGAGTAATTAGAGCTAAAGGATTAACATTTTGCCACCACCTATAGTCTTAGAATGTTCATTTGCCAGTGAAATCCCATGTCTCTTGGCATAGCTGAAGTCTGCTTTTTTCTTTTTTTTTTTTTTCCTTCACCTCAGAAGGGTAACGTGCTGACGTCGTAACAAGGTTTAAGGGAGGCACATCTCACACAGCCGCGTGAACACGCAATCATCATGCTTATGAACTGGAAAAGGACCTGCTTTTCTTTATTTTGTTCCTGCCCACCAATTCTCTCTTTCGTGGTAAAACTTTCCCCCAAGGGACACTCATCCCCAAGGCCCAGTCTGTGTGGGACAGGTGTGGACATATGACCCTATCAGAAATATTTTCTTGTTGGCCACAGTGATTGGGTGAGGCATATAACCCAGTCATTGCCAATGAGATTCAATATTGGGAGTTTTGTCAGAAATGCTGGGAAGAGAGAAGCTAAGCTTAGAGTCTAGAAGTTATGACCCTGAAGCTGTTGGTGGTCACCAGTGGAGAAAGCCTGCTTGAGACTGATGCCAACATGGAAGAGAACAGAGCCATGGGATAAACAGAAAGAGGCATCAAATGCTGGTGACATTGCTTAAGCACTTGACTCCAGCCATGCCTGAAGCCAGGAACTACTGGATACTCTCTCTATTGCAAATTATTTTTCATAACAATGAACCCATTCATTTACATATAAGACTAGAAATTAATATTCTTGTGGTTTAGGATTTCTATTCCTTAGCAAAACCCAAGCTATTATATCAAACAAGCTAAATGATGACTACTAAATACAAGAAAGTGAAAACAGTCACAACACCAGCCCCAGGAGACATGAACATGTCCACCAAAAGGCAGCATGTACACAGCAGCTTTTTTCCCCCATAAGTTCCAGAAGTTGAAAACAACCCAAATATTATTCAACAGCAGAATTAGTAAATAAATTGTGGAACATTCATACAATGAATTGCTATAGTAACATGACTAAACTGCGACACGCAACAGCATGGATGTATCTATCTCACAGATAGGAGGAGTAAAAAAAATCAGATACAATGGAGCATATACTATATAACATTTATGCAAAGTTCAAAAACAGGCAAACTAATAAATGATGATAGATGTCAAGATAGCATGATGTTGGTTAAGGCAAGAAATGGGAAGTGACACCAGGCAGCCTTTGGCCTTTTGGAAACGTTCTATATTGTGATGAATGATAGCTGCCTGAGGATGTATACGCATGTGTGTGTTTACATTGTGTAAAAATTCATCAAGTTGATTAAAAACTGGAGCACATCTCTGTGAAACCAGTCATGCATTGCTTAACAACAGGGATATGTTCTGGGAAATGACTCATTAGGTGATCTCATTATGCGGATGTGACAGAGTGTGGCTGCACTAGATACTATATAGCCTCCTATACAGCTGGCTATATGGCATAGAGTCTGTTGGGATTTCTGTTACATATGCAATCAGTATAGGATTCACTGACATGTTGCTAAGTGACACATGACTATATATATTGCTCCTTTATTTTATAAAGAAAATGAGGGGACTCCCTGGTGGTACAAGGGGTTGTCTCAGCACTATGAAGCTTTCGGCTATCAAGCTATTGGCAGCCACTGCAACACAAGTTCGATCCCCAACCAGGGAGCAACCCACATGGTGCAGCAGACCTCTCCTGTCTTGTCCACTGCTCCCCTCAGCAGTGTATTTCAGTAGATCCGCCTGCTCTGCTCCCCTGCCTCTGGTGAATCCTCTCACCCCTGCACCCTCTGGCCTGCACCCCAGTTCTTATATGCATAAATAAATCTTTTTTTTAAAAAAAATCCTGGTGACATTTAAAAAAAAATGAAAAAGGCCTAAACCAGACGCTATAGCATAAAAACTTCTGTTTCCCAAAGTGTTGTTAGAATAGTTGGGGGGGGGGGTGGAAAGAAAGGTTCTGGCTCATAAGCATTTCCAATTTTCTTATATATACATCCCAGAAAATGTGAATGAATGAATGAGAGCAAAAACTTGGGCAGGGACTGCTGGGAACAGGACACCTGAACTGAATGGTCTGTCTGTGTGATGCTGTAAAATGAAAGTGGTTAGGAGCCCAGTCCTTGGTATCTGCAAGAACTGGGTCTCATTTCCATTTGCTGGCTATGTAGACTTGGGCAAGTCACTTGACCTCTCTGAGTGCTTCTTCACCCATCGAATATGACAATAATAGCTCATAGATTGGCATATGGAATGAAAACAAAAGGTGCACAAAGCAGCTGGCATTATATGTATTACAGAACAGAAGCTGTGTTTGACTAGTTTAATTTAGATGTAATATTAATCCTGGCAGCTGCAAGAGGTAGAGGTTGGTAGACAGTAAGGGTCATCCGCTCAACCAGGAAATGACTAAAGAAAATGTTCTGTAATCAGGTAGTGGGAGGAACAAGTCTACAAAATTCCTAGGTTGACATAGTGACATAAAACTACATTTAGCAATGAGTTTCTTATTAACCCAGACAGGGAATCACGGCAGGTTATCTAATTCTCACTGTTCATGCAAAAGAAGAAGTATACCAGTTTTTCAAGAGGGCCACACTTCTTCCCAGGATGAATTTCTGAAAAGAATTCACCATGAGAACCCTTCCAATGGGATCAGATAGTCACATAAGCAAGCCAGGGTTCGGGGTCAGCAACAAGGAGCTCAGAGGCTCTAGAAACTCCAGGCTGAGCAGCAGGAGGGGAGTGGAGAGTAGTCTCTGGCGTCCCTCTGGGTCACTGTGAAGATGTGGGCAGTGCCCTTAAAGTAAGGGCAATACTGGTCAGTGGACTGTGAGCACACATTACCAAAGATCTTAGAGTTACAACCCTCTAGTTCCCTGCCAAGGCAACCAGTGTACCTCAGATGGGCACCATTCACCAGCCTGGGTTCTTGGATGACTTAATGGAGATACATTATATCCTATATATATTTATAGGATATATCCTATATATATATATATATATATATATACACACACACACATATACACACTTATAACATTAAATAATCTGGAAGGTAGAAATGTAGATGATAGAATAGGTACATAGATGATTAATAGATTAGTAGATGATAGACAGGTAGGCAGGTAGGTAGGTAGATGTTATATGTGATCAGCCAACAATTAGTTTCCAGTCTCTTGGTACAGTTCTCTGGTCGACTGATGTCATTTGACAGGAGCTGAGGTAATTGCATGTCTTCTCCAGTCCAGGCACAAATGGCACTCACCAATACCACTTGCCTGGGCTGAATTCCTAAACAAACGAAAAGCTAAGTCCACAGCAAATTATTGGTAGAGGAGGAGGAAACAGTTACAAGGAAATTGTCTTGGATTGTCAAATGAAATGGAAATGATCTTCTGAGAACCCTATTCATAGCACCCCATTAACTATTAGAACAAATATCCTTCCCCTTCAAAGAAATGACTGTTTTGTGACTTGGAAAAAGCACAAAGAGGATATTACACATTTTCCCTCTCCAAGCTTTGTTGCTTTAGGACCTCCCTAACAAGGGCCATTGTGTTATCCAGTCTACGCCCTCCTTCTGAAATCCCTTTTAGGGTTTCTCATCACATCACCAAGCAATTACACACCTTCTAAGTCTATTAATCCGAGACTCCCTGTTTGATCTCGCAAGGCTCCAGGTGTGACTGGGTGGTCATAACAATCTTGCATCTGGGCCTCCCCAGGGGTGCAGGGATTAAAGACACAGTGCTATCAAGCTATCACCAGCCACTGTAGCACCCTGGTTGGCCAGGGAGCTACCCACATGGCGCAGCAGACCTCTACTGTCTCACCTACTGCTCCCCTCAGCAGTGTATTTCAGTCAGTCTGCCTGTTCTGCTCCCCAATCTGTCTCTGGTAAAATCTCTCACCCCCCCCTGCACCTCTGGCCTACACCCCAACTCTTCTACACAATTAATAATAATTTAAAAAGAAAGAATGGCTCGTTCTCAATCAGCCCAGCTTTGTAACTGCAGTTATAGAAGCTTCTATTCCTTTCCTAGACACCTGATCTTGGAAAGAATACTCCAACACAAATGGTTAAAGCCACCACACGTCCCCAGGTGGTTGCCTAGGGGCAAGGTCAATCTCAGCAGAGATGGTTTGATGGTTTCCAAGTTCTTGGTTGTTCTTGTTGGGCTTGTCATATTAGCATAACGATTACTTGGGCTGTCAACACTGACACCATTTTAAATAAGTGCCTTGGAATCTTTTATCTGCAGTGTTTAATGTTTAGAACAAGGAAACAAATGCTATGTCAACAGTATCTTTCAATCATATGAGGTCAAAACCTGCAACAGCCCGTTTAAGAAAACCCTCCTTAAGTAAACATTTGCTAGTGCAGGCCCCATGGAGCTTTTCAAAGACTGCTTCTGCCTTCAAGCCAGGCCCATCCACTGCCACAGGTCTGGCTCCCCCAGAAAATAAAGTCTGTGAAAAACCGGTGTCAAAGACGAACAGGACAGAGAGAAACAAAAACAGGATAAATTGCATCTTCTTGTTCCTTTTTTTTATGTTTTCCCTCCTCCAAAAATTTGCTAAATTTTCAAGATATTTAATTATTTCTCCAGGAAAGGTAATTCTATTTTATGAATGCAAAAAGAATATAGAGAATGATCTGGCCCGAAATGTCAATAGAGGCAAAACTTGAGAAACTTTAGTCTAGAAAGACCATACAGCACAATGTTGCTCCAGAAAACTTGCTATGATGATGGAATTGTTCTAGACCATGCAGCAGCCATTAGCCTCATGTGTCCATTGAGTACTTCAAATGTGTCTTCATGTGCAACTGAGGAACCAATTTTTAATTTTATCTTATTTGAGTTCATCTCAATTTCTGCGGCCACAAGTGGCTGTGGGGCTACCATGTTGTGCAGAACAGGTCTAGGGAAGGAAGCAAGAAGGATGGAGCCTAAAGGAACTTCGATCTTTAAAGCTTTGTTAGCGCGCATCAGGGAGCAGCAAGCTGGAGTGTCCATAAGTCACCTGGGAGCTGGAGATGAAGACCCATGAGCAGCATGTCCCAGGCTGCCCCGAACTTTCTCCATTGTGCAATGGAAGCTCCATGTCCTGAGAACCCCATCGGTCCTGAAAAAACCACCCTTGCTTGAGTCCCATCCCAGAAGTTTTAATTCAGTGAGTCCGGGCTGGCATCTGGAAATTAGCTGTTTTACAGTATTTCCAGGTGGTTCTTCTATACACATGGTTTGAGAGTCTTAGCCAATGAGCCAGTTCAGGGAAGCCACAGGGAGCGGGCACAGAGGTGGAAGGAAAAAGTGGGTTGATGGGTGGCTTGTATTTTGGCCGTTAGGCACCTTCTCCCCTGGCAGACCTGCCCCAGGCCATCCCAGAACTAGCATCCTTTCTGGGAGAAACAGAGACAGCGCGGGGTGAAGATCAAGCTCAGCTCTCACACCAAGGAGACCTGTTAAAAGAGCAGGCTCCTCTGCTATCCCGAGGAAGGACCTCCCTTCCTGGAGAACTCAGACTATGGAATGTTCTGCCCCTTTCATACAGCCTCTGTGCTCAGAATCTTGCTAGGAGGAGTGAAAACTGATGAATCTTAATACCCCCTGGGGCTCGGGACAAGCCTCTTTCTCTACCACTGAGTTTCAAAAAGGCAGGAGGGGCAATAAAGCCAAATAAGCTTTACTCATCCCTTATGATTCTAGGTCTGTGTCAAGCCTCCTTCTTTCAGAAAAAAGAAACTTCTAGATCTTTCTCTGAGACTAAAAGCTCAATTCTTAGACTAATTCAGATCCCTATAAAATTTTCATGTCTATTTAAACAAATATTATATAATACATCCAAGTATTATTTTTCCAGATTTGCATGGAGGAAAAGGGAAGCAGAAACCAATGACAACAAAACAAGTATGTGTGTGCCAGACACTGTTATGAAAACCCAGCAGGTATTGTTAACCCATTAAATCCTTTTCAAAGTCTTAGAAATAGGTGCTGCTCTTACCCTTTATTTACTGATAAGGATACAGTAGCATAGAGAGGTTAAATACTCTAGCCAGGAAACACAGCCAGTATGGGCAGGAGCTTGGCCATCCACCCAAGCAGTTGGTTCCAAAATTGGCACCAATGTGCTTTACACTTTTCAAAGATATTAAGTGACTTGCCTGAAATGAAGTGGTTGGTCCATATTCAGAGCCGGAACCTGAGCCTATAGAACTCTAAGTTCTGGGTGCCTTTGTGGATAAGCCAGGGTTGGAGGAAACTGTAGGTCAGAATAGGAGCCTGGGGCCACCGGGCAGAGGTAGAACAGTCAGTGCCAAGCTCAGGGCAGGCAGGCAGGTATAAGGAAAATGGAGTGGCCCAGTCTTTATTCGCCTCCCTCTGCTAGCCTCTACAGTCACCACCTGGGGCCTGGTTTTCCTTCTAATCTTCATTGCCCACACATGACATCATGTTGGTGCAAAATGAGCTTGGAAGAGTGAGCATGGGGCACAAACAGATACCTGGGGCTGAGAGGCGAGAGCACAGGGCATGGGCACCTATAATTGTGGACATCTGGGGCATGCATGGAGCATGCATAGCTATAAGTATGGCACGAGAGGGAGACCAAGAGAGAATGCCAGAGAGGAGAGAGAAAAGATTCCCTGGGGGCTGGGGGACTTAGTTGCTACCAGCCTCCATGCACCCCAGCCTTCCTCATGCCGGCCTCCCTGTCGACCTCCCTGCCTGCTGGTCTGCCTGTACCGGGTTCCCTGCTTCAGAATTAAAGGTCTGTCACATCTACCAAGAGTTCCAGGATTCCTTTATCCATTTGCCCAAATCCACAATGAACCTGCCTGCCCTAGGATGGCTGCACTACTCGGGGGTTGTCTGCATGGGCTGGAAGCACAATTACATACTACGCAGCTGCTCCGACCCTAGCTTCTGCAGGAAGCCCTTTGATTTTAGGACAGACTGTGTATTTGAAAAAATCTGTCCCTGGTCCTGGGGTGTTTGATTAACCCCCTTTGGAAGTTGTTTCCCTTATCTCTGGAGCATTCCTTAACTCTCCCAAAGTCCCTGCTGCACTGTCCAAAGAAATCTGGCCTTTCTTCTCCAAAGAAATTTGGCCTTTACCCCCAACTCCCGGGAGGTCATCGCCAAGCTGTTGTAATGTCCTACCTGATGAAAGTGTCTTTGTTTACCTGGGCCTTGAGCCAGCCAGACAGGAACTTTGTGATTCAGGGTGGGGGCTTTTGGTAATGCAGTATTGATAGACCTCCTGAGGGCTGTCGACTAAAGTCGGCCTGTAGGTGCCAACCATGTCAACTGGCTGAGCCCCAATAAAGATTCTGGACACCAAGGCTTCCGTGAGTATCCCTGGGAGGTGATAATCCACATGTATCGTCACCCCCCTTAGAAGAGGGCAACTGTAAGTTCCACATTTGCTAATTTCCTGGACTCCACTTTATATGCCTATCTCAATCTCTCCACTCTGGTTGTAACAAACCAAAACTGTGAGCATAACATTTGGTGGTTTCTGCTAATTCTAGAGAATTTGTAAACCTAAGGGTGGCTGTGGGGACCCACAATTTTTAATGGGTGTCAGAAACGAGTGGGGCTTCTGGACAGTTGCCCTTATCTTTGCAAACAGAGAGCCTCCCTCTGAAAAAATTGTAGGCCCCAAATCTTCTTGTGAATTACAGAAATAGGACCTGCTTCTCTTCTTTTAAATGATACTCATTCCTTTTCTCCCCCAGCCTCCCCATCTTAGCTAAGCTATTTAGAATGGCGTCTGAAGTAACCTGGGTGAGTTACCTGGTCAGGCTGGTTCTCTCCTACGTACACAAGAGGCAGATGTATTGTTCAATTTCTTTTTTACTTTTCTTGATCTATCTGGTGCTTGTTTGATTACTTGCCAGCCTAGAAGAACCCAGAAGGTTCCGGGATAACTTCCTCTGTACCTAACACTATAGTCAAACCCACCTCCTCTCATCTACCATCCTAACCCTTGCAGTCTTGAGGGTGTTCTCTGGACCCCTTTGTCATTCTGAGAACTTTATATGCATAGAATCACCTGGTGTGTGACCTTTGGATTCTACTTATATAAGATGTAACCAGTAAGGAATGTCAAGTGAAGATTACATGGGATCTTGCTGTACTATCTTTGCAACATCCTGATTTCGAAATAAACTAAGCGGTATATTTGCATTTCGATAATAAAAATACATTTTATTTTGGATAGATATATAATAAAAAATAAATGACAGCCACCCAGATGCAGATGTCCTAGAAAATGGAACTTGTTGGACGTGGCACTTACAAAGACACAAAAATCTTACACAGTCCCTTTTTATGAAGGAGTGAGGTTCCTAGAAATGACCTTCCCTGACAAAGAACATTCCACCAGCTGGGGCTTATCTCTGGGGACTCTGCCCCTCAGTGGCTGGAAATAAGCTGAGCATGAACATAGATCAGCTGTTGCTCCATCCCCAGAACTTGTGGCAAATGTGACCTGATGAGAAGCTGACAGAAGCTTCAGAAACAGTTATACCTTGAACCTGCCCTTGTCCCTTGGGGTCCTTTGGGGCAAAACCCAACTACAAACCCCATTTTCCTGATAATCATCTCCTCTAAACTCTTCTCCCACTATTTCATTGCCAAATAATCACAATCACAATAAAAAAACAAGCGTAAAGACAGCACCACACATTGGCATGCCAGACACCCTGCTCTGTCCACGCATTAGCCACTGAACCCTGCAACACCCTTACAGAGAAGCAGGTGGTCTCCACTATATGATGATTACTTCGAAGACCAGAGAGTTAACTCATATGCCTGGGGTCACACAGCTCAACCAAAGCAAAATGGGATCCACACCCACCTCTGGCTGAACTTGGATCATCCTCATCAACTTCATTGGTATCAGAGGAAGGAGTTAAAGCTAACATGTATTGGGGCCTCCCTGGTGCGCAGGGGGTTGAGCGCCGCACTGTGAAGCTGTCTGCAGCCTCTGCAGTGTGGGTTTGATCCCGGCCAGCGGGCGAGAATCCCACCTGGCGTGGCAGACCTCTCCTGTCTCGCCCACTGCTCCCCTTAGCAGTATATTTTGTCAGTCCGCCTGTTCTGTTCCCCACTCTGTCTCTGGTGAATCCTCTCACCCTCCCACGCATCTGGCCCGTACCCCGGTTCTTGTATAAATAAATCTTTAAAAAAAAAAAAAAGCTAACATGTATTGGATGCTCACAGTTCACCGAATTTCCTCCTGAGTCCTGATACCCACCGTGTTGGTGGGAGCTCATCACATACTACCCATTCCACAGACGCGGAGACTGAGGCCAGAAAGGAACAGGGACTCACTCACCAGCATCTCACCAATAGGGCCCACGGAAGTCCACTCTCCACCTGGCACACAGTGCCAGCAGAGGCCAACACGCCCTCCTGCCGCCCCTTTCTCCACTGTTATCCTTGGTTCTAACAATTGTATATCATGTGTTTATTCAGTGCCTGGATCCAGCTATAAGCCACAGGACCGTCGAGTTGCTGTCCTCTGCCCACAACACAGTCCCAAGGATCCCCCATCATTCCTGTATGCGCCCGCCCCGTCAAAGCACCGTCGCTTACCTGCCCTGGCTCCCTTACCTGCCCAGGGTCCCGTAGGAACACACAGGCATTGCCTCACCACGCTGCGGAGACTGGGCACTCTTTTTTTTTATTAACCCATAAGGCCCTGCTCTTTCTATCTCTGGGCCTGGAACCCTTAACCACCCCTCACAAGCTCAGTTATTCAAGCTGGCCTGGGCCACCCGGCTCCCAGGGAGGGGAGCGTTCACCAGTTGCTGGCAGTTTTATGTCACCCCTTCTTTATATTCTCTCCTCACCAGTCAATAAGTAACCAGGTCTCACCCACTAAAAACGCAGATCAGCCTTCGACCCCAAACATCACGCTGCACTGCGGCTTTGTGCTGGGTTAGCCAAGAAAGAGCCCAGCTTGGAGCCAGAGGTACGTATTTCTTATTTCCTGAACCCCAGTCCCTCCCTCTCAGTGATAAGTAATAAAAACAGATCAAAGTCCCTTCTAGATGTTATTTCACCTCTTGGACATCATAAGGAAGTAATAGGGTTGGGTTGGGTTTTTCCCCCAAAGAAAGTGATGTGACACCCTTAGGCACTGGCCTCTCGGTTCTGGAGACATGTCCGTTTCCACTTCACTCTGTAACCGCGGTGGCCTGTCCTGGCCAGGGAGGAAGTCTGTCCTTGACTGGGTGTCACGGACAGGCAGCTGTGTCCAGCCCCACAAGTCACAGCAGGCTGGCTCGTATCCAAATCCTGACTATAGGCCTCTGCTTCTTTCTATCCACAGAACTGGGACATACACCTCTCCAGAGTGTGGGTGAGCCTGACTGGGGAACCTCTGAGGAAGTCCCAGCCATTGTTCTGCTCAGATTATTTCCAGAACCCTCAGTTACTGGAATGCTATTCCTCCCCGCACAGTTATTTCTGGGAAGAAGACTCTCTATCCATATGGAAAGAGAGGAGGAAGTAGGTGATCCGGAGCTGGGAACGATTTCAGTATTTTTATCAATGCCAGCACAGACAAGCTCTGTTTTCTGGGACATTTCAGCCTTTGAAAGAAAGTCTTATTTCACTTGTTCACAAGAAGGGCTAGAGTTACTGTTCCCCACCTTTCAGGTATTAGTGCCCCCTAACACATGCAAAATAGCAGCTTTCCAAAGGAGAAGTCAAAATTTTCTCCAGTGGTGGAGACAGAAACTGGTTTTATTCATTGAACAATCTCAGGAATAGCCTTAAGGTGAGAATCTCTAGAAGGATGGTTTCATATGTCCCCAGAACTGTCATCCCTCTGGTGAGGTGGCTCGTGTCAGGCAGGTGTGACTCACAGAATACCTGGATTGCAGAATCCTGCCTGCCAGTCAGTAGGGCACTGAGCCAGCCTGGAGTCTGAGGCAAACATCAACAATTCTTTTATAAATTGGAA